AGACACCGCAGAGTGAATGCATCGCGCAAGTTGACTAAGAGAGCGAGAGAAAGGGGGGGCTGTTTGAAAATAAACTCATTTCATTCATGTCTCGCTGACGTATGGACGACGGATGCCTTGGCCTAGACGGGCACAGAGGAAGTGTTATTTAAATGCAGGATATTGCATGCGGAAATTTATTATCATGTGGCATGACATTCAAGAAAAAGCACATACATACCATACAAACACACAATCACCAGTCGAGTACATTCTTGAATTTACTGCCTCTCCTTTATATATTTATTTATTCTCTCTAGTCTCTTCGAGCATGCGAAATTCTGAAATGTAATTAAAAAGCAACAATGTTCGTTACTCGCATATATTGTAAAGAATTGTAAAAAAGTTTAATTGAATTTTCAGCGCATTTTCCTTCTTATCGCGTTATAATTTAAAGTACCCTTACACTTTCGTACTATAGTCAAACATCACTATAATGAATGCTCCTGAGAAGTTTTATTCGTACTCAAAACAATTGTTTTTCTACCTTAACATCGAATACCTCTGTCTTTTATAACTAATAAACTAAATTTAATTCTTTTACATGGAATAGATTTCAGATTTTAAGGAATTTAAACGATTTACAACTGAAACTAATTCTCAATTTTATAGCATTTCGACTATTCCATTGTTATGCGAGCTACATACAACAAAAAAAAAACTATCAGAACATTTTTGCAGCTTTTGCATTGATTTTTTTCTTTTTTGAAAACCGCGTTGAAATTGCGAAATAAGCTGGCATTTAAATATTTGAAAAATTCATATAATGGTTTTTTTTGTCAAAATTGTTTGATGGACGAGTATTTATTTGCATTGTTTAACATGACAATGAACAGAGACAGAGAAATTTATAGACATATGTGATGGATAGATGAAGTGGGTGATAGTGGGGGTGTGAGTTTCCCCTACTTGTTTACAGTTTGCACAATTTGTTGTTGTGGTCGATTTGGTCGATTGCATGATTATTGAATAATTGCACAGAAACCGCAGGCAATCGTATATTAATGAGACGCTCAAAAGAAAGAACACTAAACTTAATTACAAATGCAGTATATTTTTTTATTTCATTCTAAATGTATGCGTAATATTTATTTCCCAAAAGTGTAGGAATGGCATGAAACTTGTTTAGTTGCCGGCTCAGCAGAAAAAGTTATAAATTATTTGTAGTAGAATGATTGGCAAAAGCAATTGCAAGCTGGCAAAAAAGAAAACAATGCCAGCACCAACAACCGCAAAAGCAAGGGGCTGGCAAACTGAGGCTGTACACACATCACAGCTGCAACCGCAACCAACAACAATAACAACCGCAGCATGAACAACAACAACTCGAAATAGAAATAGTCAGGCCAATGAAAGGCCTTTCCAGGACAAGGCAACAAAGCGCAAACACTCGAGTGTAAAGATAGAACAAAATGGCGCATGAAATGAAGCGGAAACAGCGCAAAAGGGAACCCAGCTATCACACAAGCTCACCAACACACACTCTCCCACACACGCACACACTCACACACATTCACTCTTGTATTCGATGCACAAGTAAGGCTTGAAAAGTGAAGGAATGAGAAGGGGAGGGTAAGGCAATGGGAAAATGGAGGAGTGGCAGCCACTTACAGGGCTGAACTAATATGTACATTAGTATCTTTGAATGCACGTGAACAACTGATAAATGTCTGGTCATGTTTGCCTTTACCAATTTATAATGTATGTATAAATATGTATGAGTGTGCGTGCCACTGTCTGTATTTGTGAATGCGAATGAAATCGAGCGTCAAATGAAAAATGTATGCAATTTATTTTACTTTAGTTTAGTTTGAACATCTCTTTTGCACAAACAGCTGGCATTGAAATTTGCAATAAAAATAAAATAAAAATCGTTGTGCAAGCTTTTGAAAGTGCACTTTTATAGGCCAAACAAAATGTATGTATATCTTTATGTAATTATATGTGCGAGGGTTGATTAAGAAGTGATTTCGAAGCTCAGAATGACATTTGTAAAAACTAAATGCTGGAAAAAATCGTATTGTAATTTTAAGGAACAACTCTGAATGTGAGGACATCAAATGAAATATGAATTATAGAAACAATTCATGGTTCAAAAAATAACTTAAGCATTTAAAATAAAGAATATATTCTAGAATCTAGATAATCAAATTAATGTTACGATTTCATTATTGAGATCTATTTAAAATGTGCATACCTTTCGCAGAAAATCAAAATTCGGCGATATTTAAGTAAAAATGTTCTAAAAATTACATATCCAATAAAAAGCAACGGTTATATTGGACTTATAAATTTATTCCAATATTAAATGGAACAACTTTATATTATAGTTGTATCAACAAACTTGTGAGCCAAATTTTAAAACAACAATAATCGATAAGGCTAATGTCTTTTGTGCGTACCTTAAAGGCCAAGTTGCACAAATATGCGATAAGCTAGCTATAAAACGATACAATCAAATACACTAAATCACCAACACAAGCAAGAACTTATAGCTATGCACATGCATAATATATGCAGCAGACGCCGGGCCTGTGGCTCTCGTTGCTGTATCGTTCTACTTACTAGCTAACCGCAACAAGTACACTCGTCAGCGGCTGCTGACAAACTGCCACGTAGTCACACATACATACAGAAATACTAACACACACATGAACTGACACGTAGACAGGTGTGCATTTAAAGAACATGTGTCGTCTTCACACTGAAATGCACTTCAAACGCGCGCCTCGCACGTTGGGCAACTGCCCAACCCGCCCCTAAACAGAAAAAACTCAAGCGCACAACATCCCCTCTGCACAACCCCTTTTGTAACCACACATATGCACACGGAGCCACTGTGCTGCCTTGAACATTCATGGCTTACATAAACTTATGCGTTTAATCGACATTGAACTTGAAAATGTTAGTTGCAGTGCCTTTCACACACACCTACACGCTCGCATGCAAACAATATACAGTTAAGTTTCCGTTGTGGTTATTTTCATCGTCGTTTGAAGGTTAGCACTTTCAGCTTGAATTTGCCATCAACGCAATTTGCTATTAATATTAAAATATGCAAAATTATTGCAGCATTTTTGCAACAGCTAAATCTATATTCTGTGTGGTTGGCGCTGCTGCGTGTTGCGTTTTGCTGCAAATGTCGAACGGAATCGAACTCCGAATGCCCTGAAAAGTATGCTACGTTTCATGCATACTTTGTTAAGTAGACGATATGTACAACAGAGAAGCTATTCAAAAGCGAATGTGATTGCCAATGAACTCAGGAAGAGCAAAGTGAAAAGGAGGTGACTCGGTAGAAAAGCTAGAAAGAGCACTAAGCTCACTTCTTGTGTGCATTTCAGCTACTTGCAACCAATGCCAACTTTTAATGAGCTCCATGCACAGTGAATCTGAAAATCTGCATCTGTTTACGCTGTACTTAACATTTGAGCTGGATAATTAGCACTGCATACATTTCGCATACGTAGGGACAACCCTAATTTAATAGCGAGAAGTGCACAAAAATTGAATACTAACTAGGCTAAGCTAAAACTGCATATGGAAAAGTTTGTATCGCGAGATTTTTTTCTAGAAACCTTATACAATTTTAATTGATAATATAATCGCAATAAGGAAAAGAAACTGCAATATGTATGATAGAGTATGATGATTATGCATTATTGAAAGTCTACTGTTCTCTTAACTTTTATTATAAGGGCAAGTTAGAAATGTTTTTGGGGAGTACTAGTATTTGTATACAATTTTATATTTAAAGCCGACTTATGTGTTTTACCACACATTGCCTCGATTTATTTACTCATTCTCCCTAGCTCTCTCTCTTCTTTTCTTTTCCTAACTTAACCTAGTGCTGAATCTTACCTTCTATCACCAGACACTATCCATTTCTTCTTTATTTTATCTAGTCCCTGTTACTAAACTAAAATTCAATAAATTCATTTTAAAATAATTATTCCCTGCCACTTGAAAGCTCCTCAAATAGACTAGTATCACACTTACTATTTGCCTTAGTTAAGTTTCTAAAGCCAAGGCTTGTATCAATGAAGATCACATAAATCTTGAGGGGGGCATAAAATCTATACGTTTTTATAGAGTCCAACTCAGCACTCTGCACAGAAAAGAGTCAGGGTGAACATAAGCAAAGCGCTTTTCTTGCTACAGTCAATTCTCGCTTATGGGAACTATAAACTAGACGATAGACGGCTCTCGGCACTTGGCACTTGGCATTACGCATGCAACATTCTCGCAACGCGTTTATGGTACCGCAATCTATATACACATGTATACTGGCTATATAAGTATAATGTGCACTAGCTACAGTTACAGTCACAGATATAGCCACATACGCACACACACACATTCACATGCTTAAGCCAACATGTGATGACATTTTACTACGTTGCGCAGCGTTGGGTCCTATTTTATTTTCTCTTGTTTTTTCCTGTATTTTATGCGTTTTAAATTTATTTCGAAGCCGTGGTTGTTGCTGCTGCTGTTGGTAGAGAACTGCCTTTACCAATGGCGCCTTTGGCACGCACGCAAACTTCCGTTTACACACACACACACAGACTGACACACGCATATGAACTGAGATGTGTTGGCCACACACATGTGGGGTGCTGGCAGCCTCAGCGAAGAAACGAAAACGACTTGCGTGCCAGTTTCCATTTTTATTTATCGTGCAAAGTGATTGCGTGTAATTGGAGAAATTGCGTTAAATTATTAAGCAAGCGATTGCGAGTAAAGGCAGTATAAAAATATTTCGTTGCTCTGTCCTAATATTTAAATTCATTTACACTTTACGCACAATATACAGGAAATTTATATATGATATCAATTTGCAGCAACTGTGTGAATAGGGAACAGGAAATTAATTCGCAGCATCCAATTTCAAAATATTGGAAAACATTTAAATTTCAGTTGCTAACATAATTTATTTTCTAATTGAATTCTGATTGCAGCTGTGCAAATGAATATGGTATAATGCGGGCCATTGCGCCCCCTCTCTCAAAGCAAACAACAACAGCATGAAAATACAAACGCGACAAAAGCAATAACAACAGCAACAAGAGATGATAGGAGTTATGTCGCCAACGGAAGTGAGACTCACTTTGAGGTTGTGAAAATAGCGTATAAGCAACCCATAACACATGAGCACAAACGGAAGAGCTTAAAAGGAATAAAGAATAAAAGAAGTAATAACAACAGGCAGCCTGACAAGTTGGCAGCAACAACAATCAGCACCAAAGCAACAACACTGCCAGTCAAAAACAAAAAGAGCAACAACAAAGCATCCATTAGAAAGTGAATGCCGGAACTGTAAACGTCGCTCCGTGTAAACACTTAAAAGCTCATTAAAAGAATACTTCCTGTCTACGACTAGTGTGTCCGTGTGTGTGAGTGTGTGTGTGTCACCATGTACCGACGTCAGCGACGACGCCCAAATAGCTCCATCTCGCCTCTGACCAGCCAAAGTCATAGTCATTGCATAGTTGCATAGTAGCATAGCCGCGCTTCCGTTTCCGTCTACGCTCACTCACCTCATTTCCGCTGCGGCTGCAACTAAGCGAACTACCTTTAATCCCACCAAAAAAATAAAACAACAGAACCAACAACAACAACAAAATGGCGCGCGAGACCAACTTTAATGGTATGTAACACAAAAAGCTAAGCCAAATGTACTCTTTCAAGAAAATACTCATACATATTCAGCTCATAGGGCTTAAAAAAAAGTTTTAATTGCAAATTTCACTTCATACAAGTCAATTTAAGTGAAGTTAAACAAATATTATTTTACTTTACTTTACCGTGTAATGAAGCTGATGTGGCTAGTTATTAAGAAGAACAACCTTTTATAAAGAAAGTAAATGTAAAGAGAAAATATTTAAACTTCCTTTAGATAATAGTATATTTCCAATATTTCCATACTAATATAAAACAAATTCAACTTTATTAAGCATATAAAAAAGTGTTGTCAAACCTTTTTGAGCATAATCCACATTAATTAAAGCATTCGAAATATTTAAAGAATAATAATTTATGAAGAAAAAGAACAAATTAAGCAATCATAAAAAAGACATTAGCTTTGTTCAATTCTCTTTAAAACAGTATTTAAAAAAAACTCATCTATCTGAAATATATCTACTCCAGTTATTTGAATTTTTTTTTTATTTGCCACAAGTGTCTCTTATTCTCTTTTATTCACTACAAATGCATTTTACAGATGCTCTGGACTACATTTACATAGCCAATAGCATGAATGATAAGGCATATCTGATAGCTGGGCCGAGGCCTTATAACGATGACGACAATGAGGATGAGCGGGAGCTGGATGATGAGCTTGCCGGCGACGACAACAATAACAATCATTACTATAACGATGGCGGCGATAGCGACTTTATAAACGCTGTCGCTGCTATTGACACCATCGATGGCAGCAGTGCGGGCAACATTAAGAACAGCAACTACAACAACAACAGCAATAGCTCACCAAGCTCACCGCTGGCCACAGCAGCGCTGGCAGCGGTAGCGGCAAGTGCCTCGGTTGCAGCGGCAGCAGCGCGAATAACCGCAAAAGCGGCTCATCGAACACTCGCCACAGGTGCAATCAAACTGATCGATGTGGATGGCAGCAGAGTTGCCGCCAGCGACAGCGCCAGCTCCGTTTTAGACAATAACTATACGAATGTGGCTGTGGGCTTGGGCGCAATGCTGTTGAATGATACGCTGCTACTGGAGGGCAATGATACGGCCTTGAGTATTTTTGGGGAGTGGGTGAATGTTAACAGCAGTGGTCAGCTGATGAATACCAGTACAGCAATCAATGTCACCGCCAGCAAAGTGGCCGAGGATGATTTTACGCAGCTGCTGCGCATGGCTGTCACATCGGTGCTGCTGGGCCTCATGATACTCATCACCATAATTGGTAAGTCGGCAGCGGAATGTGCCTTGATACATGGAAAGCTCATTAGGCGGCAAGTCGAAATCGATGTCGAAGTCGAAGACGAAGTCACGACCAATGCTAAGGCCAAAGCCTAAACATAGACATAATTATTTGCGCGCTGCTTTTTGTTGGGAGGGAGACCATGGCATTAAATTCCATGGACGCCAGTCTCAGGCACGCGCGTGCCAGCAAATCTAACGCACCATTTCATTGGGGAATATGGCAAACAATTCAATAAGGCAAACCAAATGACAGCTTATTGGGGACTGCTGGGAGGGCGGGTTGACGAGCATCGAGTGTTTCCTGGGTCGCTTAAAGATTTTGCGCTCGTTCAGCATTTCGGTTTGGTTGCAGATAATAAAATACGCGTAACTGATATTTATGATGCTACGAGCCCGTTTTATATTATTTATTATTATTGTTGTTATTACGGCTCAAACAACAGCAGGCAGCTGGCAGCAGCCAGCATCAACTCTCTAACTACTCGATATTAATAAGGCTCAATGTTACTTGCCATTGTTATTGGGCAACATTCATTACACGCATTTAGCCATAAATCCAAAGGCAAACACAAGACAAAATCTGCCAGGCGCAGCATTCATCTAGGCAAGACCAGAGAGACACGACGCATTAAAATTGACAGACAATCAATCAATCAATCACAGTTTCAAGCCACATCTTCAACAACAAGCAATTTCGATTTTTTTTTCCACTCTGACAAAAATTACCATGAAAACTTTTACTGTCAAATTGTAAAACGCAAACCATTTAAGTGTGTGGCATAAAAAAAAAAACACAAAAATAAACAACAGCATCAACTGAAATTGATTTCATTAACTTAAGTAGATTTCATTTGATTTCATTTCATTAAAGCGCGACACAAAAATCAAGAGACAAAACATAGAATCAGAAGAATCATTAAAAACCAGTGCCCAAAAAAGTATGCTACATTTTGAAAGCAATTTTCTTTTCGTTATTCACATTTCTTTGTTGTTTTTGCTGTTGTTGTTTTTATTGCATTCATTTCGTATTCATTTTGATTTGCTTTTAATTTGTGTTTATTTTCGTAGTTTTGCTTTGCGCCCTAGTTTCACGCCAACCGTTAACTGGCTTTCGCCTTTTGATTTTCATTTTCGTTTTCAGTTCCATTTTGATTCCATTTAAGTTTTCTTCACTTTTGAACTTCGCAGTGGTTGCATTGGCTCTGAATGCTGTTTTGAGTGGCAACATTTAGCATATAAAAGGAAATGCTAATGAGCTTTAATGCTAATTTCGTCTGCAGGAACTGGGAAGAGACAAACTAGGCAAGATGCTGGCCAATGGCTGCTCTATTTGTTACCAGCTTCAATACGAACCGAATAGAAAACACTGCTGGTGATTAGAGGGCAGCTCTATAAATTGCTAAAAACCAGTTTAAATAACAGCAAGGACGTGATTTGAATTGTTCTAAGCTCGAAAATAGCAAGCAGTATAAGATTTATTATACGCTTGCTATATATTTAAATTAGCATTTTATAATTTTGTTTTCAAAACATAAATTAAAGGTATAATTGGCACGTTTATCAACTAATTTTGTGAAATATGTATTATACACCGAAGTAGAAATTATTTTTACAAGCAAAATTGCTCCAGTATGATTGAATTTAACTGATGCATGCCTTAAAAACGTGAACACATATTTAAATTTTATTTTTATATTATTAAATTAAGTTAAATTTGGATTACTATTTTTCATTATTTATTACTTTTTTAAACTAAGCATTAGCATTTTATAATAAATCTTATGCATATCTGAGTAATTTAAATTAATTTATGGCACACGCAGCTTTTGTATTTATTTCGCATTAAATTATTTATTTATTATCTTTTAATTGAATTTATTATATGAACACAGATTGTTTAAAAAAATTATTTCGATGTTATTGTTACATAATATATTTAATGAAATTCATTTCCTGACACTCACTTATAGAATACCATAAATTTTCCAAAGCACTCAATTAGGTCTATATATCGATTTAGTTAAAATGCCATTCTACTGCTTAGGCGACTTGCTTATGGGAATTATTCATTGTAGATTTGGTCAGCTTTGGCAAGAAAATATTTTTTTTATTGTATTACTTGAAAGCAAACTTTTTGCAGCATCCTCGACGAACAGCCACAATGAAAACAAGAAGCACATCTGAGCTGAGCTGAGCTGAGCAGAGCTGCAATGCAAACAGCAACGGCAGAGACCGCTCGTCCCTTTGCCTTCACTTCACTTTGACACTGAAGTGTCTAATTGCATGTGTATTCCTTTGTCGCCGCCCTGACAGGTACCCAATATCAGAGAGTAAGAGTATGTATGTGTGTGTGTCACATGGGTATGGGATGGCTGCGGGCAGTGTGTCTTGGCAGCCAGGTAAATTCAATGCCGCAAATTGCATGTCTTGTGCGCATTGGCTCAACTTTTTGTAGCACACTTTTCTTTTCTGCACCTTCAAGTGTGCCACAAGTAGTTCTGACAGACAGGGAATTGCAAAAACAAAAAAAAAAAGTTGCTGCGCCTCCGAATGCTGTCCAGTCTGTTGTCAATTTTTTGCTCATATCGTAGGGCGGCAGACAATGGGTGGATTGTAGAAAACTTTTCGACTGTGCGATTAGCCCATGTCGTTTATGTTTTGCTTTTAAATGAACTTTGTCTACGGCTTTGCTGAAGTGCAACACAAAGCAGTAAGTGCAAAAGGCCAGGCAGTCGACTATTGCCAGGCGGCATGGCTGGGGCGATTGTGCAGTGATATTCGGATAGATTGGTGGGTGCTGCACAAGTGTTTTAATGCAGCGAGAAAGTAGTTCTCCTGGGCTAACAGCCAAGTTTAACAAGATTCCCCACACCATTTGGCCACATGGCTTTGCGGCACACAACTTTTGCAATTTTCAAACTTTATCTGTGTTTTCGGCAGCGCATTGGTTTCGATTTCATTTTCAGTTACGTATTAGTTTTCGTTGTCGGTTTACTTTTACCTTGCAGCTGTGCTCAAATTCGACTTGCCAACGTACTTAATTGAATTGAAAACTTTGCGCTCAAGTCAATTTTCGCAATTAGGCCGCTGAGCAGTAGCAATAGCGGCAACAGTTCGAGCAGCTGTCATTGCCGTTGCCATTTCTCTCTGAAGGATTCGTTCAACTAACTACTTACAATTGCAGGCAACGTCTTTGTGATAGCAGCTATTATACTGGAGCGTAATCTGCAGAATGTGGCTAACTATCTGGTTGCTTCATTGGCCGTCGCTGATCTATTTGTTGCTTGTCTGGTGATGCCACTAGGTGCTGTCTATGAGGTGAGTACACAATCAAGTTTGAGACTAAACCAAATTAATGGATAGTAAAGCTAAGAGTATTTTTCTTTAAAAGCGAACTAAGTATATTATATTTATCAAACTCAAGATCCTTTAGTCAATTAGTTTGTGTAAATGTACTGCAATCAATATAAATATATATTTATATATATTTGGATATATATATACAAGATTCTCTTCGTGTTTGCTCTCTTCATCTGCCGCATTAAATTTCAAGCTATAAAATTAATTCTTAAGCAGCCTTCAGAAAATTATGAGCATCTCAAAGTCAATGAACCATCAAAATAAACAATGATTTTTATTTGTGTATACTCGTAAGCCAAAAATAACAGATTATTAGCAGATTAAGGGACACAAAAGATCATCCGCTCAATGTTAACAAAGCTAAATTGTCTCGACAAATTTTGTCTTTGTTTTATATTCTACCTATAATTGATATTAAAAATTGGTTTTAAAATAATATTTTACTTAAATCTTACAGCTTTAAGGCACTGTAAAATAAGTTTTTCTTATTCAACATCTAAATGCATTTCAAATCAAATCCATGAGCGGAAGCAAGCTGTGGGTTGAGCATTCAAAGTCAATGCAATCCTTGTTTGCGCTGTTATTAGATGCCATCATGACCTAGCTTCTCAACTCCTCCCCAGCGTGACATCAATTTTAATAAGCCATCAACTTTTATTGTTTATTTCACTGGCACTCTGAGACCCCGTGCGTAACTTTATGTCCTTTTATCTTATCTCTGCTTGCCGCACCCACAGATCAGCCAAGGCTGGATTCTGGGACCGGAGCTATGCGACATTTGGACTTCGTGCGATGTACTCTGCTGCACTGCCTCCATTCTGCATCTGGTTGCCATCGCCGTTGATCGGTAAGCAATTACTTTTGTTTGTAGGCAATAAGGGAATTTAAAAAAATAAATAAACAAAAAAAAAATTAAAAGAAACGAACAAAATTATCACATTTGATAAACGAGCAGCAAAATCCACTTGTAAGCGACGTGTGAAACAAGCCAGCATACAATTTTGAGAGAGGTAGGGTTGGGGTTGGTGTTTGTCAATATATAAGGGCGATTATGTACATGTGTGTCAGTTGAGCGAATCAATCAATCAAGTTTTTAGCATGTCAAATCTCTTTACAAATCCACTTGACTACAAAACGAAGCGCACATTAAGACACATAGCAAAAAATACGTGAAAACACTTGAGAAATGCGCACGAGACATTGAGATGCCCTAGAGAAATATTTATCGATTCTATCAAAATATAAATGGCTGCACACGAAATCGATTAGGAATTGAAGAGAGTTAGTTAATGAATGGCTGATATATTTTTAATTGATTTAATATTGTATTGTTTCAAATATTTAACTGAAACAATGAATATCTAAATGATTAAATGAAAATCCTTAAAATGTTTTAAATAGAGAAAAAACACATTATTTATTATAAATATGTAAATAATATAAATAAATATAAAATAATGAATTAAAAATATAAATAATGTAAGTTATTTAGATGCTTAATACTCTTTTATAATTTATTTTTTATTTTATAAAGATTTTTACATTTTTTGGATACTATAAAAAAGCTTAAATATTCATTTTATGAGCCCGCGAACCCGGCTTTGCCATCATTTTATATACGATTCCAATGCATAGTCATTTACAATTGTCAGCCAGCACTCCCTAAACCCAATCCCTTTAGCAAAGCGCGGCCAACTTCCACCCATGTTTTTAAAGTAGGTGTGTGTGCGTGTCTATGTCCCGTTAATATGCTTTACCATTTAGGGTTGACAAATCCTTGGGCTGTGTTTACTCTGCTTGCCTCTAGTCATGCTAGGGCTATATCAATTTAAAATAAATTCTCACTTATTGAAGCGTATGGGGCATGTAGCATGCCTGGCTGCATATAATCAATCAATTTGCAGCAAACATTTCAATCAATCAATCGCATTAAGAAACAGCACCGAAGCAAATGGTAAATGAAATGAATTTCATTTCATTTCGCTGTCCATGAAAAGCAATTCGAATGCCACTCGCAATCGCACTGCTGCCAAGATGTTGGTTGTGTTTCCGTTTTGGGTTTTGGTGATGCCTCAATGGCTGCTAATTTCAGCTGCACTTGACGACAGTTCCGAGTAGCAGCATAAAAAATAAGTAAGAGAATTACACTCAACCAAGTACGTAATACTCTATAAGTCGAAGGGAAATATTTTAAATCTTTTAAGATAATTATTATTGACAATTTAGACACAATGGCTTTCACATCGCGTGTACTTTATGTGCAACTGTACAATGTACAATATGAGTGCAATGTGCCACCAGGGCAGTTACAACAGCAGCAGCAGTCGCAGCAACAGCAACCACAATTTTGTGTATTTAAACACTTAGCACACCCCAAATTAGCGCTGGTAGCCAAAGCTGGAGAAAATTAGTGTTTCAGTCCCAATACCAATCCCAGTTCACAATGCCCGTGCAGCATATCGTATGCCCAATATAATTTGAAATTGCCAAAGAGTCGCACTCTGCGCTTAACTGGCTAATCATGTTTTATTGAACGACGGACTTGGTATCGAGCATGACCAATACAACAGGCCAATCGCCCACATTAATTGGCTAAGCTGCGGGCCAATGTGGTGCCAATTATTCTGTGGTTTCAATTAGTGCAGCTTGCCAGAAAAACAAAGAGCAGCCACAAATCCACAGCTCAATAGTCAATAATGCAGCTATACACACAACAAATTTATATTTCTTTTTTACTTTGTTATGGCACCAAATCTGACTAGCGCGGCGTATACGCATTTAGTGTGTTGAGGTTTAGCTGCAGCTCATTAAAACCAAACCATAGAAAATATTATTAGTTTTGCACTTGCTAATACATTTACCTGCAAAATTATGTATTTGCAGTTTCTTTTCATCGTTGCACAGTTTTCGAATGGTTACATTTTTGGTCTCATATTAAATCAGTAAAGCTGCTTCATATGATACTCGTTTTCAATGGAAACCGTTTTCAAATCGGCTTATAAAACGTTCGATAGAAATAATTTTCAGCTCTTATTAAATTGAGCAGAATAGGAGCTTACTGTGGCGACTTATTGAGTATATATAAATAGTTGCCTTAATATCTGTTCAGCTCTTACAGGTTGGCATTTATTTACATACACAGTGCCTGCTGTTCGAGCTGTTATCATTCGTTGGCCAACGCTGATTTGGCTGTCACTTGGTGAAATTGAAAATGCTTCTGGCTGCTACTGGCCCAAATTGCCTGTCAATAACTAAAGCCAAGTGATGCTTAGATTTCGCATGCATATCAATCAGTAGCATTCGAATGAAATGGCCAGCTCAGTATTTGGGTATTTGCCTGTCAGCTGGACGCCAAAATGAGTGGCGCCTTATTTCACATTATGATGGGCCACTCAAAAGTATGCAGATGAGCTGCATGACAGCTCTATTCTGCCTGAATACCAAATCATTCTGTCTCTATGTGTGTATCTGTTCGTGTCTGTGAGCGAGCAAGAGCTCTCAAAGCCTAAAGATGCTGCCTCATTTTGGTTGCCAGCATGAAACAATTACGGGAAGTTCCTGTAACCCCCGCAGGCCGTATACACTTTACGAGTATTTGCTAGTTGTCACTTGATATTTAAAATAGAATTCAAAGCCAGCTTTCACTTATCAGCAAACGGAATGAAAATTAATGTGCTTTTAAGCAAGAGGCCCATTTGCTTGTTGTCATTGTCGTTGCCAGATCCACAGTATCCCCGGTGCCTTGTGCAAGTCTGTACATTAATAAATTAAGTTTGTCAAATGGTTCTTGTCCCCGAGCCACTCTCTTGCCCTTTCTCACACTGAGGCAGCTCCTGTGCCACCCGCATGATAAATAGTTGTTGGAAATTCGACTACAATAATAATATTTGCAAGTATTTGTCGTTACGAGCAGTCGACTCGTTGACAAGTAAGCAGCCAACAGCCGACGACAGCCAAGTTGCAAGGAGCTGACTGCTGAATTCTTCTGCCTCTTCATTGCTTACTCCTTACTCCTACCATAGACGCATCGTTCAACGTTGCCAAGTTCATTTTCCATGTCAGTAATTTTTAAGCAATTAAGACAAAGTGCCAACAATATTTACGAAACTCTCAGACAAGAAAATAGACAGAGCAACATAGCAGCCAAGAAGCAGCATTAACAAAAAAAAAAACATGTTCAGAGCACGGCAAAAGCAAAAACACCAAAATATACGCCGAGCCCAATAAAAGACTATGGCACGATACCATTCGAAACCAGGATGGCTATAATGGTTCACAACAACGAGTAACAAAGTACGGTTCGTCGAAGATTACGTACCCTTGCAGAGCTAAGTCCAACTGCTCTCATCGAATCTGATTTATTAATTGAAGGAACTTTGCGAGAAGTTAAATGCCAATCCAATCCGGTCGTTTGACCGCTATTTTGAATATTTGGTATTCAACACAAAAAAAAAATTAATAAAGATATATATACATATATGGAATCAGCGATGTCGCCGTCAATACGTTACAAATTTTGTAAGAAAAGTGAAGTACACCTTGCAAGTGTATACAAAATTGGCGCATGGTCATTAATCTTTATGCCGCATTTTGGTTGCTGCCACTGCGGCTTTTGTTGTTACTATAGTTGCTACTGCTGTTGTAGTTTCTGCTGTAGTTGTTGCTATCGTTGGCGCTGTCAATACCGAAAATATATATTTTTGCTCTTACACCTATGTATGAGCCTGCACACACCCGATCGTGGCAATTGTGGAGTTGTGAATAAATTGTATTCTATGTAGCATGTTGCTGACGTCATTATTAGTCCGAGAGCAAATGACAAATGTCACGCTGGGGTAACCTTTCACCCAGTCAAACAATCAATTAAAGTTTTTGCATAGTGTATGCACGTGTATGGGCGACTAAAACTCTTGTCCATGTAGTACAGTGTTCATTGACAAGCCACAAACACAGACCCTCTGGACAACAATTGCTGGTCAGCCTTAATTTTGATGTTGCAGCAGTTGTAGTAATTGTTACTATTGTTTATATTCTTGTTGTTGTTCCATATGACATATTCAATTAAATTTCAATTAAGTTAACACTATATTTTTTTATTTATTTGTTACATAAATATTTTACCATTAGCACTTAAAGCGTAATTACATCGGTGTTGACGTTGTCCTTGTTTGGCTTTTCTGCTAGCTTAACAGCAACAACAACAACAACGATAAAAGCTGCAAAGGGAAAAACAACAACTACTACTATCACTAACTGTCTCCATATGTGCCACGCTGTGTAATTGCAACTGCTCTTACCACACCACATTTTTGGTACTTGGTGTAACTACAGTTGGTGCCAGCAGTTTTGCCACTGTAAAAATATGTTGTATTATTTGCTCAATATTCTTCTCAATATAATTTTTGTGTAATTAAAGAATTAAGTAATAATTCCCTCTTCAGTTTTAATATGCTACAGTATTAGTAATGAAGCTCAAAGTCTTAACTGCCTAAGACAAAACGGAAAAGCGTACTATAAAAAAGCTTTTAAATTTTTAAGCACATACGTTATGCTACTATGGTACTTCAAATTGTTTGCTTGAACAATCCTTGAATAAATTTCTACTGTATTTTGAATTTTATACATTCACAAAAACAAATGCGAAAGATAACTCAGTCAAGCCAAAAAAAAAATGTATTATTTATTAGTGCTGGTCTGGCGCATATAGCAAAAAATATAATTATTATTGATTAATGATTACGGAATGTCACACAAACTGCTTGGAGGCACTGTTCAATGGAATTGTATTGTACGAAAAGGTCCATTATGCTTATAGTTTACATAATATTCACGCTGGTAATTTCAGTGAATACCACTTAGACTACATGAACAACAGTCGTTGACCACCCAAAAACAACATTTGGCCCCTCCTGTGTCACATTATAACAAACATCAATGTGCAATTAAGGTGTCTTTTATTGTATTGAGTATTTTTAGAATTGCCTATGTTTTTTATTTACCACAATGCCAAACAGTTGAGCTGGGTAGCCAGATTATGCCACACACATTACATAGGTCTACACAAAAGCATAACCTTAATTAAATTTCTAGTTAAACAAACGCATTTAGCAGTATAGTTTTCGTGCTGCGACCAACCAAAGAGAGAGAGAGAGAGAGAGAAAGAGAAAGAGAGACAGAGACAGAATGAATGTTGGCAGTCAGTAGTCGAATTACGCTTCATTTGTTTTTCACATTTGATTTGGCAAGCTAAAATGCTCTGATTCATGAGAATGTATGTGTCAAACACACAAGCACACACACACATTAGCAAGAGTTTGCTTTTGAAATGGTTAATGAGACAAAGCAAGCGTAGAGTCGATGTCTGCTGAAAGCAAACAGTGTAGCCAAGCAATAAAAGCGGATATGTTACTAAGACATTTATGTTATCTGCTAATGCCTAAATACACGAACACTCACAAGCACACTCTCTCACACACAACCACACACATACACGGATAAATTCATAGTGCTAGTTACGGCATTTGTAATGAGGTGTTTGTTGCATTTAAAGGTTGTCGTCAATGAACTCAAATCAAGTTCATAAAACAAATGGTAAATATTTTGTGTGCAAGTACAAATGACTATAAATGCTCTAAACATATATATATATATATATATATATATATATGTTTATATATGTGTGTACTGGGTGTGTGTGTGTGTGTGCTAAGTGTGTGTGCTTACTTGGGGCCATATTCAATCTCGATTAGCAGGACTTGACATAATTCAACTGATTTATGTATTTGCCAGACAACATTACAAAATACCCCAATCAATATTTGCAAACAGCTACAATACACACCCACACATACATAAATGTTTTATGTTGAGAGTATAGATTTGTTATTTGAGCTATAAACTTAATTTTGTGCTGGCTGAGCCAAGTCTTGGGTTTATTGACAGGCCAGTGAGTGCGTTGGCACATACAACTCAATTAAGTTGCAAGCCAAGCTAAAGCACACATACCACACACACAGAGAAAGAGACGGAGGCGAAGAAATAGAAGAGAAACTCAAAAGTACTTGAAAAGTGTTGCCTACATTTTGGGGCTTACCGAGCAGTTTTGTAACTGAAATATCAAGCAGCGGCAAAAGCAATTATAAGACCGAAATTCGTTAACCACAGCGCTAAGCATTTCAAACATTTCATTTAAAATGGCAAAACCAGTGAAACCACATTTAAGATGAATTACAATTCTATAACTGTCACAGGCGGCTAACCCCAAAAGTCGATGTCCCAGTGTCTGTGTGCGTAATTTAAATTTCGAATTTGTGAAAGTCGCATAAATCAAAATAATAGCGCATGGACTGCCCGTTGCCAGCTAAATGATTAATCAGTGCAAGAAAGTAAATTGAAATTCAAATAAATCAAATAAGAGACAGACTCAGTCGGAGGCGGAGTTAGAGGCAGAGATCAAGGCGAAGATGAAGGCTTTTAGAGGGCGCGACCTTAAAACAAACGATATTCAAGTAAAAAATTGTTCACTCAAACAAAGACAGGTCAACCAAAATTTAAAAAAAAAATAATGTAAAAAAAAAAACAAAAACAGGAAAGAACGTAGACACAATTAAACTAAGGAAGTTCTGCACTTAACGGACTAGAAAACTCGGACAGATGGCCAGGCAAACATAACTACATCAACCCGGTTAGAAAGTCTGATAAAGTATATTTGTATACTTAATATGTGCGGATGATGAACAAAAGATGAAAAGAATAATTGATAGATACACTAATTTGGACCTAATTGTACTTTGAAGTTTAGAGCTTTTTTAAATTTCCGTGCTGTGGCCCAATATACCCTTTCGTTATTTTCGAAACAGCGAAAAAGTGCAAATAACTAAAAGAACAAATGAATATTGTTTATCCACTTGCAATTGAAAAGTTTGCGGTTCTATAAAGCCATAAGTTGCTACAGAACATATTCATATGTACATATATATATTTATATGAGGGCATACTAACTCTATTGTCTGATTGTGCATGCGTGTGCGTATGTGCGTAAGTGTGAGCATTTCGAGATTTGTTTGTATTTAGTTTTGTGTTTAGCAGAGTTTCCGCTCGCCGTGTGATTAATGGTCGTTTTTTCGGTTTGGACGAAAACTTTGGCCACCGGAAACAAAACTTGGCCACAAACCACAACTAGAGCGAGCCAACGGGCATGAGAGAGATAGATAAATAGAGTGGCAGTGCTAAATGGCACAAGCACACGTAGTGAAAGCTAATGGCTAGAACAGCGGGTGACCAGAAAGCAGCTAACAAGCCAAACTGATGCCCAAAAATCCATTGCTGCTAACACATTTTGCACATTTGCGTATTGTTATAAATTTTAACAAAATTTGGAATTTTGATTGGCAGGCATACGAAAGCAGCATATGAATCAGCGGCAGCAACTGAGTTCGCTTGACTGTTGTCCGTTCCAAGTACTACATAAAACCAATTAATTAGCTGACTGAATTTTAGATTTGAATTATAAACTATATATAATCGGAAGCCTTATAGGCATCATTTAAGGACATGCCAATTGGCTGTGCAATTATAAAAATCCGTTTACCATTTAAGCTTATTAAATATAATTAAGCCGCAACTGCCTGACCTCGGCAGCATGCCATTATGCAAATTGTCGTGTATATGTATATGTTTTACATGCAGAAAGAGACGCAGAATGCAGAATGCAATGCGCAGGCAAGCATAATACCACGGGATCCAAAACAGCCCGGCTATTCATTTAATGTAGCTGCGAATGACGCTGGAACTTAAGCTGAGACTGGTTGGGCTGTTGTAGTTAGTTGGTTTTCGTAATTGTCCTGTTGCTGCTGCTGCTACTACGACAGCTTCGCCTTGCAAATTTACATAAGTTTCTTGTTTTTGTGTCATAAATTACAATTGCTGGGCCCCTATAGTGGCACGCACACAGGACATGCAGGACACACAGGATACGATGCACAGAGGGCACGCACCCAGCGGCACAAAACACAAATGTATGCGAGGGACCCAGAAGACGCATCCTGTGCCATCTGTGCGCCAAGTAGAAAACTTTGCCACATGAGAGACTAAATAACAACTATACAAGTTTTTACTATTAACTTATCAACTACGTGATGCCCTGCACGTTTCTGAGAGTTGAGTACAAAAAGTGGAATGTACATATATGTTCGATAAGCATACTGAATTGTATACATAAAATTAAAGATATATGCAAACGATTTAATCATTATTCGCTTACAATACTCAAAATCAAATTCTTGCCCAGATTGTTTATTCGTTGGGGGTGCCACATACTGAATTGCCATAACTTCATCAAAACTGATCCGATTTTAAAAGGCAATATCTCGTTGATCTGATTTGGCATCTTCATTAATCCTTGATAATTTTAATAACTTATTTGTTTGTTACGCTATTAAGTAATTTACAATAATAGAAATGACTACCATTTTTATTATAATAATGCGCAATATATATTCAATCTTTAATATTTAAAAAATTATTATTATATTGCATATTTTATTTCCTGCCTTTAAATTTAGAAATATATTTATTTGTTGGGGTACTAAAAGACTATCGCTTGCCTTATTTTTTTCAATTTGAACACCATAAAGAATGTTAAGTAATGACTTTGATGCTGTCCTCAGCCGGCATTTCATATTCAGCAAACATTTCAATGCAATATTCCCACACACTTTTCGACAATTGTTATTGTTGTTGTAGTTGTTGTTTTAATAGCAAAAGCAGAGTTGTAGTTGTTTGTTGGATTTCGATTTGTTAGATAGTCGATAGATTTTGGTGTTACATCGATATAATATCGCTCAAATAGCACAAATGTTAACCAACTGCAATTGTAGCAATTTGTTAATGATTAAACACACGACTAATCCGATATGTTCAGAAATTAAGCTCTAGCCATTTATATTGGAAAAATGATCAAAGTTTTGTAAAATTAATTAATCGAGATATCGCTTATATTGGCTTGGTATGTTTCGTTAAGTCTGTGTATTTTGTTGAGTATCTCTATCAGCTTTAGCAATAAGTCAACACATAAATTTGAATTTTCTGCCAAATTAACATTAATATCAACAAAATATAAAAATGTTTTTGGATTGTGGAATATATTTTATAAAGTAAATTTGAAATTGTAAGTAATAAACTGGATGACATAGTCTAAGTAAGAACTATGCTATGGTCTGTCTAGTGGTGGTAAAGGTTGGATGGTTTTCAAAGTAAAAAGTGGCGAAAAATGGTTGTCCCAAAAGTACAATCATGCAATCCCTTAAGCCATGTGAATGAAATACAAAAACTAATTCGTCTATATCGCGCCAACGAATGCCTATGGAATCCAAAAACTTCTGGCTTTTACAATATGGCATTAAATAAGAACGCCTGGCTGCGCATCTCTTGTTTCTTCAACAATCGCTTCACCGTCGATCAACTGAAGCTGCAGATATTATCGCTGCGCTATTACTTCGCCCAGGAGCAGGTGGCTTTAAAACAAAGCCAATTGGGCGGATATCACTATGAGCCACGGCACTCCTACTTTGAGGAACTGCAGTTCTTGAAAGCACCAATGTCAAACAGTGCCAATTTGAAGGCAATAGAGGTTTGGGATTGAAAGACAATATAAGCTTTTTACATAATTATTATATTATTAATTACAGACAGACAACAAAATCAACTATCTTGCTGTGGATATTTTTCCGCCGAACAGCAGCGAGAACAGTATCCACAGCGAAAAAGTTGATTTTCAATTACCTTCAGCATTGATTCAAACGGTGGACATTTTAGAAATAAATCGGGAAAGTGAACTACCGCAACCGCCGCTTGAGCTCAAGGCACAGCCAAATGAGTTGCGAGCTGCTTCTGGCAACGATTCTTATCATGCTACTGCTGATAATCAAACCAGATCACCCTATTCAGCAAGGCATAGGCGCAGCAGCAGCCATAGTCGGAACAGCGACAACGAGAGATGCAAATACAATCAACAGCAGCTTCAATACATGAATACAGTATCGACTGGGCAGAGAGTTAGCAGTCACCCCTTGAAAAAGGTACTAACTGGCAGATACAGATGCCAGCCAAGGCGTAGCAATGCAGAGGATTGGCACAGTAATAATGATGTAAGCAGCAGGAAGGTACCAAACAGAATGAGTGACGTCAGGCAGAACGACGCATATGAATATAATCCCTATCTTGGAAATTTTCGGGAGATAGTTCGGAAGAAGTCGGGTAACGACGCCAAAAAGCCACTGGAAAATTACAATAGCACTGAACCTCATTACTTATTGCGGAAGGAAGCAGTCCATCAGGATGGGCAAAGAGCTAACCAGAATCCTCTATCTCCGATACAATTTGAAAAGCAACTGCCTAGAAATATAGATTCTAGTTATTACCCCGAGGATCAAGATAACCCGCCCACTATCAAACAGGAGCCCCATAATCTTTCAAATGGTCGACAGACACCACCAACTGTCAATCGACAAAGAGGCAGTTTAGAGAAAAAATCTAGGACAGATTTGAAAGAAGCTGCAGCAGTCGTGTCAGAAAATGCTTTCACTCAAACACCGGACGATGACCCAAGTTTGGGTACCAATGAGATTAATTCTCCTGATGACAGAAGTAGGTTAAATAAAGCGTCCGAAAATAGTCCTTTAGTGCGCTCAAGAGCGCAAAAAATGCAACAAATGAGTAACGAGTTATTGGAGCGCTTACAAATAAAGAGGCGTCGAAATGAGGATAACTTCAGAGAGCGACCAGAAAAGAAGTTGATTAGTGAGGAAGATAATCCAGATGGAAGGTTGCGCCCAGTTGATGAAGAGCCACAAGAAAGATATTTAGGAAAAAGTGATGTGCAGCCTGATCCATTCTTATCATATCAAAATGAGTCAAAAGAATTTTCCGCCAACCAACCGTTAAGTGCTCAATCGAATTCCATCAACGCGCCCTCATCAAGCTATCAAGGAAGATACAGTTATGATCGGGATTATTATCATGATAAGGATCAAGCTGAGTATGAAAATATTCAACAAGGTCAACAGCCTCTACAGAATGATAATGGTTATGCCTCGTCAAACAGAATCCAAGCCCAACGAAGCAATGATGGATACACCTCTGCATATAATGACAAATATAGATTCAACCGGCAGGACCCTAAGATGATAGAACGATGTAGGTGTGAGGATAAATATATCGATCAGGAAAAACGAGGGCAAAAAGATTGGCAAAATTATCCTAACTATGTGGAACGCCGACGGAAATACGCCGATGGTCGGGGAACAATCAGAGAAAGATACGCTGAGCAAGATCCCAGTTATGGGCGAGGGATTCGCGAAGAGATCATTCGGGATTACAGTCAACGGACCTGTAGTCCACAGAGCTCAAAAGTAAATTTGAGAGCCATTGGAAAGTACAATGAAAGAAGAGAAACGCTGTACAACTTAGGCGGAGAGCACAGAATACATGGATGCCAGGCCAATGAGCAGGAGAACTACACAAGAAGAACACAATACTATAATCTGGATAGTAGAGATACCGTTGTTACGAAAAATCAGATCGATCAGGAACACTACAAAAGAAACGAAATGGAAAAAATGTCAAAAATACATTGTCAAAAATACCTCGAAAAAACAGCCTATGTCAAAGCAAACGAAGGTAAACACTACAATGTTGAGGAGAAAATGCAGGATTGCACTTGTTCCACAGACGAAGAGGAATTAGAGACAGTGAAGGTCAAGAAGTCCATCTCTCGTTGTGATGTGGCCGTTGAGACAGACATTGACATGTCGCTCACTGATAGGCAAAAGAAACCCATGTGCGATTGCTCGGACGAATCTTTCTCAGTATCCATGAATAATGGGAAGAAAACCAATTCAAATGAGAAGCCCAAGGCTGCCAAGTATGTCAAGCGAGTTGGCAAAATCTGTGCGTGTAAGCCAGCGTTACTTGTGAAAAACCAAAAGGCCAAGTCCACAGACCCTCCGGGGACTACTGTGTGGAAAGCGGATCCATTGAGAAATCGCGTGGCACCATCAACTGGAACGAAGCCACGTGGTTTGCGTAGGCAACAAAATAAACTGGAGGAAGAAGTTGTAAACAGTAAGTTCATTGATTTTTAAATTCTTGCAATCTGATCGGTGGCATTACCCAGAATTCCAGGCCCTCGTCGGCCGTCCACTTCGATTCGTTCCAAAGGAAAACCTGAATGATGGTAATCAGACTTCTCAAATAATTAATTGCGATGGAATTCAGAGTGCCGAAAACAGGCCAATGAATCCGCTTGGAAGGACACAAGACGCTTACGACAAGTCCTTTTTGAATAGATCAACCAAATGGGAATCTCGAGCCGATTATTCTCAACGCAGTCAAGGGATCTCCACGAGTAATCCGTTTCCTAATCTGAATTTTAATGCTTCGAAAGGAAACGTTATTGTAATACACCCGCCAGTTCAGAACTTTCGTGCCTCAAAATACTCTTGCAACATGAGCCATGTTGATTTAGACGATTACCGAATGTCAGCGGATAGATTTCCGCTGCATACCCAGAATAATCCGAAGCGATCCACTAAAAACTAACACACTAAACCAACCTAATCTAACCATAGCTGTAGTTTTCTTACATATCTCCCCTCCATAGCTGAATTAAATGTATCTCACTGAACTGAAGACTCAGCTGCTTATATTATGTATATGAAGGACTCGTATAGCACCCTAAAAATAGTATAAGCACATTTAAGGGCGTTACGCCTTAATGCTACATGAGCATAAATAATATTCTGGCAATCCAGTCAGTTTTGTCGTTGGGGGTTTGCCAAACATGTTGTTTTCCTATCAGTGGACTTTTTCTTATTGATTGATGAGTCGTCGGAAAATATTCAAGCGTCTCCCGACGCTAATTGATTTAAATACGTTTTTTTTAATTTTCCCTTTAGGCCTACATTTTTTATGTACACTACCAGAACTAAATTACTAAATTACATAGTCTTCAGCAAATATATTCCTAACAAATAATTCTGCAGGCTTATAAAAATCATGTAACAATTCTGATCATAAATATTTTTTCGATTAGCCCTTATCAAGAAAAATACAAAAATATACACTGAATGCGCAATTCGAGGGCAAAAATAAAACTTGGTTAAAATTGCTGGCTACCATATCACAATCAATATCAACCAAATAGACAGAATTATGAAGCAACTTAATATTTATCGTTGGTTCTGTGTTGAAATTAGAGACGAGAGAGAGAGAGATAGAGAGAGAGAGAGAGAAACAAGCACAAGTTTTTGCCAAGCAACTTAAATTGTTGCCAAACACGGGCCAAGTTGAGTGCTAAGAGCTGTCTGTGCGAATCCTGGGCCTCAGGGCAGGCAGGCTGGCGGCCGGGCAGAGGGGCAATTTGGCAGCCATAATGACCATTCCATTGGACAGCTTGGGTGAGCCAAAGGGCGCTAGAGACATGGCATCCTGTCGCGGTGATGGGCGGGTGGTGGTGGAGGGCCGTGTTAGCTACAGGAGCACTGCGCAGCCACGTAAGCACGTTTTAAATTGAATTTCGCTGTAAGGCAAGAGCCGTGCATGTCAGCATAACTGACGCACTGCGGCTGCAAGTGGACAAGCACATAACAAATAAAATGTGGCAGTATTAAAATGTTGCCTCTGCTTATACACAAGATGTGGCCTGGCTCTCTCTATATCTCTGCATCTCCCACTCATTTTTTATCTGTCTCGCTCGCTCTATAACGACCATAATAAAGTGAAAAACTATTTAAACGCATTTATTACGCTAATTGATTTCTGGACCGTTTACAATAATAATAATTATAACAATGGCAATAAACCATACAAGGCGCATATACACTGAAATTAAGTGTCAATCATCATCACAACGTGTTTAACCATTTTACATTATTATAGCTAAATGTATATGAATACGTATAAAAAATGTGAATTGACCCTTAATGGACGTTTACATAAAATGTCGCAGAAAAATAAAAAATTAAGGCTATTTTAAGAGGTGCTTGGCTGGCCCCCACAAAAACACATAAAACCAAATCGATGTTAATTTTTTTGTCATTAGCGAAAATGAAAAATTGATTTTTTTACAAACTAGCTAAATATATCACAAAAATTTTTCAAATTTGTTGCATTATTATTTCCCAGTTTCTTTGCTGACGACGATTTCAGCAGAGGGCAATTGTTGTATTGTTTTGCGGCTCATCTTCAACTATGAACAAATCCAGTTTTTTTGTTTCTCTTGTTTCACTCGAACATTTTGTGGTTATTACTGTTTTAGTTGTTTTTTTTTTTTGCGTAGGGGGGAGTACAAGTAATTTGCAAAAATTTAATCATTCTACAACTGCCGCGGGGCGAATAAAACAAAACTAGACTGAAAATAAAAATTACAGACTCAATCTCAGCGGTGCCGCGCCACTCACAGCTACACATGCAGTAGATGCTGTCATTGATGTTGTTGTAGTTGCTGCGGCCTCCGTCTTTTGTTATTTTACTGGTGTGGAATGCATTTTTGTATGCCTAGTTTTGTTTACCATTTTTATCTTGTACAACCGCCCTTTTTCACATTCCTTCTGCTTTTGTTTCTTTGTTTTGTTTTGTATAAAACAAAATATTATTTGTAAGCTGAAAAAACGACAGCCAGCAGCCGCAGGTAACAAGCATTTCTGCCATATTTATGACCTAAATTTAAAATTCAAACAATACACTCAGTCCGCTGAGCGATTTTCAGTATGAGCTTAATAAAATCGATTAGTCTGATAAAAAAAAAAAAACAGAAATACCAAAAACTAAATACCCTTTTCAAATTAATTAATATATGCCTCCATCAATTACACATTACATGAAAAACGTATCGTACCCCGACAAGAATGTAACGAGGGATAAAATGCTGTTTACTAGTTGACGGCCATAAAATATGGAGTTAACCGCTGTCAATACAATAAAAAAAAAATAAAATTTAATACTAGCCGACACTCGATAACATAAATTGTCAATTAATTATTAACAGCTTTTAAGGTCGCTGCCGTTAAATATTTTTAATTCGATTTTTTTTTTTTTTGCAAGCTATTTGCACGCTATTTCAAAATCAATTTCCACGTAATTTCGGCAAGTCATGGAAGCTTATGAGGGAACCTACAGATACTATAAGTAGTGACAAATCATAATATATTTATGAACAGCAAACCTTATACACAGAAAGATACAAGTATATAGTCGCCTTAAGCAGCTGCATACGAAATTAGGCGAAATTGTAAAGTTCGTGTTAGCTGAAATTGGGCTTCATGCGTTTGTAATCAAGTGAGATCAAGAGTAATGGCTTTTTTGTGTGCGAGGCGCACAATTTTTAAATGCACTAAGAGTGTTACACTCGAGTGCCGCACATTTATCACGCATACACACCCCCTTACATTTATATAATGTTGGGAATAATGGAAAATCGCATTTAAATTGCTTGGCGTACAATAAATTATTATAATTCATCACACGACTAAAGTTGTGTGTTCACTGTTCGCAATGTTTGATAAATTGATTGACTTCAATTGAATTGAATCGAATTACTGGCCTATGAACAGAGAGTACTCTTTTTGTGTATATTGAAAATATACCATAACAAATTATGATACTTTTTCAACGCGACAAAAACATCGTATGAGTGATATCACATTGTGAGCACATCGCATGACAGGCACTTTATTAGGTTTCGCTATTAATTTGCATGCTTTTTTCATTGCGTATGCGGCCCACATCAACTTCAACTTCACAGCTACCTCATGTGCCCATCAAACCAAAAATTGTAATTATACTGTTAACTCGAAAAAAGCGAACAAAAAAATCAAATAAAAAAGCAGACATGAAAATCGCAAAATTCCATTAATTTTAAGCAGTCAATCAAAATTGCCAACTCGACGTCGATTATATTATGCTAATGAATAGCAGACAGGCAGAGTGGTTTGACAAGCATTTTACGGGGAATGTAAGATGCGACCTTAAGACTTAAGATGCCACTCCAAACATAAGGACAGACACAGCAGGTGGCAGCTGTCCAAAACAAAAGTCGACAACTATCAACATCATTCATTATTATTTATTATCGATGGAGCATACGTGGCGTATGCTTAACATTCGCTGCTCTAGCATATAACATCATTTCTCACAAGGAGAAGACAAGCTGACTGCAAGAGATAAAACACGTGTTAGTCATTTGACACTAGGTCTGATTGAACTATTTCGGTTGAAAAGAAGAAAACGGCCACTAGGGCATAGTTTTTAAATCAAACCATAATTTTGGATCAAATTCCTTTTTTATTTTTTGACATTTTGTTTTTCGGTGTTTGTCTTAAGTCTGTTTTCTAATCAAACCATTTATGTTATATTCAAAATGGCACATAGTAGTTCAAGTTTTAAATTGTTTAACAGGGTAGTTTTCAGTTAATCCGCATGCCTGAATTAGGCCAAATTTTAATTGAGTGTCCTTTAATTTTAAACAAATACACAGCATATCGATAATTATATTTCTGCAGTCATTGGTGTGTAAGTGCGCCATTGAACAAATTAACTTATGGTCTTTCGCACTTTGCATATATATAAATCTTTATAGATATATGTATATACGTATGTCGTTGATACTATCAGTAAATCGTCTCGAGTACTTTGTCAACTCAATTAATTATTGATATAAACTTACATTTGTTTGCACTGCGGTCCAGCACGGCATAATATTTGTTTATGCAAATTGTGTTTAATTAATACATAAACAATAGAGGAGTCTGTTGGTTTTCATACTTTTGTTGTTGTTGTCGCTGCGGTCAGAATTTTGGTAGAAGAAAATGTGAGCCTTGCCGTCATATTTTGAAATTTGTGGGATACCGGCATTAATTTACCAGTTAGCCACAGACAACTTTCACACACACACATACACACTCGAATAGGTACATACATACACACGCCGCAGGTTGTTGTGGTTGACAACCTTTCTGGCAAAACCGACAACTTCAACCAAAATCTGCTTAGTGGCTGCGTAACCATGTAGCATGGTCTAGTTGCCCTCTCCGAACACGATTATCTAGTTGAATAGTTGCTTAAAGCTTTGCCAGTACCATCAAGCATCAAGTACTCAATGTGACCGTCATGCAAGGTACCGTTACCGTAACGTTTAAAAACTCGTTTAAGCATGTTGCTCTACTCACACCCAAGTTGGTAACTAAAAAAGATAGTTAGCTCTCATAGTGGCAACATTTCTATACTCTACTGCAGAATAAATTTCAAATAAGGAAGTATTTTTAAAAAAATGATTGCTATCGGATATGTTTTACCAAACTGCTAGCTTAAAAGTGAAATAAAAATACACTTTCGTGGCTCATTCGAGGCAGATTGTAATAGGTATTATATGTTTTGCTAAATTTTAGGGGGATGCCTAACAGTACAAATTCTTAATTTCAATCCTCTCTCAGCTCACATAAGGAGTCTGAGTTGAATAATTTTGGTGGCTGGGCAAAGGGTTCCACAAAGTTTTGATGCTCTCTCATCCTGTCTATATAATGGAAATTTGAAAAATGCTTCGCTTAGCTCAGGCACACAGACCCACTGGTTTGCATACATACATAAAACATGTTTTGGCACACAAAACCCAATAACAAAAAAAAGGAGCAAATACACCAAAAAAATTGAAACGAAATACCATAAAAAAAACGGTTGAACGGAATTCAAATATCGAACACATTTCTTTACTTCGACGCCGTTGCCGTATTTGTGTAGAAATGTATTTGTCGGTGTGTGCGTGTGTTGTGTGTATGCTCCTAGATTTATGCCACATTTCATTTACATTTTGGGCGCGTCGCGAATAAAGTAAATAAAATAGATCTCAAGTGGCGCACAATTGTTAATAAAAATTTTCGTTATTGTTATTTACATTTTTGTATCTTTCACTTGTAGCTATTGGGCTGTGACCAACATCGATTATATTCACTCGCGCACCAGCAATCGCGTCTTTATGATGATCTTCTGTGTGTGGACGGCAGCAGTGATTGTTTCCTTGGCGCCACAGTTTGGCTGGAAGGATCCAGACTATTTGCAGCGCATCGAGCAGCAGAAATGCATGGTATCCCAGGATGTGTCCTATCAGGTGACCTAACAGGCCCAGATCAGTTCTGTTTTCGATTTCAAACAATGCATAAGTGTTTGCTCTGCAGGTATTTGCCACCTGTTGCACCTTTTATGTGCCACTGTTGGTAATCTTGGCGCTATACTGGAAAATCTATCAGACGGCAAGGAAACGCATCCACCGCCGGCGGCCAAGACCCGTCGATATGACGGCTAACAATAATCAGGTAGTGCTTTAACACATTTTCTAAACAGATTAGAATAACTCAAATTTTATATCATTTTTTGATATACAAATGCCCAGTGTCTGAATTTTTATTATAAGACATTTAAAGTTTGCTATTATTATTTCAACTATAACCATAAAAATGGCAATACAATTATTATTGCAAGTAGTTCAAATATAAATTAAGAGATTTATTTTTAAAATATCTATTACTATTCTTTCACACACTCATAACTTGCTAAAAAGCTATTTTTTATATTAATTATTTTACATAGTTCTAACTACAATTATCTGATTAAAGTCTTATTATTTTGGAAACGTTATAAGTTAACACGTACAGTTACGCAGCCGCATGCAGGGTGTTGACTGCTAACTGCTTAGTAAATCACCCTGTATAACACCACATATCCACATACTAACTAAGCCGCCACACAATTTGCTATGTAATCACCAAACCTTGCAATTATGCACTCTAATGAAGTTAATCGCATAAGGCATACCCCAAGGAATAATGGAATGCGGAATAAACTTAAACTTAACATATGCAAGACGCCCACGATTTGGTCAGTCTAAGTCGTGCTCGACTTGGCCCATGGGGCTAAATGTAATTAGGCAGCTTCCAACTTCATTCAAGTGTGTTTAAAAATGCATTTTAGAATTGGATGCTCGCCTTCTGCGTTGACCATGAAAGGCAGCTCACTTAGATGTCCAGCAAAAATTAAGACGAATAGTGGTTGCCAAGAAACGAAAATAACCTTTCTTGCTTTGAGCTCTGCGTAAGTGTCTCAAATAAATTTAGTTTTGCTAAATTGCAATTTGGATTTTGCTTTTATGTGTAGGTGGCTCTTCAAAGAAATATCTTACGATAGGTGACCTTCACTTAATCAATCAGTTTGTACAGGTACAGGTATTGTAGGAACATAAATTCATTAAATGTTAGTACACATTTACAGTTTAACATACATAACTTTTAATATACACTCCAGAAAACAGTCTCATTCTTATGCCAAGTTAACTGGCAGACAAATAACTTACATAGAGAATTTAAGCTTCGTTGTTGCCTTTGTAAGGCTCTTTGTGTTTGTATTTGTTTCTTTTCTTTCTTCTTTTCTTTATTTTGTATATAACTGGCACATGCTCAGAACCAGCTACTTAGCTTCAGTTTAATACTTTGACTAAATTGAAAATGACCATTTGACGTGCAAATGTTTGCAACCACTTACCTACACATATACTTACAACGACACACATACTCGCACATGCCATGGACACATGGACACATGGACAGTGCGAAGCTGACAAAAAGTCATTGGAATCACAAATTCAATGCGCAAACAAGACAAGTTGTCCACTATTTGCCAGCGTACACATATCCCAGTCATGTCCGGTCCATGTTGCTTTTTATCTGTGTATGTATGTGATGCTGTTGCTTTAGTATTGGCATTGGTATGCGCACACACAGAAACACACAGCTACAGATATACGCATCCATTTAGTGCCACTCACTGGCCTGACCTGCTTGTTGATTTTAAAATATATTTACCCCACTCAGCGCAGGCATTTTGATGCCCTTACCTCAAGATAGCTAACTCAATAGACTAATTTGCTTACAATGGATTTTAACTGCACTTTAAACCAAACTCTTTGAATATACGTGATTAAATGCGAAGGATAAAATAATAATAATATCGTAATTAGGTCAGAACCAAAGAGGCATAGGTTACTACTGTTATGCTAAAATATGCATTATTGTGTTGAAATGCTATAAACTTTTTCTTATCCTAAGATCTTTTGTGCTCCAAGACGGACTTAAATAAATTCCACCTTAACTAAGCCTTTGCTTTTGATGAGACTTTAGCTATTGTGTCCTGCTCGGCTGTAATAGAACTTAAATTAATTAAATGACGCTGGCAATATTCAGGAGCTTTTAAAGCTAGTAAGTAAGACTTGAGCTGCAATTAAGCTTAATTTTGTATGCCTCACCAAAAATATAAAGCTTAGGTATTAAAAAGAGCATTTGGCTAACGACTTGACAACGTTTTTCAAATTATTCTCTTGTTATTCCCTTCTTTATTTAACTAAATGCTTTCAAATTGAAAATTGCTTTCCTGCAACTTGACGAGGGTTTATACTTACATATAACGCATCAACAACAACATTGCAAGAACAACAACAGATTCAAAATACATTCCGCTGCTCGCCTGCTGCGTGCTCTGTTACAATTTTCTCTTCTCTTTTTTTTTGTGTGTATATTTAATAATGATTTGTTGTAGCAAAGTTTTGGATACTTGGATACAAAAACAACAACAACAGCAATCAGTAGAAAAATTGCTGATTTTGTTTTTGGTTTTGTTGGCAGCACATAAATTGTAGTTAATTGCATTTGCATTTAGCATGTTTATGGCCAATTCTAAGCTAAACTGGCAACTGGCAGATGACTGAATAATTCGGTCTGCAATTGATTTAAAATGCAAGCATTTCAACCAATAAATTTCAAAAAATTACATTTACGAACGTATCGCTACTGTCTTTGTAATTAAATTTGTATACATCACAAAACTGCGCGATTTTAAGACTTAAAGATTTATATATTTTTAAAAATGCTTTGTACATCAATGTAAACGCAAAGCAATAATTTCTTGAGTTAAAATAAAACTCGCCTTAGCAACTCTTGTCATATTAACCTCTTAAGTTGACCCACAAATCTCTCTTACAACGTATTAAATGTCACACAAAGTATCCATTTATCCCATCGTCTGTTTGAATGCATTGATTTTGCAATTAACATAACACACGTTAGTAAAAGGCAATTAAGCAAATTGAGCGCACAGGTATTATCTGTAATTTAGCTATGAGTCTAATGCCACACACAACTCGCCGCAACAACAGTGGCAACAAAGCCAACAATAACAACAGCAAACATTAATAATAATGTAACATTATACACAAAAAGCAATCGGTCTTTGAAGTGTCCCTTAGCCAAGTGATGCTGACAACAACGCCCAGATGCTTTGCTCTCAAGAGCATTGATAATATTCTGTTGTTGTTGTTTGTCCCCGCCTTGACCACTTGAACATAATCACAATTACATTTGCAAGCAACAACAGCAACAACAGCCACCAAAGTGACAGCAGCGACAGCAGCTCAAATTGATTGCTCTAGATATTGACATTATGACCATAGCCATATGACAAACAGCCAGGACCAGGACATTAGCAGGCTGAACATATTTTGTCTAAGTCGTCCATATGCGACACACGTCTTCAACTTGTGTTGTTTCTTTCTCTTTTTTCATATCAAGGGTAGCAACTTTAACACTCAGCTACAAAAGCAGACATAAAAAGCTTTAAGGAAAATATATATTTTATTGACTGTCAATAAACTTCTATAAGCTGTACATTAAATCGAAATACAGTTTCTATTAAATTAACAATGCAATCCACAAAAAAAAGTAATTATCTTACGTAAATATTAGCCAGTAAAAAAAAAACATTTATCTGCAAACAACATAAGTAAACAACTTTTTTTTAAATACAAAAAAAAACATAAATTAAAAAAAAACATATATATACATATATAAATATATATATATATATTTACATATATTGATTGTGTTGGCCAGTGTAAATATAGAGAAAACATTTTTGCCAGGCACTTGAGCGACATTTAGGACATAGCTAGGCAGGCAGCATAAATCGCATTTAAGGAAATTATTGGATACACACGCACACACACAATACACAGCACACTTTAACATAGAAAAAGACAAAGACACACTCACACTCACACGGAGAGTGATATGGAAGCTCAACACATGTCTCACAAGAAAAACAATTAAATAAGAAAACAATTTACATAAATTAGCCAAAGTGGCAAAATGGCTTCGGCCAAGTATCGTTTATGCAAACGCTTAAATAAATGTGCACACACACACGCAAACGTTCACTAGTGTATATGTGTATATATATACAGCGACAGCTGACAGGCACATCTACATAAAATACACATTGAGCTGGGTTTACTTATCGTCGACTCTGCTGAAAAGTGTGCTACACTTTACTACACTGGGAGTAGGAGCAGTGCACGCTTCTGTTGTGTTATCTATGACTGTGTGTATGTTTCTGTATGTGCTTTACTTTAGTATTTAAATAACGTTAATGTGCCATGTAGTTTAGCTTTCGATCTAAGCAAAATGCCAAAGGGGAATCCATGGAATTTATGGCCAAGCACTCACACGAGCAACTTTCTACCAATTGCTTAGTACGCCAATTTGATGGCACGCCAACTGGCAAACAATGTGCCAGAAATGCCGTATGCGTATGTATCGCTGAAGTTATCAGCGATTCAATTACGCATTGATTACCCACATGGTAGCAACAGCAAAAGCAATAGCAGCAGCGAGAACACAATGCCTTGTATACGCAATCTCTGGCATGTACAACTTGTGCAAGGACGCAAATTCAATTAGCGTGCTGCGAACAAATGCGATTATTACAGAAATATATTTTTCGGCAAAAGGTTGTTTGCCTATAGCTGCGGAAAATTGTAAACGGAACAGGGAAAAGTTAACGGATCTACGGATTCAAGTTAACCCCAAATTGTTGATTACTTTAATGCTAGGTGCGGAAAATCGTTGAATACCAAAGAAATATTAATAAAGTTTGGATTTATACCGAAAAGTAAAGGCCTCCTTCTAGCTCTTTTATCCCATTCAGTTTTGTCCATGGCTTTTGCTTTATTTAGATTATAAATTTTGTTTTTATTATATTATAAATAAATTATAATATTTTTTTGTTTGCTTGATTTCTCAGTAATTTCATTATTATTAATTTATTTTAAATTACGAATTGCTCACTTAATTATAGGTACAGCTAGAGCGCATATATCAGATATATTATTGTATATATTTTAAACAACATTTTTTAATAAATCGCTGATTTTAGCATATAAAGTTACTGTTAAAGTTCATAACTCTAACCAGAGATAAGCGCCTGTCAAATTTAAGTCTCTAACTTCTAGTTGCAAGGACACATAAAGTTTCTTGCTTGGGTAACTACAATTTTGGTTATCTAATAACCATAAAGGAGACTTCAATTTAATAGCTGTCTGCTCCCAGTTGGATTAGGTTGCACCTAAAAACGACGTCTAATTAAGTATACAGCTTTTAATATTTAATAAGCTGACTTGACCCTTCAACACTTGTCCGCAAATCCAACCTCATAGGGCACATGAAGTGCAAAGGGGCGATACATGTGAGGAAGCAATTACACTTCTGTTGTCCTGCCCACAAAATGAAGGTCACATACATAGCTGCAAATCCATTTAATACTATTTGCGCAAATATTCACGCCATTTGGGAATGCTTGAAAAGGGAGCCGGAGTGGTAAAAGGGCATGACCAGGCACACTACAAACCCGATGCCATTTTCATCTTCTTCTTGCTGCGACTACGGTATTTTTTTCGGCAAATTTCCGCACACGAACGCAAAATCAGCATAATTTTATTTATTTAAAGCAATATCGACTTCGCAAAGGGTCAACATGGCAATGACGAGAACGTTGACGATGAGGCAAAAGGTTTGACTACTCAATTACTTTAATTTGGTGGGGATTGAAGGCGACGACAACAGCGACGAAAAAATGAGAAAAAAGTGAAGAAGAGAAAAGGATGCAGCCGTAAGAAGTGAAAAAAAAAATCAAAGAGGTCAAGCGCTTGAGGCAGTCAAGCGTGAAATTTATTTTGAACAGGCACTGTAGTTAGTTGGGGCTGCCCTTTTTCTTGAGGGTGGTGTGCAGCATTGCTGATGTGGAAGTGGAACTGTGGCGTGACTGTAACAAATACACACAATTTATTTACGAACGTATCCACTTACATATGCATATGTTGAAGGCAACAAAACAGAACATGGGATCGGCTTGGGCTCAGCTCAAACTCTGATATGCGTACAAATTGCGGTTTATTGAAGTGTAAGGCGCAACAGCAACAAACACAACTACAACAACAAAAACATCAACAATATGCAAATTCCCATCTTTTGTTATTCATTTTAATGTCAAAAACTATGAATTTAATTTTGATATTCAAAATCGATGCAGCTCAACATAACTAAACTCTCCATCCTTTCACCTTCTTTTCCACTTTAAGCCCGATGCGACAGCGCCAACAGATACAAAACTTAATCGTCTGCGGCTACGTCTTGGCAGATTCTCAACGGCCAAGAATAAGAGCGGTGGTGCTGGTGGTGGTGCAGCAAGTAGTACGGCTCTTGGTTTGGTGGAAGGCAACTCCACAAACACCGTAAACACAGTGGAGGATACCGAGTTCAGTAGCTCGAACGTGGACAGCAAAAGCCGAGCAGGCATTGAGGTAAGTGCCAGCAGCAGCACCATCAAAATCAACATCAACAACAAGTGCTGGGGATTTGAATTTTGGAATTAGGTTTTTGGTGTGAGATTTTCTTTTTTCTTTGGGTGTGGCCTGTGCTTTGGTTCTCTGTGCACATTCAAAGCAAATTTCATAACGCCTGACATGTGCCCAACGACCTGAGTTTGCTTCCTGAGTGCACGCAACCTGCGAAAGAAAAAAAAGAGGGGAAAAGCGGAAGTAAAAAAATAAATTCCTTGTCCAGTTCGTGCGATATTCTGAGTCCTGCGTAATCCGTGTTAAATCCAAATAGAAACTTGCACATGTCGTTAGCTAAACATCAAGTAGTCCTGACATTTGATTTATGCACGCATAAATCGATTTTTTATACGGATTACGTATACGTCGCGTGTGTCAACAAACGGCAAATTAAAAGACAACCAATAGCATTTGATTTTATTGCAAATAAAAACACCAAATGCATATACATATATATATATATATATATATATATGTTATTGCAAATAAAAACCTCAAATGCATATACATATATATATATATATATATTTATATATTTATATTTCATATGTGTATTTGTGAGCATATACTCTAGGTACGCAAGCGTTTTGGGTAGCAAATCCTGTAAATTACCCACTCAATAGAAATGTGTGGCGATAAAATGCAGGCAAAGCTTTTTGTTTATTGACGTCCAAATTTGTATTTAGCCGCATTTTATGTACTTCAATTTCAGATTTTTATGGCTAAAAAATAAGCAGCAAGATACACCCACACACACGCACACACACATTCAATAATAACGCATTAAAGCAAAAGCCACGAAAACCGAAGCGAAACGAAAACCATAAAAGAGCCAAGGAAAATAAATTGCTTGAGCGTTTTGTTGGCATTGGTCACAAGGTGGCTAAAAGTCGAGTGGCCAAAGGTCGCACCGATTCGTTCAGGTTAAGTAATAGCAAAGTCAAATATAAGCTCTGTGACAAGGATACGCCAGTGCCATCGCCATAGCCATCGCCAGCTCCTTTACCATGCAAAGCATCTCCAGATCCAGCAAACCAAATGAAAACAAAGCCAAACAAGAGCAACAACAACAAAAATAGTAACAGCAACAGGAGCTGAAAACGTGGCCTAACAAGGCACTCAATACGCCTGAGTAATTGAAGAAAATATGTTGATAGCTTATGGCTAACAGCTTTCGTTTCCATTCGCTTTGGCCCATAATAACCAAGCGAACCAACTGCGTATCGTACTTGCCTTCAGCTGGCCAACATAGATTAAATATTTACTTGGGCCAGGTTTCTGTGTGCGCCAAATAAGTGAACTGCCAAATAAATAAACACACAAACACGCATAGCTAAAAGCAAATATATAAATTTATCTTACTAGTTTTGTTTAATATCAGAAAAGGGGCGGCTGCGACGAATGAGCTAAAGCAAACAAAATACCCACAAAAAAAGAGCAAAAGATAATAGAAAAAGGAAAACTAAAACAATAATATTAGGCAGTGTGCACCAAAGCTTTTATGCGAGCCGAGAAATAAGTAATATAGATTTCCATACAACTTGGAATGCATTTTCATTGATAGCCACACATGTGTTATTAATATTTTCTTGAATGTTTGGCTTTGAATTAATCTAACAGCAAAAGTTAAAGCTCCCATATCGACAAGCCATGTTTCAAGTCATTTACTTTGCTTAAGCACCTTAATATTTCAAGTGAATTAAATTCGAGCTATTTTAACTATTAAGAGAGTTATTTTTTATTTTAGTAAAATAGTATTTTTTAGCATTTTTCACAAGTAATTGTTGTTCATATTTTGAGCCAGACTTCGATGAAAACTTTTAAACTGCATAAAGCAATAGTTGAAAGCCCCGCAAGTTATAAAATTCACCCATCACATAAGCAAGATACAAGCATTGCTTATCATGTGATTTATAAGTCTCATGCTGAACCCAGCCTATCTCAGTGCAGTGCAGTGCAGTATTAAGTGTTCACTTGAAAAAACCAAACAAAAACAAAAAACAAGAAGTCAAGTGCCAGCAGAAAATAAATTGAGAAAAATATACATTTCACTCATATACATACCGTAAGGGCAGTAAAACCAAGTCCAACTGCGGGGGCTCTGAAGGGGCAAAGTGCGTGCACCTGCACATAAATAATATATTAGCCAGGCTAGTGTGAGTGTTACTTTGTGAGTGTGTGGTTTATTCTTTACACTTTTACACGTTAACGCTCAACTCTTATGCTTGCAGTTATGTTGTTTTGTGGTTTAGGCTTTTGGTTTCTAGCTTCTGCTTTTGGATACGTGTTCTTATTTGCATTTCAAATTCAAAGTAGCTTGCACAAACAACATGCAGCTGGAACTGTGGTGTATGCGAGTTCATATTCACGTTGCCATATTGAATCAAGTGAAAAGTTATTATATCCACGTCGTAAACTGTATTGACTTTTGGCTTGTGTTGCGCCTTTTGAATTGCAGTTCGCCTTGCCGTGGCTCTGATTTGCTTTGCGTGAACATTAAGATCGAAACGCAACCAATCCCAAGCCAAACGAAATTGAACACTTCCTACAACATTTGTTTGCACTACTTTACGAACGACACAATGACAATGGTCAATGTTCAGTGTACAATGGCAATAACTTTGATTTCAACATTTGTGTGCTGCTTGGCTCTCTTTTGTAAAGTTGTACAATTTGCCAATGGCCATTGTATTTTATATGTAGTTTAAGTACGTTCTTTACTATCCGCATCCGGTCGGTCCGGTTTTGTGCTCCTTCTTGCCATTGTTATTGGCAAATGGTCGCAAAATGAAAATGCATTTTTTATTTGGTTTCCAATTTGAATGTCTTCCTGTTGTCAATGTTGTTGAGATTCTTTCTGGTTTGTCTTTGTGTTATGTGTTCTGCTAAAGGAACCACACCAATTACATGCCTATAACACAGCCCAGCCATATATTATGAAATCAAAGTCATAAAATTCATTTGGCAAACGCCACTGGCAACTGGTCCGTGTGGGCCATTAATTGTCAGCAGGAAAAAAACAGATTCCAGGTTGAAATTAGAGACGAGATACCTGTGCTTTCTGCAGACAGATAAAATGGCAAGTTTCGGTTTTCACAACCTGCTTTTTATTACCTAGAAAACAGAAAAAAAGTAAGCACAATTTTGAATTCGTTCCGCGGTCGTTTTAATTCCCACATTCCTTGCAGCGAACTCGCCGTAAACGATGGCTGAACACTCAATAACATAATATCCAGAAATCGTTTATAAAGTGAAAGTGTAAAAGTAAAATAATTAAATTGGTTTTCGAGTTGTACAGCCTTAATATTAAAATTGATAAAACTTGCAAAAAAAAAAATATTAATTCGGATTCTAAGTATTTACACCAAGATAGCTAAGCTAAGCAAAAATCGACAAAATGTGAATTTGTCGGAAATGTCAAAGTGTAAAATAATCTGCCAACTATCGTCTGACAACTGTCCTCAATAGATATATTGTGTCACGTTTTTCGCCTCTACTTTGCACATCTCTAGCCGGTTGTGCGCCACCTGTGCTATTCTAACATTCGATGCTCGTTCGCAAGGCCGTAGACAAAATTTATAACACATAAAAGTTGATTTTAGCACTTTACGTTTCTGCACATAATGTGGCCGGCACATGGACACTGCTGGCTCAAATTACAGGTGATTATATGAATTTTAGTGCCCAGGACATGCCGTTAGCAGCCAGCTCAAAGTCGACAAATTGTAGCCCTTTTTGACCAAGTGCCGCCAAATCGCCCAACAGACAGACTACCTGACTACGCCAGCCTGCTCGCCTGCGGCCAGGATAGTGGGGTGGCGCTTCTGTAATAGCATGGGCGTGGCAAGCACCACCCACGTAGTGGGGAGTCAAGGAGGTGTTCCAGTAGCGCACAAATGCGCAACGAGCTTAACGAAAATAAATATTTGCTCAGCGATTTTATTTATTTGGTAAATTTATAACCACAACTGCGTGGCATAAAAAGCTCATGAAAATTGACGACCCAACGCTTGTTGTAGATAGGAGCTGAGGCCGAGACAGGGAGCATCACTAAATAAATTTATGAATGCAATTGAAATTGTGATTCGTGTGTGTGTGCAGCACAGATTTGAAATGCTAATTCAGTTAATTTTTATGCTCGGTTCCCAATTTGGTTTGGAACGGTTGCTCTCATTTTAAGATTATGACAAAGAAATATTGCAGCGCACGTTCTTGCCTGCGAAATTAGCCAAATTGCTACATCCCTTATCATTTTAATATAGAGTCATAAGCTTTGACTTATTTTAGATATGTATGTATGTATATGTTCTGCTCTAGACTCTTGACTTGCTTCTTAATTAACACTGCTATTCGGGATTCAGAATATGTTAATACTTGGCTTTAGTTAGTTAAGCAAAATTCAAAACAATTTCTAAATTCATATGCATAAGAAGTGCGAGTGATTTTGTCGACAGAGCTGAATAGGACACAGCCCATAAATAAAATTATGTGACTAGAAAAAATAACTTGCAAACCCACTATAATTATCAAAATTATAATTGTTCAATCAGATGTAGTCTATTTTCCAATTTTCAAGATAAAAAGTCTACTAAATTATTTTTGTACATTTCGAAAATCAAACATTTTAACAATATACATGAAAATTATATCTGATTTTATATTTAAGTCCTGAACCGGCTCATGGTTTATTTTAATTGGATTTCCAGTTCATTTTTACTCACAAGCTTGTCTGCATAAAATTAGAGCTTCAAACTAATGGCCTACTTTGATGTGATCATTTCTAGGTACCCAGCACATCGGGCAGCCAAATTGCAACTGTTTCGCACCTGGTGGCGCTGGCTAACCAGCAGCATGCCAGCAGTGCCAAGCAGCAAAGACCAGTAGCCACAGTCCAGCAGCCGAGAACAGAGACGCTTAGCAAAGAGGAGCAACCATTGGAGGAAGAGCAGCATCACCAGCAGCAACTGGATGAAGCACTGGAGACTGCAACCACAACTTCAGAAGAAGCAACGGCAGCGGCAACAACGGCAGCATTGGGCAAGGCAAACGGAAATGGTGGTGTTGGTGGCGCTGTGGAAGTGCTTGAGGATCCGCAGCTGCAGCAGCAGCTCGAACAAATGCAGGAGCTACAGAAAACAGCGAAATGTGGTGGGGTTGGCGGCGGAGGTGCTAGTACATCGAATGCCACAACAATTACATCGATATCAGCGCTGTCACCGCAAACGCCAACATCGCCAGCCATCGTACCACAGGCAGGCGCCGTTGGCCCCATGACAGCCAAGACCAGCACATTGACTAGCTGCAACCAAGCGCATCCGTTGTGCAGTTCGGCCAATGCCTCCGGCGCTGTAACCCCAGAGCCGCGCACCAAGCACCATCAGCAGCAGCCAACAGCATCGCACCAGCCACAACAGCAACTGCAACAACAACAGCTGTCAAGCATTGCAAATCCGATGCAAAAGGTGAACAAGCGCAAGGAGACCCTGGAGGCGAAACGGGAGCGCAAGGCAGCGAAAACATTGGCCATCATCACCGGCGCCTTTGTTGTCTGTTGGCTTCCGTTCTTTGTGATGGCATTGACGATGCCGCTGTGTGCCGCCTGCCAGATCAGTGATAGCGTCGCCTCTCTCTTCCTCTGGCTGGGCTATTTCAATTCTACACTCAACCCGGTAGTTGTCAATTATAATACGACAAAAATTAACCTTATTCGGCTCTAGTCGAATATTTAAGAAATCAACTACTAATTTAATATTATAGTATTGTATTAAATTCACTTGAAACTGAGCTTTATGAGATTTATGAATATCTCGAAAGGTAATCAGTAATTCAGTTTTCGACCGATTATTCCTATGTAAGATATAGGAATTCGAAGGTTAAAGATTATTACGGCAAGCTTAATTATTGAGATTGAATTAAAGGTTTAAAAAAAAGAGACCTCTTTTTAACGGATAATTCCTCCAGCAAAAAGAAGGATTCAGCCCAAGATTCTTTCTTCCTGCTAGTCAAAAACTGTAAAACATAAATGTGCATTGAATATTGAAAACAGAGTCTACAAAAATCGGTAGCTCGTTTTACCTAACCTCAAAGCACCACTCACTAAATATACAAGCACTATTTGTACATTTGAATATATTTAAGTAGCGCAATTACAATTCAAATTACTGCAATCCATATCTGTCAAAGTTCCACTCTAGATTATCCAGTGGACAGACGGAACGCGTCCGCAGCCAACGCGAAATGCAGTGGAAATGGAAAGCATGACTGCAGGAGCCCCAGGCGACGACGCAGTCGTTGCCGTTGTCAGCGTAGTGATTGGCCTGGCACTCAATACACGGATCCATAACATGATTGCGGCAAATGGCACAGTTGTCAACAACAATATCCCATTCCCAGAGAGCCACACCATGCCACTTCTTTAAAATAAAGCGCTTCGAAGGTGGGCCGCCACCGGTGACACCGTCATCGAAGGCATCGCTCTGCTGCACTTCGGAGTCCATGATGCTGATAGTGATTTGTCGTAAATCGTGATTTGCAAAAACAATCAATGTATTAAGTGATTCGTATACTCATACTTTGATACTCAAGAATACAGAAATCAAATATATTTTACACAAACTTGCGATTCGGTTGTGCCAATTTGAAAGATGGGCTGCCAACTTTTCTTTTCATTACCAATCAAAGTCACTTACAGTATTTATTTTTTTTTTTTGATGGTCAGAATATCGATGCACACTGAAAAAAAATAAAAATATTTAAATGATATACAGTATATATTAAAATGCTTGGTATCGATAACTATTGTGAAAGCTAAGCGTATATTGTTGTTATAAAAAAGTGAACAAATGTAGAAGCAGTAAATCCAATCAAGATATCTTATTAGTATATATTAGTCTATTGATATTATATATTATTATATATTTGTCAAATCGATTCAGTCATAAGTAATAATTGAATATTGTGTAGGTAAAACTCATGTTTTATTTTTGAATTACAGGTCATCTATACGATATTCAGTCCCGAGTTTCGTCAGGCCTTCAAGCGAATACTCTTTGGCGGTCACCGGCCGGTGCATTATCGCAGTGGGAAGCTCTAGATAGTGCATGCGAAGAGGCGAAGGTACGTATCCATCTATACACATATATAAAGAAATAAAAAGCTTAATATTTAACTACATTGTTACAATTCTTGAAAATTGAGGACATGGCAAGCAATTGCATTTGACTCACTCCCTTATATTTATTTTTATTTTTATTTTCAATTTCGCGCTACAGGTTTCAATTTGCAATGCTGCTTCCGAAATTGATATTGCTTAAGCATGCTGGATAATGCTGTTGATGCTGCTGCTGTTGCAGTGTTCAAAGTCTTTTCAGTTTGGTTGTCAACGTTTTTGCTTTTGCTTCGGGCTTTCAATTTTTAAAAACAGACTCCACACGGGCAGCCATGGGATATAGCCTGTGGCACTCACATAGATTCGAATTGGAAACGCTTTGTTGCCAGCTTTCCTATGCCTGGGAAACTTGAAACAATTTGTTAGCTATGCGAAAAGCGCGGGCAAAAGTTTCGGGGCTCGAGCCCAATGTGAAAGTTTTATCAACGCTTATCGCTGCTGTCATCTGCATACGAGAGACTGTTTAGAATCGCTTGGCCAATGCAACGGCTAACGGATACCGTCTAATGGTCCAAACGAGCCATTCGAAATATGGCCCGTCACAGTGCTGAACCGAATGCCGCGCAACTGAAAGCTTATCTACAAAAGCGGGCGCCCCAATTCCCTCTTACTCAACCAAAAAAAAGGAAAAAAACAGCCTTGAATAGTTATCCATTTGCATTTGCAGTAGCAGTAGCTATAGCCTGCCATCTTAGCCCAATTGGAAGATGGAGACATCTGCGTGTGGCAGCAGTTAAATCTTCAGCATTTATTCACTTAAATTTATCAAAAAGTTAAATTAAGTAACATTAATTTGAAATTCTGTTTTCTGTTTGATTTGTATAATTTGAATTTCATGCTAATGAGATTTTTGCAACTAAAAAACAACTCTTTATAGACGATTCTGCTAAAAAAAAAAAGAGAAAATTAACGGCAGACGATCTTTCCTCTTCGGTTGAAAATCTACAAATCCACCAAAAACAACTCCAAAAGGAAGAAAGCACACCATAAAAAAGGACTCACAGCATGTATACCAAGAATGATTTTTAGCATATATATATATATATATATATATATATGTAAATAAGTTGAACTACAAATTTGTTTAAATTAATATTAACTATGCGATTAGATAGTGGTGTATTAAGTTTGTAATTTAATTGATAAAAGTGGAGTCTGTCTTTTTTTTAAAGAAAAAACAGAAAAAAAGAATCTATGTAATCAAAATATGAAGTAAAATAATTAGTTATTAAGTTTAGCCGCGAAACATATTGAAAAATTATTCTATCGAAATCTACTTCCATAACTTTTCGTGTGTTTTCCATTTTGAATGTGTAAATGTAAATTATCCATTTAGATGATAAGTCCAGACAGTATATAGATTTATTCTGGAGATATTAAAGCTTGGGTTATGATCAGGCTATGTGACATTTGGAATCGTTATAACTGAACCCGAGCACATACTGAAAAATACTACCATCTAGATAAATTGTAAGTGTGTATAAAATCAGATAGATATTAAGTAAAACCTAACATAAATTTGTTGACTATTATATGGCTTTTAGGTTAACACTTACTGTATAGCTAAACTTAATATAAACTTTGAGCAAAATTGAATATGTAAGTGTTTAAATTGAATTTAAGCCTATTGTTAAAGCAAATCTTAGTTAAATTACTATTAAATAATAAAAATAAAAAATATGTTATATTAATAGCGCTAAGCAAGTTGGTAAAAAATGTCATATGGATTTCTTTGAATATGACTCATATTAACTTAAATTAATATAATTGCCTAAGGGTGCAACAAATTGCCTAGCATTAATGTTAAAATCAAGAACAACAACATGTATTATTGAAAAGCAAACTACTTTCGGGAAAAATGGGTAAAATATAAAATGTAATGTATCAGAAAATAAAATCAAAAAACTTCAAGTGAATTCACACACATATATACACACTCAAACAAACACAATTAAACATATGCTAGTTAACTCTCGAATTAAGTATGTGGAGAATAAAATCACAATTGAAATCAAATGTTTTACCAAACTAACTTTAAAAAATGAAAACCCTTAAAAAAAATAAGAATCCATTCCTAAAATCAAATGTAAAACAGAAATCATGAAGTAGCATTTTAAGAATTTATAGATCTATGTCTAAACTAGATATCATACTAAAAAAAATAACTATCAACAACAACGCAGTTTAAATCCGAAATTATTTGTTCCAAATCAAGCAATAATTTGAAAGACACACACACCTATTATTATAATTTCATTAAGAATTGGTTTTTATTTATATTATTGGCATTATAAGATTTTTATTATAAACAAATTGGCGCGCATTTAAAAAGAATTATTGCTTGGTATTGGAAACTAATATCTCAGATATTTAACTGCAAATAACAATGACCTAAGTTTGCAACAAATACTATACTAAAATTACTGTACATTTCATTGGCTGCAAATTAAAATAAATATTGAACTTTCAAGCAAACAAACTGAGTTTGAATTAATCAGCAATTTTACCACCATACCTATGAGCAATCAATAGCAGTTGGATTCTGCGCGCACATTTCAGCCTGCTTGAAGTTGGCTGTGCGACATTTCAACTCACGCGAAGTTGGTGGCCGTGCAACATTTTCAGCGTCATTGAAGTTGGCTGCACCAAACAGCTGTTTTTCGAAAAGACGTACGAAAATCTGTCTCAAACTGCGAGTCAATATTTTAATTGTTTGTCAAGCATGTTGAGTTTAAAATGTGCTATATGCGTCGCTCAATTCATTCATTCCGACAATGTTTACATTACCATCTGCGGCCATATGTTCCACCATCTATGCCTCGTACAATGGCTGGAACGGTAAAAATAATTTTCTAAACAACATAATGAAATTAATTGCAATTAACTTGCAGCTCCAAAACATGTCCACAGGGCCGCTACAAGTGCACGATGCACAAAATTCGTCGGGTTTACTTCAATTTTGACACTTTGAATGTGACTCGAATCGATGTGGGCGCGTTGCAGGAGCAGCTGAGCAATGCAAAACTGGCCATTGAAAATAAGGAGCAAGAATGCATCAAGGTCAAACAAGAAATGAAAGATCTTCAGGATACGCAAATGAAGTGTCTGTAGGTTATTTAGATTGCAATAAGCAAAAAAAAAGCGTTATGGTCATTTCAATCAGAATCCTTAGCATATTTTTGATTTCCTTGACAACTGTGATTTCACAACTTCCCGCAGCGAAACCATTGCCCTCCTGCAGGAGAAAGAAGACTATCTTGTCTGCAGATCCACCATGAAAATCGGTATCCTTAAGCGCAATGCCAAAGAGCTGCGCAAGCAGAATGAATCGCTTAAGCAGCAGGTGCACGCAATGGAAGACGATTATACGAATCTGAAAGCCTGGTCTGTGGCATCCGAGCAACAGCAGAGCCTATACAAATACCACAATACAAAACTAAACACTGAACTTAAAATGACGCAAAATGATCTCCGCAGGGAGATGGACTCGAAGCGGTGAGCAGGGTTTGCTTTCCAAACTGTCCTGTAATTTAAAATGGTTATTTTCTTGCCTAGCAGAAAGTTGGTGGAGCTGATATTGCGTGGGGAGAGTAATGAGAAAGTAAGCTTCATGATGAGCGACTATACAACAATGACTAACATTTAAACATTCGAACGTTATTCAGGTGAAAAAACTTCTAAACGTGTATGCTACCAGCAAATCACTTGGCTTAGGCACCAATATGGTTGCGTTAAAGCGTGAGGAACGGCTCCCGATCAAGTCGCACAATATGGTACGTCTAGGCCGAAAATTAGATACACTTCTTAAACTACAATCATATTCAAATTTTCAGAAGCAGAGCATTATACGCATTAAAGAATCCTCCTCCACATTTCTGAACACAAAATCCAGCAGTGTGAACATGGCTCATTTGCTGAAACCGCATGAGACCCATCAATATATCGCCCATTAAAAGAACACACAGAATTTTCTGGGAATTGGGATCATACGCAACACCGCCAGTGATCTTACTGATAAGGTATATTATTAGAGGGTATTAAGTAGGAATTACATATTACTCCGATGCCGGAGTTTCAGAGAAGACTTCCTCAGTTACGTATTAGGTGTGTTAGCATAAATCTCTTGTTAGCATAAATGTTTGTTTGTGTGGGCTCCGATTATTTTGCCCTGTTACATTAATTTTATATGGAAATAAGTTAGTATGTGAAGTCAGTAATAAAAATATCTACGCATGTATCTAGTTATATTATACGACGAGTTTAATTTACCTCTCGTGCAGTAAATATGTCCTAGACACATTAAAGCTCAGATTATATTTAGGTAATGTGATCCGTTTTCTGCTCTGCCTAAAAGTAGACAATACAAATTGAAATCTGCGCGCAAATTTGAACTCCTGTGCAATTATGAGCCCACTTGAAGTTGGCTGCGGCAAACAGCTGTTTTTTGATAAAGACGCGCGCAAATCTGTCGCAAGCCGGGAGTCAGATATATATTCCTTATTTTATTATTGCATGGTTTACTAAGCATGTTAAATTTAAATTGTGTTATATGCTCCGAACTGTTCACACAGTCCGATGATGTTTATGTTACCATCTGCGGCCACATGTTTCACCACACGTGCCTAATGCAATGGCTGGAACGGTAAGAATGAATTTTTAGACAAAAACTTGAAATTAATAGCAATTGACTTGCAGCTCAAAAACGTGTCCACAGTGCCGCAACAAGTGCACAACTCGCAATATTTGGCGCGTCTACTTCAATCTGGCCAATTTGGATGTGAGCCACATCGATGTGGGCTCGCTGCAGGAGCAGCTGGACAATGCGAAACTAGCAATGAAAATGAAGGAGCAGGAATGCACCAAAGTTGAACAGCAAATGAAGGATCTGAAGGATACACAAAAGAAGTGTCTGTAGGTTATCTTGGTTATGTTGTAGGCAACAGTGTTCTGACTGCAGTTGAAATCTTTTTCACACTTGCAGCAAAACCATTGCCGGCTTGGAGCAGAAGTTGCAGAAGAAGGACTTTGTTGTCAGCAGCTACGTCGAACAAATCAGCGTGCTGAAAAACGATGCACTAGCTGCGAATGAGCTGCGCAAAGAGAACAAATCGCTAAAGCAACAAGTACACACAATGGAAGGCGCTTGCACCGTTCTGGCAGCCAGTTCTGCGGAAGCCGAACGCCTGGTCAAGAACGAGACCAATCCAGTTGTCTTAGCCAACTGGGTTTCAACGCTGAAGCGAGAGCTGAGGCAGGGCGAGTCCAAAAAAACTGAATTGCGTAATGTTCTTAAATTGGTTCAGAATGATCTGCGCAGAGAGCTGGAGTCAAAGCGGTGAGAACGTTTTAAATCCAAACAAACAATAATTTTAAACTAAGCCTGTTATTGACTTGCTTTGCAGCAAGTTGGAAGAGAAAATATCTCATCTGGAGAGTGATCTTTATCGAGCCAATGAGAAGGTAAGCCGTTGTCTGTGGTGTGCCACGTAACATAAACTGACACTTATCCGACTGTGCCTCATTCAGCTGAAAGATCTGCAAAGCCAGCCAATTGACGTTGATGCTTCCAGCAATTCATTTGGTCTAAATACTAATGTGGTTGCGCTAAGGCGCGATGACCGACGCCAGACCATCTCGCCCACAATGGTACGTCATGATACAATACTAAGGAAAAGAATAACTACCTTTGGCATCCCGAAGATTAAATACATTTGCATATGTACTGTAAATGTATACCTCTTATATGAATTATGTTTGTTGAAAATCACTCTTTAATAGCTCAAATAATATTTGCAAGTATTTGATTATTAATACTTTGTTCAAACTTGCAGAAAGAGAGCATCAAGCGCATTGAAGAATCCACCTCACCCTATCTCAACATAAAATCTAGTAGCGTGGGCATGGGTCATCTGCTGAAGCCGCCAGAGTTGAGCGTTACCAAAATATCGCCCATTAAACGGGGACCCGGCATTAGCATGGCAAGTGGCGTCATCCGCAAAACCACCAGCGATCTCAGTGAAAAGGTATACTACTGAGTATTGAGTAAGCATTACATATAACATAAAATGTTGTCTATTCGCTTACAGTACTCCATTTTCAAAAAGCCGCGTCTGCTGCTGGGTGCATCCGGTTCCGGAGCTTCAGGCACAATGGCCTCGAATTTTGCCTATAACGGCATGGGCGGCTCCGAGAAGATTGATCCCTTTGCGCTGCGCGCTGAGGAGGAGGAAGCAGAAGCGAAAGCTAAAGAATCAACTAATCAGCCGCTGGCCAAGACTGTTAATCTGCGCATTAAGGCAGGCACGCTGCGCAACATAAAACTATCTAAATAGACTAGATCCCCAAAAGTGAATAACCCAAGACTGCCTCAGTTTCGTAATAAGTTCGTTAGCATAAATTTATTGGCCGATGTTTCTCTGTGTAAGCTCCGGTTATTGTGCTGTGTTGAGTTAATTTCATATAAAAATAAGTTAGTAGTGAATTGAATATAAAAGTATAAATATAATTATAAATGTATGCATGTAGTTATATTATGCGGCAATCTTTTTCTCCGCCTTGCCGGTCCACTCTTCACGCAGCTGCACACTGCAGCCCAAATCACGCAACGCCGCCTTAATGTCCTGTGCCACCGTTGGATGCTCCACCATGGCCGCATTGAGCAGATCCTCAACGCCAAAGGATAGCCACGTGTCGCATTGATTTCGTGATCTGGACACCATATTACGTATGGCCCACGCACCATTTCGCTGCACAATTTGATGATTTGGATGTGTGCGCAGAGCTTCGACAATCACCTCAGCAATACCGGTTTCAAAGAAGGCGCTGCTGTGCTCCTGGACGCGCAGCGTGAGAGTTGTTATGCAGGCTAAGGCAGCTGACACAATGTTTGCATTGGTCTGATGCGTTTCGAGGAGATCTTTAATGATTGGCGCAACGCCCTGCTGCACAATGTGCCCCTTGACCGCATCATGTCCGGCAAGAGCGCGCAATAGTTTCAACGCCTCACGATTTAAGCGCTCCTCTTTCAAGTTGACGCTCATAATATCAAATATTAGCTTCAGACCGCCCGCATCGTCGATAAGCGTGCACAGCTCCTGGCGCACGGCCAGCGTGCCAATGGTGAGCAACAGATCCGCAAGGACGTTGACATCTTCGTAAGCGGGCAACAGCTCCACCAGCTGCGGGAGCACCTCGCTGGCTATTTGCCGTGCATGTTCATGGGCACAGCCAAACTCAACGCGTATGTCATCGTCCAAAACCAAAAATCTGAATACGGCAGTCACCTCGCTCACCAATCGCTGACTGTCCATAACTAATAGTGGTTTTAATAGCTTCAATGCATTTGCGCTTATTATGTTCTGACGATTTCTTTCATGCATGATGCACGCTTTTTGCAGCCACTGCAGCGTGAGACATATGATGTCCAGTTGATCCTTCAGTGCCAGCAGCTTCAGCACAATGGACAATGCCTCTGCATCGAAGAGATCGGGCTGCTTGTGGGTCAGGCTGTTGACAGCCTGCAGGCATCTGCTTAGCAGCGTCATATTGAGCGTCTCAGTGGCTAGTGTTTGCTCCAGCAGTGTTATGAGCGCATCGTGAGCACCATTCTTCCCAGCCAGTACACGATGGGCCAACGATTTCTGGCACTCGATGTCCAGAACAGTAAGCAGCTCCAATAACTGCTGTGTATCGCCGCCCTTTTGGCTAATGTGCGTTTTAATTTTGTCCATTGTTTCGTTGATAATAGGTTTTCCCGTCTCGGCATTGACCGTTAAGTCTTTTATGATGTTAGCCAGGTTAATGCCCTAATGTCCGTAAGAAAAACTGGATCAGTCTTACTCAAATCGTAAATGACTCATACAAAGTTACGCACCTGAGCTTCGAATTGTTTTATTGTCTCCTCCTTGGCTTCGGCGGGACTCATTGAAAAGTCCACCACATTCTCCTGCACAATATCATCGAAAGTTTCTTGAGATATTATTTTGGACATTATATTGATCAATTGATTAAATTTCGGCTATAAATGCTACAGCTGTTGTTTTGTGTGGTGTTTTGTTCGTGTTCCAACTTGTTCCGCAATAACACCCATACACTGGCAACGGCAACGTGAGTTTCTTTGTTTTCAGTCTGATAGTAAAGCTGCTAAATGTGCGTTTTAAATTGAATAAATACAAACAGGCTCTTAATTTGGAATTGATCTCAAATTTTGTCTGAATTAATGCTTTTATTTATTTGTAAAATGCGCAGCAGAAACTCAGCTGTTGCGCTGCTTGCAGAACCGCAAATTTATCGGCAAGATTCAGAAATGGTGATTTACAAAATTTTCAGTCAAAATAGTTTGAAATTTTATAAAACTGTAATTCACCTTATAGTCATTTGATGTATTTTTTTAAAATCATTCTAATTTGAATAAAATAGAATTTAAATAACTATCGATACGCGATAGGCCTAAGGTCAATAGTATTGCACGGAATTAAAAATGGCATCGATATATACATATATCGATAGAATATCAACAAGCCCAACAAGCGGCAGGGGCTCTGCACGAAAATAGTTATTTACGTTTTTTAAATTTAAGTAGACTGGATTGCTTTCATACATTCAGAATATAATAAAAATGGGGGTTATTCTATCCAAATTTCGGGTAAGTTAAATTTTGCGTTTTGGTTCCAAAGACCTAACAAGACTGTGACGCCAACGGCGCCTATATATGTGCATATATACATATGCAATAAATTTACATACGTGCGCATTTCTAATTATAGAAAGAAAAGTCCACAACTGCTGTGCTGGAGGGACTGCAATTGCAAATCCAGGAACTAGAGAAATATGTGATCAATACGCAGGAACGTAAAAGACGCTTCGTCACCAACTTTGTTGGCTTCACAATTGGCGCTTACATTGTTGGCTTTGCGCTATTTTATTTCTTCTATTTCCCGCCAACAATGAATGAGCGGATCATGTATTTGGTGCCGCTGCTGCTCTTTCCACTGCTGTGAGTAATCCGCAACGATCGAATTATGATCTCACTACTACATCACAATTGCAATATCGTTTTTGTTCATGTTATATTTCAGTATTGTGTTCTTGCGTCAAATGTTTACGTGGTATTTTCAGCGCAAGCTTAACAAAAATGGCGATAAGCTGGAGCAACTGAAGCAACAGAAGAACAAGATATTAGAGCAGGTCATGGACAAAGAGACATACAAGGTACTGCAGCCAAGGCAAAATAGTAGTGTTCGCACTCAAATTAGAACTGCTCGAAATTGGCAAATGTTCAAAAATTATGATAATCATTTTCTATGAATTTTAAATTCATATGTACATATTTATTTATTTTTTTTTCTTGACGTAAAACCTTTCAAAATTGGTCTCTGCTGTTTCCAAATTATAAATTATTTGCTAATAAGAAGCACTACTAATTTTTGTGCAAACAAGACACACGTATAACATCATTTCAATTCGTTTATTGACAGGTCGCAGTAAAACTTCTTGAGCGCTATGGCGATAGGCAACAGAATCGCATGTTGGCCACCACAGTTCGCAGCACTCCTAGCGTCACATCACTGAATCGCACATCCACAGCGCTGCAGCGCACACCCCAAGCAGCAGCAGCGTCAGCTGCCACACAGCAGCAACAGCAGCGGGTGTTAACACCATATTCGAGTGTCTACCGCAACATGAACAACAATCTAAATAGCAGCGTCATGGGCGTCATGCAAACACAATTGGCGACTGTGACGCCGCAAGTGCGCACTGGCCAGGAGCTGCGCAAGCGCACGCCCTTTCCCGTTGTCGATGAGAGCGCACGCAGCGCCTTAGATCGCATTGTGGACTTTATTGTGGGCGACAGTCCACAGAATCGCTTTGGCATGATATGCAAGGAGTGCCACAGGCATAATGGTAAAAATCAGTGCAATTACATTTGTATTAACTTTTGTAAAACATTATCACATTTGTAGGCATGCTGCCTGTGGAGGAATATGAATATACAACTTTTGTTTGCGCTTTTTGTGGTGTGCTAAATCCGGCACGCAAGGAACGACCAGTGGCGCCACGCCTCAGCTTGGAGGCCGCGCAACCGGAGACGCCACACTCGGCATGGATGCGCAATGATAGCTCCGACAGTGATTCATCGGACGAAGAAGATGAAGAATTTGGTGACTAACAGCGCTACATTATTATTTTGTACCAGTGTCCATAACAATCCTATTATTTTGTGTTGCAGATAAAAAGCATTTAGTGCGTCGCGTGCTGCACGAAGACTTGCCAATGACTGATACCAAAGCTGATGCTGAAGCTAATACTGATGGCACAACAACAACGACTGCAATGAAAGTTGAGGAGACTGAAAATGAAACTGTTGCCAGCGAGACTGAAGCAAAAGAATAGTTTCGATTTAGATCCATTCAGCTCTCAAAAGTGCGGCATGAACAGGTTTTAGACTTCGCAAAGCGTTGGCTTTAAATAAAGCAATTTATTTATGCATATTATGCTTAGAGTTAAATTTAAACTTATTATAAAATAACACGTTGTTGGTAAGCAACTACATTTTAAAATATTTGTTCAATTTTAGTCACTAAAAACCCCAACTCACTAATTTAAATCTTATCAAGAATTTTTGAATAGTTGTTGAGCATGTCTTGAAAATGCAGAATGTAAATTAAAAACCAGCTTGAATATGCAAATTCGCTTTCTTTTCATGGCACACCTAAGCACACGCCCCGTTAAGTGCCGTCCGTCAGCACAGAAGGAAATTGATAATTAAACAAGAGTTAGCCAGTGGTTTATGCCCGACTTGGAAGTACCCTGTATAAAGCCCTAAAATACATACATTCACAGTAATTTCTTGGGACAACGATGGTATCCAAATTCGAAAACTAAAACGAAAACACTTGCGAATGGTTTTTATATGCTTTTCATTTCATATTATTTAAATATATTTATTGGCCGTTTAATTTTAATTGTATAAATCGACGGCTGGTTAGCTTTTAATGAGATGACGTTGCACAATTTGTGTTGCTATTGGCAGCCAAGGATCTTCTGCCTCTTGATCTTGAGTTTAAGTTTTAAACGTCTACACTGCGGATATGTAACAACTTTGTGATACCCTTTTTAACATTTGTAATGGGTACAGAGTATATAAAACTAGACGAAATAAAATAAGGCGACAACTAATGGCATAATAATTTAAAATACGACAGTGTGACAAAAAAGGCAAGCACAATGTTTGAGATATCAGCAGCAGCAGCAACTACTGCAAATATCAACTAACAAGCGCGAGAACAAATAAATACACACACATGTGAGTTGTGGACTGCATTATGCGAGCGGTCAACAATTTCAATTTCGCTGGTGTTTTATTTTTCCGGGCCATTGATCAAGGCTAACGAGATCGGTTTGCAGCGCGCCCGCGCGCCTTATAACGCATTCGCAGCAGCAACAAACACCACCTACAAGTGGAGCAGCCGCGCCCGCGCACATTCCTTGCCAATGGCTGTCGGCAGCGGTTGCAAGCACAAATTATAAGAATTAAACTAAATCTGTTACACTCTATCCAACAATTGGCCCCGGCCGCATTCAACTATCTGTGGCAGCACATACATATGTTTATTTGAGTGTGTTTCTCTCTCTCCCGCTCTGCATGCCTATCTCTCTCTCTCTCTCTCTGTCTGGGCCACCGGGTCCGCCTGCTGGCTGATTAGCTCATAATTTGTGTGACAGCACATTTTTCGCCTTGTAATTGGATGTGCCAATCTGATCTCTGACGTAGGTACTCAATTCTCTGGTCAGGAAGTCGACGGGGTGCGTGCGCTGCTGTTCTCTGTGTGGCATTGGTCAAACGCATGCGTATATGACTTGAACAAAAAAACAACAACGTGTTATTAAGGCGACAATGTGCAGGAACATTTACATAAGCTGGCTAAAACCTGATAGAACTAGGGTTGGCAACATTTGTCATGTGTCATAATGCACTTTGAATCTAAGCTTATGAAATAAATGCATGTTACGATTTCTTTTGTTCAATTCTTGAAAAAATATTCAAAATATTAAATTTTAATAGCAAAAATATCAATATCTATGGTTGAAGTTATTACTTTACAGAACTCCCTCGAATTTTTGCTTTCTAATATTAACTTTAAGAGATTGAATCATTTGGTTTTTTACAGAATTTCCGTAAAAGTCAAACTTAAATACGATTATAACATCAATTAACTTTAAAGGTTTCTTACTGAATTTTCTTAAATTCAGAATGTTCTTATAATGTAATTATTTCCGAATTGAAAGCAAATTGAATTCTCGTATTGTTGTAGCCCTAGCCCAGAACTGAATCTAAGACCAAGTCCCGCACATGCAGCGCATTGAATCTAGTGCAAGTTCGCTCCACCGAAACCCGTTTCCAAGCGATCTGCCTTCCGGACGTAGTGTGTATGTGTAATGTGGATAAGAGCAAATCCGCGGCGTTGGTGTCGGCGTATATGTTGGCCAAAGGTGTTTGTTTTGGTTGCGGCACGACAAGGAAACCTGCGGCACAAATAAAGTGATTCACGAACAGATTCCGATGACGGCGGGAAAGGTTGAGAGCCTGCCAAAGCAGTATTATGGCCAAAATGAGAAACGCCAACGCGCTACAAGACAATTCAAGAGCCAAACTTATTTTAAGTTTTTGCTTTGCTTGGTTTTTTTTTTTTGTTATTTAATTTTTCTATTTGGCCAGAATGCGATTGCGGGGCTCACAAGTTGGGGGCTTAGTTCATTGCTATTGCTAATGACGGCATGGCTGTAACTTGATAGGCATATAAGTATGTGTGTATGTATGTAAGTATGTATTTATAGGTAAGTACACGTAAGTACACACATATGCATGTATGTCTGCATATGTGTCTGTTATTGGCCGTTCGATTTATTTGTTCGCGCTCGCGCACAACAAAGACTCTAATAATAATCTGTTGGGCCAATCAAGCAAAATATGCGCGAGATCAGTCAACTACAGCAACAACAATAAATGCAGTCGCTATTGCCGCACCAAATCTGCTAACCAGCCAGCCAATGAAAGTGAAACCGAGCCATAGACTCGGCCTGAGACACATAGACTCGGTTCTAGCCGCGGTCAGCGAGAGACTGTTGTTCGGCTATATAAGCCAAGTGGCTGGCATGTTTGTCCCACAGTGCAGCGCTGACCAGGAACCCAATTGGAAGTTTAAGTTCACAAAACGACTTTATAGTCCAATTGGCCACAAGGATTACCATAATCAAACAATCAATCATCGTAATGTTCTACAAACTGGTAAGTACAGTGCACATTGCAAGAAGGAGAACAGATTCGCTTAGTAAGAACTCCTCTGCTCCTGCAGCTTCTCGCCTCCTGTCTGGCCCTAGCTTTGGCCAAGCCACAGCACCAGCCTGCAGCGCAATATCCGGCTGGCGTCAATCCGCAGGACTGTCCCAACTTTCCCATCTGTGATAATGCACGCCTGCATAATCCACACTCGCAGTGGCAGCAACCGCAGCCACAGTGGCAACAGCCCCAGCCTCAATGGCAGCCACAACCCCAGCAGCACTGGCAGCAACCCCAATCTCAGTGGCAGCAACCACAGCCGCAGTGGCAACCACAGCCTGCGTGGAATGCACCACCTGCAGCATCAGCCGGCGGTGACAAGTATCCAGCTGGTGTCAATCCTCAGACGTGCCCCAACTATCCCTATTGTGATGTGAATGCGGGACATGGCGGAGCTCCAGTTGCAGCGCCACCATTGCCCGGCTGGACGGAGCGTCTCTATCCCGCTGGTGTCTCTCCGCACCAGTGCCCCAACTTCCCCTTCTGCAACTAAATATTGTTGTACCACTATCCACACTCTACACTCCGTCCACTGTCCCACTGTCTACACTCATTACACGCGTTTTTAACCCTCAGCTTCCTTTTACACGCTACAAGTTCTCAACTATTGAAATTCCGTTGTTGGCGTCAAATAAAATCACACATGTTGGTCATAAAATTTGAATTTTATTGAATATATGTGGGAACTGAAATTTATCAAATTCGAAAATATTTAGCACAATTTCACTGCAGTAACACCAAATCAATGCCAAAAAAATGCATTATATGGAGAGGAAATGTATGAAATTTTGAAAGTGTTGGAGTGAAATGTTGAGCTAATTATATCACTTTAAAAGTACACTAAATTTATACATATTTCTTAAATATTAAAAAAAAAAATTATAATTGGTATTTTTTACAAATTCTAGTCATTTTGTAGATATTATTATTAAAGCCGCCGAAGTACAATTATATTCTAAGGAAAGATTTGGGAACCTTGAATTTAATTAATTACATATAAAGGGTTAAAACTTTCATCATATATTGGCAAATATGTTTATAAGTAATGAGTAATTAAAAAAAACGTTTATGTAAAACAAAGTAAATAAATTAAAATACACGTTGAGTACTGACTAGTCTCACATATCACATTGTGTAATTAATTCAATTATATTGAGTATGGGTTTAATTCTGCACATACTCAAAACAATCTTAGAAAAACTTGATTAATGACTTGATTCCGTAACACATATTGCTAATACGAAGGAACACTTGAGTTGAGCAACAAAACAAATAGAGTCTGCAATACTTGTTTGGGAAAGTTAACCAAAAGTTGTCATACTGTGGCGGAAATGTGCCACACCCTCTGATTGTCTCTTAATTCGACACAAGTGCACATATGTCCAATTTCGTGAGTTTAACAGCTCAATTCCGAATTGAAAATTCCAATAATTGTGTAAATAGTTGACCAAAACCTTGTAAATGCGGCGAGAATGTGCCACGCCCCATGATGCAGCTATCAGTAGACACAAAGCAGTTCCAGTTCCGCGCTTGGACAAGGAGTGTACTTACAGGTGATCACCTGGTTACTGGTTGGTTGCTGATTGTTGGCTGGCAACTGTTGCTGGCTGCTGGCAACTGTTGCTGGTTGACCCCGAGCTGCTTTTGTGAAAGTCGTTCTTGCAAAACGGCGGCCAACATCAAGCGGCCAACAGTGGCCAAGGTCAAGTGCAACTGCAAATTAAAACTACTTAGACGCACATACATATATAAATATATACATATATATATATATATATATATATATGTGTGTGTGTGTGTTACATATAATAATAAACACTCTGCTCTCTCGAAGCCCGAAAGTTACAATCGAAAATCTCACTTTTATTTACAAACACTTTTAAACTTAAACATTGTACAGTATTTACAACAAAAAACAAAACGAATTGTAGCTGCTGGGCAGGGTGAGGTTCCTTGCAAATTTACCAACCATGGGAGAGAGAGGAGGACCAGCCCTTGTGGAAATCATGATGATGATAATCATGATGATCCTCATGCACATGCACCGGCACAATCTCCTCGTGATGGACATGATGGACAGGCACCTCCTTATAGACAGGCACATGCACCTCCTTGTAGACGGGCACATGCTTTACCACCGGCACCGCAATCTTCTGGACATGATGATGGTGTACAGTGTGCACCTTGTATGGTACATGGATTGTGTGATGCTCACTGCAAACGATGGAGAGAGAGAAAGAATAAGAATAGGTAAGCAAGCCAAATGGAAAGCAAATGAAAGTGAAAATTGCTATGGTTAAACTAAATATGGCTGTGGAACAACGAGGAGCTAGTTGGGGCAGCGACATCGAGGGTGCAGTCCATCAATAATTGGCATGCAACGTTATTAGCTAATCAGTTAAATAGCTGGTTGGCAATCAGCTCAGTGTGTCCACCTACCCCATCCCTCTGTGTGTCGACCGAGCAAGTTGCTTGAACTCCGTTTTACATTTTGTCGCATTGCCACTTGGCACAGAGGCGGAGACGTAGACGGAGACCGAGACTGAGACGCAGACCAACGTTCGGAATGTTTAATTAGGCATTGCAATTATGTGCGCATTATAATACAACAAATGGCAAGCGCCTGCGAAATTCCTGAGCGTTGTCTTTTTGTCACAGGTTCACTGGCTGCCAATTGAACTGTGCATCGATATACAACAACAAAACAATATCCATCGCAGAGCAATCTCAGCTAGGGCTTAAGTGTTACAAGATCTATTTATATTGATTGCTTCATTTCAAGCGTAATTGAATCCATAAATCATAGCGTTTAAATGCTGACGTTTAAAAAGCAATACAAACGCCAACCATAAGAAATATATATTATGTAGTTGCACAACACGGGAAATGTTTTAAATGTCGGGGCTGGGCATTTATTAAAATATGCATAAACTGTTGCTTTACTTACTGTTTGCCAAAGAAGCCAGGACTAGGTGCACAATATGCCACAGCGAAGAGTGCCACAAAGATCTGAAAGTGAAAAGAAACAACGGAGATGATATGAAAACTGAAATATGTTTTAAATATTTAATTTATATGGCTAAAGATCTAGATGCATAAAATTATTTGTACATTTTGGATATGAATATATAAGAGTTCCTACAAATATTAGATCAACATAAGTGTTTTTATTAACAGTTTTAGAATTTATAGGGTATTGCCCAGTCGAGCACTTTAGTATATAAAATCTTTGCTGTTTTATTAATGCAATCTATCTTCACATGATGTGGTTAACAATTCAAATAACTTAAATTGGGGCAAGTCAATATCTGAATTAAAGTAAATAACTAAACTGACGGTTTAAGACATATTGAAAGGCCGGTCCGAATATTATTTTATGATTGAACTCTACTTACTTTACTAAAGGCCAGATAGATATTTTAATTTAATCAGTATTTCAACTTAAACATATAATTACTAACTGAAAGCAAAAACTTTTATGAAATACTAAACCAGATTCGTTAGCTGAATTTTTGCATTAAAATGTAAGCACTTTAGGATGTTTGTTGTTATATAAGACTTTGTTATTTATGTAAGACTTGGCCTGTAATTTGACTGTCACTTGATCGCTGCACAATTAACCAAAACACAAATTTTTGCACACAACACACTCGAGTCCTTGTAAATATTTGTTAGATATGTATTTAAGTGGGTTAATTCCTCTTACTTTCGGCACTTACAAAAACTTTCAATGCGAACATATTTATGTTTTTTTTTTTTGTTGCTTTTTGTTTATAACGAACGCGTTGTGTTTGTACTGACGCAGTGCCAATGTCTGCCAATGACTGATAACCAATGGACAGCGGCTCATCCGTTTTATACCCGATTGCAGGCGACACACAGACAACAGTTAACAGCGACCAGTAATGTAAAAGACAAACGTGACGCATGCGCACAATACTATAACAGCAACAGCAATATCAACAACAACAACAACAACAGCAGCAGCGCACTGTTAACTGTTTTACGAGTTGGCTAACCAAGAGGTCTGCTTGTTGTTGTTTAAGTCATTCGGTGAGGCAGCTACCACATGCACTGCAACATACACGCATCAGTTGTTTGCCGCAAAATGAAGTCACATTAAAATGTGTTTGTTGTCGTTGTTGTCTCCAACTGACATAGACAATCGATCTTTGACTGGGCAAGTTTTAGTCAAATTGTATGTGTGTGTGTGCGTGTGTGTGTGTGTGTGTGTGTGTGTGTGTATTTTGTGTAACACAAGACAATATAATTATATTAACGTCATTATTATTTATGCCATAATCGGCCCTTCTTCTGTCATTCCAATTGAATGATCAACTAGCACATAAAACATATTGCGATTGAACATTTCGCTAAGCGGCCTTCTGCAATAAAAAGTGAACGTCAGACCAGCAGCAACAAAAGCAACAACAACAACAAGATTGTCAAGCTTATCCCTACCCCGAAATACATACGTACATCTTTGGAGACGACCTTGACACATTGTGGACACATAACAGCAGATGTTGCTGTTGTTGCCACTGCTGTTGCAGCGTGGCAATTAATTGCTACAAATAGGTCACAATTGTCGCTGAGGAGCTACTGATTAAACATGTGTGTATCAAAATCACGTACGCTCGTGTGCTTAACATAAACAACGTAAATTTGCAATAAAACGCATTTTTTATAACCATTTTAGGCAATTACTTAACACAGCTGGAAACCAAACTTCCAGCCCCGACGTATAAACCTAATCACGAAATGCATCACACGCCTTCAATTTGACAAGCATTTGATGATAGATTTTGTGGGCCGATCCCAATCACATAACACACTAGCAAAAAATGTGGCACTGTTGCAGCTACGGGCACTGTTAAGTGCATTAGCTGTTTTGGTGGTTAATAGCCTAGTTTCTGTAGGCCACACAGGGCAAAGCCTCCGTATCCAGCTTGTTACACTGGCAGCAAGCACAAATTGCCCATCTAACTCGACAAATTGCATAAGAAACGATTTGGCCGACGAACATTGTGCCACAGTCGAGTGCAATGCGTGCCGAAGCTGGAGCTCCAGCTTAGCGTCAGCTGTTTGTCGCAGTTGCAGTTGGAGTTGCTCGACAATACAATAATAATACTACCTGTGTGTGTTTTGCCTGTGGGTTGCGGCTACTATTGCACCTCAGATTATAACTTTCATTTTCGGTATGCGAATCTTAAATTGCTCATGCAAATACTTCCTGTTCGGTGAGTTTTCAATTTCTGTGAAATGTGGGGCATGCAACTGCATGCAGCCGCAACAAACAGCTGTCTGTGCTAAAATGCGAAATTAACAATTGAAATTGCTGTCAATAACTATGATACCTCCGCACATATGATGACTATGCTATTTGGTTCGGGTGCTTGTTGTTTGGATTAGTGGCACCTAAAAAGAAAAATTAATAAAATTGTGTAATATGGAATTTGTTGCATTCATATCTCCAATGAGCTAACCTGATTGCACATAAATTGAAAACCGTAAACGAATCGCTTATGATAAGAACTGAAACGACTTTGGCTACTAATAACCAGTTCTCATTTGCCAATCAGCCAAATAGCCATAGAATTGTAACCAATTCTTTGGCATTCATAATCCGTTCCGGTAATTAAATGTCCATTGTAAACTATCAAATTAAATTAATTTCTATAACAATATTATGGCTAATGGTAGTAATAACATATATTCAGGTGCAGTCTAGAATTGAGAATTTGGTATATTTTGGCCTACGGCTTATATGAGAGTTAAGGAGTGGTTAAATAAAAATAACACAAATTTTGTATAATTTCAAAATGATCAGAAGGTCTTTAAATCGCTGTATATGATAAATTTCATGCTTTTAATCTTTTTAAGTTCACAAAAGATAAGGATATGGAAGTATCTTTGGGTGGAGTATCTTATATATAGATAGAGAGGGAAATGGGGTCGGCGGGGCTTCCTTCTGTCTATTACATACTTTTGTACAAGCAATTGTACACTTTTTACCCATTTTTAACGGGTTCATGGTAGAAAATAAGATCTAAATATGGAAACTGTAGTCTGGCTCAAACTAAAAAATAAGCCATGCACAATCGAATCGGCAAAAACAATTATTTCATGAACTCACGGTTAGATTCAGAGAACTAGAGATTTTCGGTATCTTTGAAGTGACCGCTGAAGAAATGGGGGCTTAAATAAATAAAAGTTTGTCAACGTTTGTCGTTTCCTACACACCCACAACTGTCAATCGCCGCTGACCGAATCTATGCCATTTACCGAACCGCTGGATGGGAGCTGGATGAGCTGCATTTTCAATTTCAATTCGCTATCAATATATTTTCAATTTTAGCTTCTGTGGGTTATATGCTCCTTGGGCTCGTTTCGAGCCCAATATCTGTCGTCCAATATCTGTTTTAGACACGCGCTGCATATTCAAATTGTTCACGCTGTAAAACGTGATGCCACATATTTAGTGTGGTTGTTGTTATTGTTGTTGCTTTTCCGCACTTGTCAGTCGGGGCGCGTGCGCGAATCGCTGTTTGCCCCGCTGAATTTTGAGCGATTTCTGATGCGATTTTTGATAGGCGCAACGCAGTATTGCGCCTGCCACTTTGGCCGCACTGGCACGCAATCGTTTTTAAAGAGCCAATGTGGAGCAGAGCGCCGCTCAAATATAAAATCCAATATACAAACATTGTGCAATATCTTTCCCATGCCAAATTCAAATTAAATATATATATTGGCTATTTCATCTTTTGCCTTTGCCATTTTATAATCTCACAGCAATTTGAGGCAGCCTTCAAAAGGCTGCACCTCGCTTTTGCGGTTCTTGAGAATTCCTGTTCTTTACTATATGCAAATTAGCATAGAATGAGCTCAGAGCTGAGCTCAGTGAAACTCAGTTTTGAGTTTCAGCGAATTTTTGTGAAGCTTCTCCTGACGCTGGATACGCTCGTTTGACGCTTGCCGCCGCAGCGACGCAGACGTTAACGTCGACGCCGGCTTCGAAGTTGAAGTTTTTGCCGAAGCGCTGATGAAGAACAGCCCCGGCCTGAATTAGACGACGTCAGCGAGCATGACAAGGTCGACACTTAAAGGTGTCGCCAATTATAAGGCCCCCCAAAAATAGACATACGCACACACTCGAACTCAATCTCAATCAAAATCACAAATATTTTGGTAAGTAGCTGCAGTGAAAACTTGCACCAATTAACGCTTCAGGTGCCACGAGGGCAATGTTTCCATTTGCCGAACTTTAAGCTGCATTGGCCAGCCAGAGAGCAGGCCTATTTAATGTGAACTGAGCTGTTTTAATGGCTCTAACAAACCGTAAACGTAATTCAAGAAATTATTATGCCATTCTCTTGTTCTTTCTGGTCTGACTTCAAGTTCTGGTTCTGCAGTGGATTCTAATTCAACTGCTCTATTAATTCTACAACAAACGAGCGAACAACGACACTTGCAGTCAAAAACACTTGTCTCTAATTGCGCACACAAATAATCACGCCCCTTCATACACTTTTCCCTTTGGGGTATTACAACTGTGTGAAGAAACACATAAAAACGAAATTATTCTCTAAAGAAATACAAAAGAAATCCCTTACAACTGCTGATTATGTATCAGAAAATAAAATAAAATGAATATGAGAACAGCAAACTTTTTCTTTTTTTTTTATACAAATCGTTCTAAGCTTATCATTCTTGGAATTTAATTTTTATATTTTCTTTTACTCCTACTCACTATCAAAGCCCTTAGGTTTTAAACAACCCACTATTTAAACATGGAAAACATGTTCGATATTGAATTGAATCGATTTTGAAAAGCAATTCATGGTTTGTCTTCCAAATTAAAGCAAAAACTTGAAGTGAATGGCATCCCGGTTTGTCATCTCGTAAAGAGACTGTTTTTAAGCTATTGTAGATTGCCAGCTTATTTAAGGGCAGTTCCTGTCTGAAATTAAGCGGTGAAAGTGCCTTCTTAATCGTGGTAAAAATATCAGGCAGACTGAATTGATCATTTAGTGGAGTGGACACCATCTCCAACCTCACCGTTTAACTTACCATCAGTATAAATAATTGGCAACCCGCGTAGTTCTTGGGGCCCATCTATCCACTCCATCCTCGCTCGGTAGTTCTGATTTAAATCAATAATAGCTCAACTCAAATTCATAGTGTGCGGAATACGTCTTGCAACATGCACCCAAATTCCATGCTACAATTTCGTTTTGAAGCAATTTTGCATGAGTCATTGCCAGCTATAAGATGAAATGGCGGTAGGCAAAAGACGACGACAACGACGATGACAATGGCGACAATGGCTACGTCAAGGCAAGCACCAGGTTGCTCGACACCCCACCAAAAGTTGCTGCTCAGTACCCCGTCTCAAGTCTGAAGTGGGCGCAGCGTTGTATTGCTAATGATAATAATAATAATAATGATCAACTCGAGCGCCAAACTTCAGTGCCTCAAGCAACAGTTTTGTTCCCCCTTGCTCTCCCCTCCAACTAAGTTCAAATCTAAACGCCGTAAACACAAGCAACAACAACAACAGCGGCAGCAGCACCAGCAGCTAAGCGACAACAAAAGAGTGCGATGCTTTTATTTGATGTTGCTGCTGCCGCAACACTGCTGCTGCTGCCGCTGCTGGCAGCGCTGCTTTCTGCTCATCCGATGAGTTTCGAATACAACTAAATCAGAATTTTTATTCAGTTTCAATTGTTTAGCGAGTGCGGATCGGCGCTTCGTGTTTCGAGTCGCAGCGTTACAAAAAAAAAAAAGAACCAAACGAGAAACGAGAAACGAAAGCGAAGAGCAAAAAATAAATAAAAGAAAATAAAGTATTAAAACAAATGCAAACAAAAATAGTAACAAAAATACTTCAAATCAAAGCAAGTAAATTCAAAATGGGGCTGCATTTAGAAATTTCATCTAATTTTGGGTGTGTTTTAGTTGTGCGTGTCGGTGTGTGTGCGTATATACATGTATATATTGTGTGTGGGTGTGCGTGTATATGTGAGCTTTCTTGTCATTAGCGCATTCGCTAAAATGTCAAAGCGCAACGGAAGCGTGGTGATCAAATTTACCGTTAGCTCTGCTACATTTCTCACCAAAAGTGGCGAAAAGACGTTGATATGTTTGTTGTTGCCCCAGAAGCCCGCAACACTTAACACCACGGTGAAATTTGCACACTCACTTTTACCTACGGACAGACACACACACACACACTTATGCATATTTCGAATTCTGTTCTCAGTAGCATTCAATTATTCATTCATATTTTTATTTTTTAGTATATAATCTTTCTCAAGCTGTCATAGCAAATTAATTGCCGGTTTTGTTTCTCTCCCTGGGCAACAATTAAAAATTTTTGTGGCCAATGTGCGGTTTTTAGTTGTTTAGTTCTTTTTTAATTTTTGTTTTGTTTATAATTTTGAATGTTTTGCTTTTGGCTTTACATTTGGCCAAGTGCGACGGCAATGATGGCAATTGTATTTACGCATTGCTGAGCACTTTGTCATTCAAATATTGTTAATTACCAAGTGGCCAAAAAAAAAAAGAATACTTTGGCACAAAGGTCATAGGCTCCAGAACAGACAGTCAGGCGAACGAACTTATGGCGTCATCAAGGAAGCCCGAAGAGAACACGCGTCTAGTCAGATCTAGTCAGGTTATTGACACGTTTAACACGTCTAACACACCACACACACAAACACAAACACAATCTCACAATTGTTGATCTTCATTTTCAACTTGAAAAGCAAAGTCAGGCTTTGGGGCGAACCCATAAAGAAGCGATCCCACATCTCATCTTTAACGATCTGCATATTTTGGCAACATAATTAACGGTGAAAAGAATGTGAAAAGTAGCGAAACGAAACGCGAACGACACAAGCTGAGACACAAAACACTTTGCTCAAAGAAATGAATCCCACTGGCACGCGAACGTAACAAAAGAAAGGAAAAAGAAAGAGCGAAGAAGCAGCAGAAACAGATATAGAAACAGAAACAGAAGGTTTCTACTCGTCTTGCGCTAAGCGCTGTCTTTCAGTTCCCAAACTCCCGTCGATCCAAACAGTTCGCTCTCCCCAATCCAATGCAAATACTCAAAAATGCCAAAGGAAGTGAATAAGTGAAGACGCAAAATAAAAAAAACTATATTAAAATAATAATCTCTAAGTTGTGTGTGCAAAAATCAAAAGGGAAACAATTTCTGCCGCTAACAATTGAAAATTGTCAATTAAAACCGGCAAATGTGCCAGTTGCTCAAAACTCAGCTCAGGCAGCGCATTGCGCTGATCTGGATGCTGCAGTTGCTTTGCAATCGAATCGAAGCACTCACTGTGGATAATCAACTGGTCTCGGCACGTAATGGTAAGCAGTAGCAGGGGCATAAAAATCTATTACTACATGAGCATAAAAATTATGTGCTTATAGAAGTGTTACTACAAGCAGTAATCTTATGCATGAGTAATAAACGATTATAATGACTAATACCCTTATACTATTGAGCGGGTTACCCTGAGCACAGTTAAGTTAATCAAAAATTTAAACGAGTTCTAAGATAGTAAAACCATTATAATGGGTCATATAATGTTTAATGTAGTTGTCAAAATTAGCATAGTGGGGTAAATAATGTTGGCAATTTAGCTGAACAGACCTGAAAATCGACTACAACTAGCAAATTACTCTAAAACATACTAACTACACAAAGAAAAAACTTGGGTGTCTGTTGTTGAATATAATAAATATGTAAATTTAGTACTTTACAGGTTTCACACCCGAATCGAAATATAGATAGATATAGATATGCAATCTTTGTACAGTATACATTTATTTTAGCTTCTTCAATATTTGAATCTTTAGAAAATGATGTTATATAGTTACTTAGATATTATGCTCTTCACACATACATAAGCTCGAGTCTGATTTGAAACCGGATCTAATTTCATCAGTTGGTTCGAACATTTGCTAATATCTTAAAATACTCTTTGATAAATTTATCACTTAATTTTAACAATGAAGTTTGGTAAAATAATGACCATTTGGAAATTAACAATAATTAATCTGTAAGGCGATTATAGATACATTTATGATGTTGATAATGTGTAAATACTCAGACATGAAATCAAGCTTAACCTAAGAACAGATTTTCTAACAGAATTGAGAAACTCTTTAAGATCTAGCGACTTGATTCCAATCTAATTTTATGTTATTCCGACAGGAGAATTTGTCAGCATGGGATCTCTAAAATAAAATTGAAAGCTTTGACAGAACTTTATATTTCAGAGGAACAACAAATATTTTTATTACTTTCGGCCTATTATTAATATAATATTTAGTTAGAAAACATAAAACTGAGGGCCAATAATCCATCATGCCACACAGACACAAACTGCTCAGGGAACCACAAAATGTATTTGTTTGTCGTGTTTGACCTTTTTGAATTATTCATGGGACTGTTTGTGGCAAGTACTATTTGCCAGAGTTCTATGGGCCACACATGGGTTAATGGCAGTCAACTGCGTCCACCCGGCACGCAAGCCAAAAAAACCGCAAATTTAAATAAAGAACAAAGCGCAATTGCGGAGACAATTGCAGAGCCAATAAAACTAACCTACCGTACAGTGGAGCAACCCAGTCCAAAAATGGCCTTGAAAGTGCAAGTGTTGTCCCCAGGTGACATCATCATCACAGTTGGAGTTGGAGCTGTTCTGTAGAAGTTATAACAATTTTTTTGGGGTCGCTATATTACACAACAAAGAGTGTAGTGAACCTTTTGGCCAATTGCTGTTGGCTAATTTAGTAAGTTGTTTGATTTCGACTATTGCTTTGTTTTTGTTTTGTTACAGACTGCTTTGAGCGAATCGCTTTGGAGGCAATGCTGCCATTTGAGAAGACCTTCCGCACCGAAGACACCAACTCGCTGAAGATGTGCAAGGAGAAGTGCCTGCAGGCGGGCGAGAAATGTCAAGCCATCTCATTTGGGTAAATACGATTTGCAATTGGCGAATTGCGATTGCACTAGCTAGCTGGCTAGCGATTACCCAACATTACTTTTTTTCTACAAATGTGAAACTGACTTTACTTTTGATTTTTTTTTTTTGTTGCAGTGTGCATCGACGCGGAAACGGCACATGTCAGTTGTCATCGGAGCAGTATGGCAATGCTGGCGGCGCGAGCGGGCGGCCGGGTGGGGTCATTTTCGATCCCGACTTTGATTTGTATGCGCGCAAAACGAACTGTTTCGATTTGAGCGACAATTCGATTGGGGCACCATCGAGTCCCATCAGTACGGGCGTAACGCCCGTGAATCTGCCCAATCGACCGCTGGATGTGGGCAACACACCAGTGCTCGTTGTCGATCCCACGCCGCACACCGACCATCCCGATCATCACCTGCCACCTTCACCACTACCACCACCGGGTCCGTCTTTGCCCCCACCTGGCGTTGGAGATCGTTTGTACTTCTCGCATGAGATTTATCCACTTTACAAATATCCAACGCTCTACGAGCACAACTATCCGGCGCCCAATGAGGAGGTCTACATACCCGGCGGCTATGCCGCCAATGTGCCAGAGGTGGATGAGCGTTATAGGCCCTCCTATGGCCATTCGTTGGATAATGATGGCGTGCGTCCAACGCCACACAGCCCTCCACGTCCCATTTTTGGCCTGGGCTATGGCAATGGCTATAGCTATGGTACTCCGGAGCGCTATGCGCCCACCACTCTACGGCCCGGTGCCAGTGATCGTCCCAGCTATGCGCCCCGCCCGGAATACAGCAGCGACCGACCCGACTATCCGCGTCCTTCCCCAGCGCGTCCCTATGACAGCTCCACACCGACCGGACATGGACCGCGACCTACGTCCACTTACGATGGGCATCGCGAGCCACGTCCGGACTATACCAATCGACCTGATCCGCCGCAACATGCAGCACATGATGGCAGCTATGAACCCGGGCCAGGCTCTTCGGCACGTCCGCCCGTCTACGACAGGCCATCGCCACCTCCTAGGGATGACTATGTGCGTCGCAATGGTAGCGTCATGCGACCCAATGGTTACAGTGGCTACGATGATGACAAGACCATATCCACGTACTTCAATCCCGGTGATTATATGCACGGCAATAAAAGTAAGAACTAAACTAGCCTTTTAAAACTAAGATAATATTTTTATTATAAGTTTCCAAGTGCTTACCATCCAATTTTTTCCTTCACTTTCGGTGGTTTATTTCTGGGAAGCGCTTTTGTTTTGACATCCAATTTTTTTCTTCACTTTCGGTGGTTTATTTCTGGGAAGCGCTTTTTGTTTCATTTTAGTTAACATTTTTTTATGTTCACTTAGGATTTTAGACAGCTTTCCAACATTTTGAAAGCATATTTCACAATTCCCAGTGAGCGTTCATAAAATAAAGAAAGCTTTAAAATAAGAATCTTTTTTTCTAAGGACAACAAAACACTTAGTTATGTAAAATATTGCTTAAATTCAGTGCCAAATACAACGATACTAGATCAGTTAAGTTTTCACTTAGTAAATTAGTTAGAAACATATTGAGTTAATTTGGTATAATACAATATACGAGTAGTTCACTTTGTAAAATGAGAGAAGAAATATCTGCACCAGACTCAAGTTTGTAATCTTTGAATTTATCTTTCAGAGCCCCCAATGCAAATGCCTGGTGACAGAGATCACGATCGTTATCCCATGGATGAGATGAATGGTAAGTAAGTCTAATGTTCACTTTAATAATTCTAACATGGTCCCAACTAATTTGGATTCGCGCCCATCTAACATAGGCAGTGGCGGGTTTTGAAGTGGTTTGTTTGCTTTTTGGGCTTAAAATGTAACAACTAAAAAACCTAGAATTAAAATTGCGCACAATTAAAACTCATTACGAACGGGCGTAGTGGGGAGGGAGACGGAGGAGGAGGAGCGAGCATTTGACCCACATTTTGATTCGCTTTTATTTGCGTAACAAAACTAAAATCCCATTAGCTAAACATAAAGCGCAATCTCTCTGTTGAGTGGGTGGACGGTGGACGGTGGACAGCAGACAGTCGCTGCTTGCATGTGCCCAAAACATTTCCATACTAAATTTATAATCGAGTAATCGAGCTCACGGCGTGGACAACAAAACAAGTGACCGCAACTCGCATTTTGAATGCAAAAAAAAATAATAATATAAATGTCGACCAAAGCTTATGAAAAACGGCAACAAATGTCAAAAAGTGGGTTATCGATGAGCTTGCATTCTGAAGACCGGATGGCTTAAAAATAGAATACATTATATTTTAATATTGGATACTAATTAGAACAACATTAATAATTAAACTTAACATAGTCGAATATTTTTAGGATTGGAAATTAATTAAAAAATGACTATCAAGCTTAAAAAAAGGTCATGTTAAGTGCAATTTGGAAAAAAGAAAAATATGAATATAAAGTTAAATCGAAAATATGAAATATATAAAAATCGAGGCTTAAGACAAAGCTGGGAGCAAAAAAAACACAGAAGTTTCACTTAAGCTAACTTAAAAAATTACAATATATTTTTATTTTTAAATATATATAATTTTTTACGCTTGAAAATAGAACAAAAGTTTTTAACATCTTAACTAGAATACCAACATTTTCTTTTTCACATATGATGTCAGCTGTTAAGATATGTTTATTTATTTTGGTTAGGTTGTCAAGTGCAAAAGATTTATGACAATTCTAAAATTGCGCTGCCAACTCATCAAAGAGTCATTTATATTTTGATTTTAGACTCGACTTCCTTTTGGAGTTTCTCGAGTGTGACGAGTACGTACGTACGTGAACTTTCAGCATAGTATCATGATGAGGTGACATAAGCCAAGTTCAAATGCCAGTTACTATCTGACAACGTAATTAAATCGTTGGTCTGCGTGCGCGTTTGTTAGTTGACTTTTATTAGGCGTGGGACAGATCTAGGGAGCTAAAGCTAAAGATAACCATACGACTAATGTGTTTTTTTTTTCAATTTTTCTTTTTGGGCTGTAGAAGCGGAAGTGTAGCACGCATATTTTTGTAAGCTTGTTTTTGGCTACTTTGCTGAAATTGTGCAAGAGCAAGTGCACTTGAACAAGCGCCCCAAAAGGCAGGCTGTATTGTATGCAAATGTTGTAGGCCGAAAAAAAGCCAACCATTGAACTGACAGCAGTGACATTGATTAAGAAACGGAAATGCGCTCAACTTGTCTGGCTTTTTGTGCTGCATCTAAGAGTGGATGTGCAGTGGGTGGGGAAGTTCTTGTTGTTGTGATGATCGATGGAATTGCCAAGACTTGGGCAACGAACTTGATATTAAATATGAATTGTGTTTGTAACAGCTACGGCCGAGATGCAAAAGACTTAGGCAACGAACTGCACTTGCAGCTTATTTTGCTTAATAATATTATACGCTAAAACAGACAGCGTGAGCTAAGTCAAAAAGACTTAGGCAACGAACTAAGTGTGGAGTTTAATTAATTTTATTCTGAAAATAAATTAAAACTAGATAATTGTGAGCAAAAATAATAAAATTGCAAGAAATGTAATAAATTTTTTTTATTGCATATAATTAACATTGTTACATTTTTATGTAGACAAAAATATTAACTTTAGACAGAGAAATAGTTAGGCAACTAACAACTCCTTAAAGCTCTACTAATTAAAGAGAATTTGAGCGTATGAAATCTTTAAACAGTACAGAGAAGAACATCAAACTAACACAGAAGTATATTTTTGTAGTAATATCATGTTCGTGAAATTCATTTATAAATTTGACCTGTTGTTGTTTTAAAATTAAACTCAAATTTTAATTTATTTATCAGAAATTTGAGTTCTTTGAGTTCATATTTAATTTATCTCGTTGGTCTTCTTTAATTTTACATAATTTGATTATCGCCGGCATCCTTGAGTGACGTCTATTCACGCATGGCTGGTCAGCGCTCTGCCCATAGCCCCAAAGGTACCAACTAACCAAGTGCCCCCGTATTTTCATCTGAATCAAAGATAAGCAATCTGCTACCAAAAAATACTCATTAAAAAATAAAAACAACAATCATGATTCAAGGCTCCATAGACTCCACCAATGACAACGCCCCCCGCTGGCATCAGAATAGTGCCGCATGATACATAGTCGCAGCGAGAGAACAGAAACCGCAGACAACAAAAAAAGCTCTCGCCCTTGCCGCAAAGTGAAGCTTTTTCCACGCTGCCTGGTGAAAAACGCTCGAGCGCTCGAGCATTTTTCTAATACCATATAAAACCGCAAGCTTGACCACAGCAGCTGCTCATTCGCCATTAGAATCGCCATCGCTGCGCGTCGCAGTCGCCGGAAATAAGTATACGTATTCACATATCCTGCTGTGTGTGCGTGTGTTTGTGTGTGTGTGTGTGTGTGAAACTCTCTGTTTAATAGCTGCTGTGCCTGCGTTTGGATTTTCCACTACACGCAATTGACATTCAAATAGAACGCTTACGTAATCACTGAGCATCACATATAAAATAGAAAAAATAAAATAAAATAAAACAAAGCACAAATAGAATTAAAAGCTAGCGCGATTATATAAAGATTTGGAAAATATTTGTTAGCTTTTTAGTGCTTCGCTGAGCGCGTTTCAATGCGGTTGCAAACAGTTTTTCACTTGTTGCTGCCGCCGCTGCTGCTGTTCTTCTTGGGTGGCAGCAGTGCCAAATTTGTGAGTCCTACGCGCCACAGCAGCAGCGACTTAAGCAGCACAATTATCATTGTGGAGGATGCCAAAGGTAAGACGCTGAATTGGAGTTGATCTTAGCTCGGTCAATGCACTTAGCCAAAACGACGCTGTTTAAAGTAATTTGCATAATTTTTATAAAAAAAAATATAAAAAAATGTAAAATAGAAAAATAACTACTCAGAGAACGACTCCTCCGCTGTTCAGCGGCAATTTTCCACAGATTATCTGCACAAAGGCCCTGTACATTAAACGTGTGATGATGGGTGGGCGGGGACAGTTATGGGTGAGAGGGGCGGTGTTACAAGTGTCCGTTGGCGTCGCAAAACATGACTCGAACATAATTTACAGCAACAGCGGATGTGACGGTAAAAAGAAAAAAACAAAACATACACATGAAGCAACATGAAGCCCCCGATCTTGGAGTTCTGGCCGCGCGTTTCAAACGCTTCACTGACTTTCTGCTTATGACCATGTTTTTTCTGCTTCTTCTTTGGTTTTTCGGCCAGAGTTAAAGTGAAGAGGCAGAGATTGCTTCACTAACAGCTGCTGCTTCAACTTGTTGACTGCATTTGCTGCAGCATCTTTAACTTTTTTATACCCTTGCATTTGGATATTTTTACGAAATTCACGAAATTTTTAATACAAATCGAACAAATTATATATATTTGATCAGAGACACTAGTTTCTTTTGCGAAACAGACACTCACCGACACTCAATAGAAATAATGGCAACTGTGGCTTCAAAGTTGAGCTCAGGTGTAAGTCCTTTTAATGCTTCCTTAAATATTTTTGCGACGTTCACAAATTGTACTAGTTTTTATGATGCCAGCATATTTAAAATATCTTATAATAAAACTATATTTTTATCCTTCTCATCATATTCCAGATGTTCCTTTGTATTTTTTAATTTAAATTTTCATACCTTCGGCTATTTCTAATTTACCGTGATCGCTTTTTATTATCATATGTATAACAAAATACATTCTTATACCAAGCATACTGTTTCAAACAATACAACTGATTCAACTTAAAATCTCCAAAATTGAGAACAACTTTCAGCATATCTCTGCAAACTGCAAGATAATTTCATTTTCGGTACACCGAAAATAACTTATCATTTAGTTTTTTCTTGCTGTTGTTATTTATTTGCAGCCTGCTTCCGTCGTGTGTTGGCCGGGAAGCGAGTCGCTCAGCATTGGGTGCGTCGCTCCATATCCTGCGAACGGGTGGAGGATTGCATGCGGGAGTGCGGCCATGAGAAGCGATTCATGTGCGAAGGCTTCAACTATCGGTTGGATCCGTCGGGACATGGCCAGGGCGACTGTGAGCTGATCGAGATGCCGCTGTCCCAAATGGAAATCTATTCGAGTGCGAATCGACGCGACTCGAATCTTCTGAGGCATCCCGATTATGATTACTATGAGCGGGATCGTAATGCGCCCAGCAGCTGTCGTCGCAATGCCTGCCAGGACTGCTCCAAGGGTCCACTGAGCAGTAATCCGATTTACTTTAAGCCCGGTAGCAGTGGGCCTGGACCCAGCGGCGGCTCCTATGGCGGAGATCGAGACCGTGATCGCGATCGTGATCGTGATCGTGATCATTATAGACCCCCGCCACCGTCGCCACACAGCAGCACCGCTGTAGATCATTATCGAGGTCCGTCGGGCCCCCCAAGTAGCAGCTCCTACGAACATCGACCTTATTCACCGGACCATCATAGCTCCCATTCCTCCAGCTCCTCATCCTCATATGAATTCTCCTCGCATAGCTCGGGCTCTGGTTACTATGGTCACACGCCACCCAGCAGCTTTGGCGATCAGTCACGACCCGACTATATAGATCGACATGATTATGGCCGACCTGAGCCACCATCCCGCTACAGACCCGATCGCTGGGAAACTTTCCCCAGCAGCTCGGGCTACGATAGCTCTGTCTACCGTCCACCACGACCCGAAACAGATCGCATTGACAAGTACAGACCCTCCTATCGTCCGGGGCATGATTACTCGCCCTATCGCCCACATGAGCCGAGTAGGCCAGCGCCGCCAGCCACGGGTCCGTCGCACAACTACCTTGATAGAGATGGACCCAATTCGGGCAGCGTTGCCTACTCGAAGCCCAACAAGTTTGTGCCCTATTTAATAGGGACCGAAGACAACTATGGCAGCTATGGGGGCAGTTATGGCGGCAGCAGCAACAAGCACAGCTCCTCGCAATACGGACTGAGTGAGTCGCATCATCGAAAGGATCAGCATGGCTTCAACTACTTTGAGTTGGGCACCAGCCATCGGGAGCCACCACGTGAATCGAATGCAGTGCTGCGCTATCCCGGCTCCAGTTACGACAATGAATATCCGCGTCTGCGCAACGACTACAGACAGAAGTGGACCAGACGACCAGGACCAGATGGTAAGGAAAGAATTGAGTCATAAATTGACCCTATAATATATGGTCTTCCTGCCCGCTTTAAGAATGCTCTGCCAAGACTAGCGAAGGCTTCCGACTCCACAAGACGGCCGTGAAGCATGCCTTCAATGTGCCCACACTCACGGAATGCGAGCGTCTCTGCTCGGATCAGCGTCCCAGTTTCATTTGCCACACATATAGCTATCGCTATAATCAGGCGGGCCGCGACAATTGCATGCTCTGCGACAGGCCCGTCAATATGCTCGATTACTATGTGGACATTGAGCCGGATCGGGACTACGACATCTACTCCATGGCCGATGATATGGATGTGTGCAGACAGCCATCATCACAACCCCCGCGACGTAGTGATAATCCCAGCACAGCACTCTCCGATCCGCGCAATGCACGTGAGTCCATACAATATTTTAAATCTTCACATTATTTCAAAAAATTTAGAATGTTACTTCGAGTTTTTATAATTTATTTTTATCTAATTCTTTATGCTTTTAATTCCTTATTCTATAAAGATTTTAAATTTAAACCCTTTTTCCAGTTTATACAATTACAATTTGAGTTTATTTTCACTCTAAATACATTTTTAGTGGTAATTACTTTATGGGGTTTATTATGATTTTTAGTATTATTTATTTATTTATAACTTAAAAATTTTTAAATTAAGAAATTAAGAATCCTTTCTAAGATTTTCAATTTTTCGTATTAGCTCATAATAATATAAAAATAAGTAAGAGTGTTGTATGATAAGTTTTGCACCCAAATGTGAGCAGGTGCAAGTGCACTCATTTCTTATAGCAGCGCATGTTTTTATTCACAAGCCCGATCTGATCCTAGGTGACCGGCAACAAACTCGTGCATATACATAAATACATAATATCCGTTTAAATACAATTCACATACATATATAATTCAAATATAAGTCAACAAATCTGAAATACTTTGTTGATGCTTTGCAGAGTGCTTCTTCCGCGCCATTGATGCCACACGCTTCTTCAAGTCCATCGTGAGGGACTCGCTGACTGTGCGCACTGTGGGTGAGTGCGAGATGGAGTGCATCCGTTCCACGAAGTTCACCTGTCGCGCCTTTGCCTTTCGATATGGCCAGCAGCGGCATGCGGGCGTCATCGACAACTGCCAGCTGAGCGATTGGCCCGTCCGGGATATGGACAAGGAGCGCCATCTCATTTTGGATGCCGCCTTCGACATATTCGAGCGCGCCAGCTATGGCCATGGTTGCGAAATACAGCCTATTATGGATGAGAAACACAAGAAACGTATGTAAATAATATTTAAATCCTTATCAAATATATACATATACATTTATATATATATTTATATTTTCGTATAGTGTGTTATTTGGGATATGGATCGCCGGCTCGACTACTGCCACCTGCTATCAAAAAGGTCATGAAGGTGTCCTCAGAAATGGCCTGCAAGAAGGAGTGCATACACTTCAGGGAGACGACCCAATTCAAGTGCTATGCCTTCAGCTTTGGGTAAGTCCACGGATTGAGTGCATCTCCAGGCCGACTTCATGTTTATGTTTGTACACTCCAGCTCCCATGGCAACTGCGAAATGTCGGATCTGGATCAGACGGAGCTGAAGCTGGATGTGCACTATACGCACACCAAGGAGCGCGATTATTGGCTGTTCGCGTGGAATCCCTTCGATTGGACCTGTCGCGACAAGGTTAACACAATTGGGGGATCGCGTGTGAATAATGATCGTCGCATGGACATATTCCGGGAACCTGGTAAACTGACACTCTTAACCTGTTGCACGTCCATCATTGTGTAAATAACCAGCGGAATTACCCACAAAATTCAACTGTCAATAATCCCCAAAACGTAGCGATTAGTAATTTAGTTGTATGTGTATAATTAATTTGTAAACGGCGGAGAATGTACATAAACATGTAAAAAACATATATAGACAACTACTACTACCAGCATGTAAAGTAACCCCCCCCCCCCCCCCGCAACGAAAAATAACCCCAAAACAAAGACGAATCCCCCCGTCCCGCCATCCTCTTAATGTACTAACTAGCGCATGCCTCACGGATTACGCTTTGTGCCTATCCTAAACTAACCTTTCATTTGCAAAAGGCGACCTTGCCTGGCGTCATTATACCGTGTCCGGCAAACCCTGTCGTCGCAGCAGTCCTTGCGAAAAGAATCTCGTAACGGGATTCTATTCCTGCGAAACGGATGGCACAGAAATCGGCTCCTGGGATTACTGCTGCAAAACGGATCATCCCTGTGGCTACAGTCGCGGCTTCGATTATCCCTGGTGAGTCATTGAACTTGAAATGGATGTTTAAGTAAGCTGAAAATTAAAGCTCAGATTTTGATTGAATTTAAAGTAAGACTCAATATCAAAAAATGTTTAAAGTCATAATATTTTATTTGTACAGGTACGTTTATTGTAAGCTATTTTTGATTTGAAGTAAACCTGAACATTAAAAAGTAAAATTGAAAAAAAAAATGGTGTAAAAAAGGCCAACGAATTAATGCAAGCTTAGCCTTAAACATAATTTGCAGCTAACTATTTATTTTATGTTTTTTTTTTCCAGAATTTAAGGTTATAAAAGATTTAAAAAAAAGCTTGTAAAAGTTGAATATAGAGTGTATATATTTAATACTAAAGCAATTTTGGTAATACTTAAAATTAGCTATTAAATAAAGAAAATTTAATTAAGGAATAATCGATTCTATTTTAAATATAAAAAAAAAAATAGGAAATAGGTAAAATTAGAAAAAAAAACAATGTAAATATTATTTAACCTGTAAAAAAAAAAAATTATAACTCCGTTTTTATTTGAAACAGGTGCTTTGTGGGCGACGAGGCAGATCAGTGGCGCAAGTGCAGCGATCGTTATTATCCCGGCGGCAAGAACGGCACAAAACCGACGCACTCCAGCCTAGGCCTGCCCAGCAGCATCAGCAGCAGCAAGCAGAAGCCAAAGCATCAGCCAAATCAGCCAGCGACGGCGGCGAGCAGTGAATACAACCAGCATCCGCCGCGACCCGGTGGATTGCAGAGTCTTAGCGATTTCGCTGCGGCACGTCTCTGGCCGGTCACATATCTGTACAGCGAGGGGCCGCCAAATGCGACCGAGTTTAGCAATTTCGTTGATTGCAATAAGGAGACATGCTAGCCGCCACAGTAACAGCAACAGTAGCAGCAACACACGACAGCAGAAAGCGTTTTAAGTAGTGCTTAGTTCCCCAATTAGCAGATTTCCCAATAACACTTGCCACCTGCCCCCCGCTCTTGCCACCAGCACTTTTTCTAGCTCTAAGTGCAACTGCACGCGGTAACAATGACGAAACGAAAAATGTTCTCACCGTTTGCAAAATGTGTCGTTGTGATTTTTTAATGAGATTGGATACAATTTTCCGTCATAATCAAGTATACAAAAAAAAAAAAACAATTAACTTATTAATTTAAATAATATATCCAAGCTTTTTAATGTTAATCACCCATTCGTGCTGACGATAAAATTTATGTATTTAAGCTAAATCTGTAAACTGTGTACGCAATATAATAATGATAATAATAAACTACTTAACTGCAAAGCGGTTAAAGTTGATGGTAATCTAATTATTGCTTTCGCTGTCACTGGACCTATTTAAAGAGCGATCATTGTAAATGCTGATTAGTGTGGGAGATAACTTAGTTTCCACTGCAGCTGTGCTCTCTGTTGCTGTAATCTGCCTGTTGAAAGATTGTGTTGGAAATAACTGTATTTGCCTATGTACACCACAGCTTGTCTTGCATTCCCGTTTTGTAGTCTTAATCTGTTGTTGCCTGCGAGCAACGGTAATTGTAAGTTCCTTATGATGAAGACCTTCTTCGATGCTATGTTTAAGCTATTTTCATGAAGAAAGAGTCAGTCGCTTTTGGTCGCTTGAATCGCGTAGTATAAGTCGCATGAAGCGGACATGTATATTCTGTATTAAATACTAAGCTCTGAATAAATATAAGCCCCAAGTTATAATAGGTTATGGGCCCAGAACACGGAAAATTCAGCTCGTAGAAAATACAGTGAATTGTTCTGAGGATTACTTGTAGAAGGTGAATGAGAGCATTCTGGACTTTCTTGGACAAGTGTGATAACTGTGTGGTTAAAGAAAATGAATACCTCGATGAGTTCGATCGAGAAGTTGGACGACCAGAATTATAGTGCCTGGGTCGTTCAAATGAAAAGCGTACTCGTGTATTCAGAACTAGGGCAGTATGTGTGCGGTCGTGTCGTGAAAAACGAAAATGACAGTGCTGAGCAAAAGGCAATATTTGATGCAAGAGATGAAAAGGCTCTGGCAAGTATAATGCTTTGCATAAAGGCATCCCAAATAAATAATGTGAAGAATTGCCAAACATCAGCAAGTGCCTGGAACACCCTGAAAGAAATTCATATGCCAATGGGACCTGCGCGTCATGTAACTTTGCTAAAGCAGTTGTTACGGCTAAGATTGGTATAGTCGGGTAGTATGGCAGAGCACATACATTAGTTTGCGGACTTAGTGGAAAGACTAAGCGAGATCGGCTTTTTAATGGTCGAAGAGTGTTTGTCTATATTGTTGTTGTCAAGTTTGTCGGATGTGTACGATAATTTCGTGATCGCCATGGAAAATCGTGACACGTTGCCGTCGCTAAGTGTGATAAAAATCAAGTTACTCGAAGAGAGTGAACGGCGTAGAACAGACGGACAGACAGAGTCAAACGGAGAGACAAAAATGTTCTCGACGCGTATAGACAATCGAGCAAACAAAAATACAGACGAAAGTAACGGGAAAGTGAATCGTAGAAGTGCGCAGCAAAAAAAGGCAACACAGGGCGGCTGCTGGACATGTGGTCGCCGTGGGCACATTGCTGCAAATTGTCGCGCAAAAGACAGCTCCGAAAAAGAGCAAGGCAAGAAAAATAAAGAGAGTAAGAAATCGTGCTCAGTGTTTGCAGCGGCAAGAAACCCAAGTAGTGGTGGTTTTACGAAGAACACGTGGTGTCTAGACAGTGGCGCCACAGCGCATTTGTATAACGACAGATCGTGCTTCATAGAATTAAGAGAGCACAAGGAGAAAATTATTTTAGCTGGAAATAATTACATACAGGCATATGGGCGTGGAAAAGCACGCATAAAGTGGAAAAATAACACTATTGATTTGACCGATACATTATATGTATGTGAAAGACCTTCAATGCAACTTTGAGTTCTGATCATGCCAGTGAATGGAGGGCATCAATGCAGAAGGAGATGGACAGTCTAAAAGGAAACAAAACTTGGGAGTTGGTTGATCTACCGAAGGGAGAGAAGGCAATTGGCTGTAAACGGGTATTTGCAGTGAAGCGTGACGAACATGGTAAAGTAGTACGCTTGAAGTCTCGACTAGTGGCCAAAGGATGCGCCCAACAATATGGCATAAATTACAATGAGACGTTCTCCCCTGTGGCCAGATATTCGACAATCAGATTACTGATTGCTCTAGCGGTAGAAAATGGTATATATATGCATCAGATTGACGTGTCTTCTGCTTATCTCAACAGTGAGCTGCGAGATGTGGTTTATATGCGACAACCAGAGGGATTTGCCAACCAAGATTTCCCTAACCGAGTCCTAAGACTCAAGAAGGCGCTGTACGGCCTTAAACAGAGCGGCCGTGAGTGGAACGAGAAACTAAACACCGTGCTAATCAGGATTGGTTTCACTCCCTTGTACTCAGTACTTTATTCGATTCGTTGGTCCTTGGGGATGTCAAATCAACCAGCTTTGTCACAGCTTTTCTCTTATTCAGCTTTCTGTCCGCGCAACTTATCGATAACTTATACTAACAACGCTGCTTAGTATTTTTGAATACGACCGGCATATTCCACTTTGCCTGCCACGGCCACACGCGCTTTCAAACAGCTGACAATGTTATAATTGTGCAATAAGCAAACGGCTTTAAATAAATAAAATTATCTATAAAAACGAAATCCAAAATGAGTCGATCACAAGTACGCAACATCTTGGCAATCGGCACTACAGCTATAAGTGCTTTTTGTCTGGGCTCCTATGCGGAACGCCACCTGACCAGTTACCACAGCACAGGTGGTCAAGAGAAACTTTCACGCTTACCCGGATTACCCGTGTTCGGAACCGTCTCTGCTGCAGCATTGATTCCGGCCAATGAGTTGAACCGTGCAGCGACGCCGTCACGCATCTCACAGATCATGAAATACGGTTTCCCTGGCCTGGACAACGTGCGCTCCCAGTCGGACTATGTGTTATCGTACGACAGACGGACTCGGGTGCCCCACTGGGTGTTCGAGCACCTCACCGCCCAGTCGGTGGATAAGAATTCGGACGTGGATCGTGCAAAATCCAATTTTAAGCCCGACGATAGCATACATCCCTATTTTCGCGCCCAGAACACCGACTATCTCCGCTCTGGCTACGATCGTGGTCACATGGCAGCGGCGGGCAACCATCGACTGCATCAGAAGCACTGCGACGACACCTTTCTGCTCTCAAACATGGCTCCCCAGGTGGGCCAGGGCTTCAATCGAGATGCGTGGAACACGCTGGAGTTGCACGTGCGCAAACTGACACGAATCTACGCCAATGTCTACGTCTGCACGGGTCCCCTCTACCTGCCCCACAAGGAAGACGACGGCAAGACCTATGTCAAGTACGAGGTAATCGGTGCCAATGCAGTGGCCGTGCCCACCCACTTCTACAAGGTGATTGTGAGTGAGGCGGCGGCGGACAATAAGCTGCATATGGAGGTATACGTGATGCCCAACAGGGTCATCAGCAACGACACCCCGCTGCAGGTGTTCCAAGTTCCCCCCGAGACGGTGGAGCGAGCGGCGGGTCTGCTCTTCTTCGACCAACTCAATCGGAGTCAACTGGCAACCATAAATGGCAAAAAAGTTTAGTTTTAAAGTTAGCCGAGAGATTTTCAATTGAGCCTTTCATAACTTGATCCCGATCCTTGATTGTTTTTAACAAATAAATTATCAACATGGCTTTACATGGAAGAATAGTAGCTACTTTTGTAGAAATTGTATTTAGTAAGTTGTATTTTATTTGAACGCAATTGTTCCGCTTGGTTACTGTTGCAGTTGATTTTGTTTCTTTTCCAAAGAATTGTGTTGATTAATAAAAGTAAACAGTTAATACAGAGATACACAAATATGTTAAGATATATGCATGAAAGGAGCGCAGAGCAGGAGCGAAAAGTTATGCACGTGTGTGTGTGTGGATGTGGATGCGTTGCTGATGTTTGTGTTTGGGTATATAAGTGTGTGTGCTTGGCTGTGCCATGATTTACATGCCAAGATTCTTGGAGCGCACATCGTCGATCTTGAGTATCATCTTGACGAGCTGGGTGGATAAGAGAATCTGTTGCTTTTTCGAGTGCAGCGACTCGACAACATTGTGACTCTTCATGTCCGAATCGCCGGTAAGCATGCAATCGACGCCCAGGCTTGGTTTCTTCTCCGTCACTTGGCTGGCCTTCAGCTCCGACAGCGTCTCAATTGGATGCAGACCGCTATTCTCCGCCAGCGCAAGGGGAATGCTCTCCAGAGCGACGGCAAAGGCACGGAATGCATACTGTTCCAGCGTGGAGAGCTGATCGGCCTCCTTGGCCACAGCCAGAGAGCAGCTGATCTCGGCAGCACCACCACCATAAACAATACGCGAATCCTTCACCAGGGAGCGCACAACACAGATGGCATCGTGGATAGAACGCTTGGCCTCCGCAATGATCATGGCATTGCCGCCGCGCAAAAAGATTGTGACAGCCTTGGAGTTTTTGCACTCCTCGATGACCAGCATTTTATCCTTAGACGTGCCAAAGGCTGCAAAGAGGAAAGCGATATTTTTAGCTAGGGGAGTCAACTCGCATCTGGTAACTTACCCATCTCACGGACGAGGCCGGCTGTGCCCAGTTTCTCGGGTGTTAACTCCTCGAAACGAGGCACAATCCGACCACCGGTGGCAATTGCAATCAGTTCAATCTCCGGACCACCAACCCAACGCACTGCAGGCAAATCCTGCTGCAGCAGTAGATGATTAGCCTCATCATCGAAGCCCCACTGGCATATGGCGAGAGTTGCGCCCGCATCCTTCACCTGCTTGACCATTTGGGTGAATTTCTCCTGCTCGTATTCGCGTAGTGCACGGTAATCCTCCGCCGAGGTGACATCCAGCTTATGCTTGGTCTTTGGCTTCGGTGGCTCGAAGGGGCAGGTGAGAATGGCCAGCTTTACATTTTTCAGCTCCTTGGGCATTTGCGAGTGACTCAAGGTCTTGTCGACAATGACGCCCTTAACCAGCATGGAATCCTCCATGCGTCCGCCAACTTTCGTCTCAATTTTGATCAGCTCAAAGTTTACATCTTTCTTCTCAATGTCGGCCACATTGAGCACCGCATCGACGGCCATTTCAGCCATCTGACGATGGCATTTATTCACAATCTTACTGCCCAGCGTCGTCATAGCAATCTGAATCAACGGCTCCTTGTTCTTCGGATCGACGGGGAACGGTTGAGCAATCGAATCCAGCTGCTTAATGGCACACTGTGCGGCCAGCTCGAAGCCATCAGCAATGCGAATGGGATGAATGCCGCGATCGATCAAACCCTCCGCCTGCTCGAGCAGAGCGCCAGCGAGGACAACGACGCCGGTGGTGCCATCGCCAATTTCATCGTCCTGCGACTGCGACAGTTGCACCATCAGCTTGGCAATCTCATGCTCCACCTCCATCAGTTTCATGATGGTGGCGCCATCGTTAGTCACCGTCACATCGCCATCGGCACTGACCATAATCTTGTCCAGACCCTTGGGTCCTAGCGATGTCTTCAACGTTGAGGCAATCTGCCGTGCCGCCATAATGTGCGTCTAAAACATACCAACATAATAAACATTCGATACAAAATAGATTACTTTTTCTGCGCGTGACTCAAGCGTCTGTGTGTGAAACATCGAACATCTGTGCGGCGTTTTAACCTCAAAAACAAAAGTGACGTCACAGAGAGTATTCCAAATAATTTCATTCATATATTTTACATTGAATTTAAAGGCGTTTGTTTAGCAAACTGCATTTATTATCAATTTTAAAATGACATTTGTACAAGACGCATTTGCAAAGTGTATTTTTAATGCGTTAAAAGCCGGCAGCAAAGAACACCTGGAACATTCGGCAAATTATGCGTCATTGTTTTCAGAGTCTACCAACTATATTTTAGCTGAAACATTTTTGGACGACTTTGAACAACACATTAAAACTATCAGGATATCATTACCCATAATATAAAGCATTTTAAATCACAAGTTTCATTTACCTTAATGGCATCTGTGCCTGTGATGCGCTTTTGCTGATCCTGATCTCGCAGAATAATGAAAGGCCGACCATATTCGTCGAACGCGAACGTTCCTGGAAAGGCGCTCATGGTTATTTAGTTGAAAGGATAGCGGATTTTGCCGTATTTCACAGATTTAATTTTATTTTCGCCAAATTGAAATGCACAAAATTGGCAGGCAACGCTGTACTAACTCTGCAATCGTTATCGACTACAATATCAGGGCAATATCGATAACAAAATAAATAAGTTCCCGGTAGAAATATTCACAGCTGCTTCACATATTGGTTGCCTATGAGAAAAAAAAAAAAACAAATAACCTTCTAGTATTCATCGTATATATCGTGTCACTGAAAACAATCGATGTGCGTGTGCCAGGTTGTTGGTTTCGTCTATTGCTTCGGATTCCGTTTACTTCACAAACAATTTAGCAGTCGAACCAATCGGATCACAAGTGCAGGATTCTCAAACGCTTCTCGTTAAGTCAGAGCAGATTTTTTGTTCAACGAAGACCCAATTTTTGTTTTCTTTGTGCGTTAAGTTGCAACCATTAAGTGTAAAAATGCCATCAAACATGAATAATAAACTGTAAGTAATGGTACCAAGGAGCCATGCTAAAAAAAAAGCAAAAATCGATTTTGTAGTGAAAAATAAAGAGGAAATGGAAAATAGTGCACGGGTACCGTAGCCAATCGGACCAAATCCAATTGGTGGCAAATTAATTATGTAGTTTGTTGTTGGTTGCCAATAAAATCATGGCAAATTTTCTATAATAGTGCAATAGTTTTAAGTGTAATATGTTAACTAATTTCGGATCGGTGTTGGTAATATAACTGAAGAATTTAGCCTGAACGCCATATATATGAAATCATATATACATGCATACTTACATACACATGTATGTGCATGTGTGTGTGTGTGTGTGCGAAAGTACATATAATCAAACAAAGAAATTGGATTATGTGAAGAAAAAAAAAACGATCTGTAGGTAAAGTAAATACCCTGATTTCATAAAATATTGTATTTATATGTGCATTTTGAAATGCCGTTTATTTGACTTATGTGTATTTTACTTTTGTTTTTCTCTTCGTAGCAGCCATCTTGTTCACCTCATATATATATGTATGTGGCTGTCACCCCGTGGTAGCCCTGATATGGAGAGAAAAAATATGCGAAAAAGGAATACTGATAAATATTTATTAGCTGTTCATGCGCGTTTCAATTAAAGCTTTATTGCTTAATTGTGCAAAAAACAAACTGCTGTTGTGATATGCTTTGCCACAGAAATCTGGCAACGCTCCGCACACACACACAAACACGCATTAACCGTTTCAATACCCTTCTAAATTTAATATACATATGTACAGATGACTTGACGTATGTGAGTGTGTGTGTGAGAGAGAGAAAGAGCGTCAATTGTGTTGTTTTATTCGGTGTTTACTTGAACAACTGTTTGTTCGCTCTCTTGTCAAGTACTGTAATTTATTATGCCGTAAACTGCCTGACAACACTGTTCGCGCAATGAGGCTGTGTTGTTGTCAGATGTGTTACTTGAATCTTTTTAGGCTGAGAGCAAACAAATGGAGCTTTCGTTAGCAATTACAGTTATTACGCGGTAAACATTGTGACTATATTCGTTCGTTCCTGCTCTTATCTGAGTTTTTTTTTCTGTTTCCAACGAACACAACTTTGACTCTTATCTCGCTGCCAAAATAAACAACAGAAATTGTTTCGACCCAAACGACTTTTCCACTTGCAATGGATGAGGCATTTATAATAAGAACTAATTGGAATTGCGGTTTGCTTACTGCGTCACTTCTATTTGCCCATTTTGTTTTTTGTTTATCATCCGGTTACTATAAGCTGCAATTTTGTCGCTTGATGGCTCCGCGCGCTTTCATTACGTCAAAATCAACATACACACTCACACGCACCAAATAACAACACAAATATACGTACACACATACATAAACAGACACTTGATGTATTTACAAACAATGGAAAATTCCACTCGCCATGCAACTCGGCAAGTGGCAAGCATACATATGTACATATATGTGCATGAGTGTTTGTGTGTGTGAGTGAATTGCCAGAACAGCGCTCAATATTGGGTCAATCGACTGAATCAAGAAGAACGGAAGAAAGAAGTTTCCACTAAAAGTATCAAGTCAGAAATGCTGAATCAGAAGGTCATTAAAGTGGCTGCATTATATCTGTAGTGCTGCCACTTAGGACGTTATCATTTCATGTCTTATCTTATAATAGTCAACATCTTAAAGCTGTCAGCCATCTTATCGCTATAAAGACAAAAAAAATGGAAATGATTAGTTTATTTTATGACTCGCTTTGCCATAAATCTCTCAACTTCTGTTTGCATATGTGTGTGTGTTATAGTGCTGTTTATTGCGAGACATACTTGCTTTGAGGTGAATGGAGATCTGTCTAACAACAATTAAGCATGTTTGTTTGCAGACAGCTTTATGCAGCAATTGCCACATACCATTTTGATGTGTTTACCAACCAGCGACCCATTTACGTACACAGCTAATACCACAATCGTTTCCTTATCTGTCTCATGTGTTATCTTAATTATATGCTAAAAACGCTTAAAGCTCATTTCTTTGTTTTAGACTTTTTACGTTATACTGCCGTAGCAAGGTGCAAAACAAATAAGTTATGGTAACCACTATGTATTAGTCCATGTCACGTGATACTGCTGAGTATTTGAATGATTATGTGATTGATTTACATAAAATGCGTGCGCTGATTCACGTACATATTGTGGGCACATATTATAATAACTGTATTTCCAAAGAAATTATCTTCCACTTTGTTGCCCACATTTGCATATGTTTTTGTTTTGCACATACGCACGCACACACACATCCATTTATACATTTCTTACGGCTAGACAGCACATCACGTAAGCAGGCCCACACATCGATTAACGATGCATTCGTATTATCGTTATCGCTTGTTTTCTTGTGTTTTTGTTTTAAGCTATTTATAGGCACTTAAATTGTTTGCTTTCAACAGTTCACGTGCTGAGCAATATAATAATTAATTCGTTTTGAACACGGCAAAACCGCATTTATCTCCTTATTTATTTATGTAAAAGTAATGAATTTTTGTCATTTCATGAAATTTATCATCATAAACAAATAATCGCATAGAGAGAGGGCAGAGAAAGAAAGCAAAGACCGCATAATATTTGCATAGATATATTCGAAGGGTGTGGTGGACACAAAGCGGCATCAGCAATGCAAATGTAATTAGTTGATTTTGCTTCTTTCCCCCACAACTGGTGTTTGTTTTTGCTCTTTCGCTAGCCAAGAATATCGGACCCGGACTGGGACAAATTGTGGGGCCAATGCTAAACCTTGGAAACTAGATTTCTAAATACATGCCCAAAGGCGGTTTTTCTTCAACAGTTAAACTGTACCTGTTTGTTTGTTTGACTGTTTGTTTCTTCCGATTCGGCCACATATAACCCCACCAATGCGGTAGTATATCTATCTATTGTATCTATACTACAGACACACGCGCACAGGCCGATTAACAAATATATATATACATATAAATATATATATGTGAATGTGTGTGCTTGTGTGTGGGACATCAACTAAATCTTTTTGAAATAAATGATGCCACCGCTATTGGGATGCCTTCAGTTGGCAGACAAGCGCTCAACGCTTCGCTCGCTTCGGCAAACGGGAAAACAAACGCAAATAACAAGCACAAAAACACACGGGTCTTTTTTTTTTAACTTTACCTTACGTTGTAAAAGCAAACAAGATAGGGAGAGTGAGAGAGGGACGCGAATACCTTTCGGAAGCCTTTTCGATGTAAAACTTCTAGAACATTGTTCGAATCGTAAACAAAACTGTGATAACGTAATTAACACAAAAGAGACACACAAGGCATATATTACACATACAACGTAACTGTGATATACACATATACTACATACGTAACTCGTAAATCGTAAATATAAATATAAATATATATACATATATATTTAAAACATAATCATGCAACAGCAACAGCAGCCGCGGCCTGACTCCGTCAACTCAATGGATCGGCTCGGGTAGGTGATTAACAACAATGTATTAAATGTTCCTTTCGATACTCAATTCGCCCAATAGAAACCCATTTAATTACACTTGCCTTGCACACATCATATGCACGTGCTTTCGATTAATTGTGAATGGAGGCTTCTGCTGTTGAATTGCACTCATTTAGTTAACATGCATTGGAGGATGCTCTCCAGAATAGCCTTTGATAAGTAAAAAGTAAAAAAAAAAGCGATGACAATGTTATGTAAAAAGTGCTAAATTAAATCTATATGTAAAAAGATCCCACTGCCTGCTGTTCTTACAATTTTTCCCGCAAAAAAGAAGCTGGATTTGAAGTGAAAAAAGCTTTAAAAAAACCGTGTCAGCACTGCTCTCTTTTCTCGCTTTTTGGGTACTAGAAAATATGCCTTTTGTTGCTCGCTCAATTTGAAATGCGTTGCCAAGTGCGCAGTTTGTTGTTCAATTGGCATCAATATAAAAAATTCATATATATTTTTGTGCCGGCCCGGCAAACATTAGCCTACAAATACATTCTTTTTTTTGGTAACTGTTCGTGATGTGATGTGTCCTGTTGTCTGTCCCCCAATTAAATGTTGATTAACCCCACTGAATCAGAACGAGAGAAATTATGAAAAGCGAATAAGTGAATAAAGAGAGCTGTCCGTCGACAGTCCAGTATAAATTTTAATACTGTCATGGAATTGCTCTCTTTGTATGATATTCGACGTTGCCCGAACAACTAACAAATTGACCTTGTCCTCTGTCTGAAATAAATTGTCTGTTGTCCTTTCAAAGCTTTGCGGCTTTTAAGTTTCACAACAAATTACGAATAGCGAAATGAAGAGAGCTATCCGTCGACAGTCAAGTTATATACCGATTGTAATACTGTCATGGAATTGCTCTCTTTGTATAATATTCGAAAAGCGACGATATTTATAATATATATATGTTTAGTTGATTGTCCCAAATAATTTTGGTGCTGGCTTCTTCTCTAGGTAAAATGGAAAACACAAAAAAAGTCACGTTTTGAAATTCAAGTTTCTGGTTCCATTGTTTTGTTTTCTTTTGACAATTATAAGACTTCAACATGGTTTGTTTGCGACCCGCCCGCTAAGATTAATTTTCCCTTAAATTATGTATAGTCGAATGTGCTGCACTTCCGCATTATATTTTACAAGCCGCCGCGTCCACGTCCGCCTGTGGGACCGCCTTGCCAAGCGCCGCGTCCGCCACCACCGGGTGCACCTGGTGGTCCACCGCCGCCTCGACCGCCGCCAGGAGGACCAGTTCCTCTGCCCCGACCGCGTGCTGCAAACAAAGAAAAACAGACGCTCTAGTAAAAAAAAGCAATGAGACAAAATGGCATTGCGCATGAGTCACCCTGTGCTCGAAGTATCGCCGCTTTGCCGCGTCCCGCTGTACCACCAAGGCCTTTGCCGGTCTGCTTTTTAAACATCGGTGCGTTCTTTAGCATGTCGGGCAGTATGAGGAAACGTATCTTGGATCCGCGTATGTAGACATTCTCCAGGTTGGCTGTTCGCCCGTCCCGATAGGTGACCGTGATTTGTGTCATTTGGCAATTCATGTTGTCCTCAGCCTCAATGAGCTTGCCGCGGTAGACTTCGCCGGTAATTGTCTCGCAAGTGATTATGTGGCCCTCGGCCTCGTGTAAAACTTTAATAGGTACACCAATCGACATCTTTGAGGTATATCTTTACAAATATTTGATAGCTTTCGCGTATTTTTCGGACGCTGTAAATTTTCGCTGTTCTTTCTTTGGGCAAACGTTCACAAGTGAGTATGTGTGTATGTGTGACAGCTGCCCGCGCCGCCATGCTGTGGTGAATAAGTCTGCTTGCATGTAGGGTTGTATTTCAGCCGCATAGTTGCGCGACAAATGTTATCGTTGTTATCGGCGCCAACTGGTTTTTATTGTAGATAGCGGGCATCTTATCTTAAAATAAAATAAACATTTGAAAAACACGTATGCGTTATAAAGATGTGGAATTGTTAAGTTGATTCGTCTTTGCCGATAAGCGTTAAAGTGTTATCGGTCTGCATGTCAGTTTTCCATAAGCTATTGCGCCGTAAAGCTGCTTCAGAGTCTTGCCACCAATTAACTTAAAAATGAATTGGTAAATTTGTATAAACTCCAAATACAACTACAAAATCGAGAGGCCATACTATGGAAATATTAAATTGATAACTAATATCGTTATTTCTGCACATGTTTTGTATCATTCGCAGCGACCCAATGTTTAGTAGTACCTTCGTTAGAAGAGACTATAATGATAGCGGAGTAGCTGGATGTTCCGATAGCAAGCTTCGCACCATCTCGACTTCGTCTTGCGCCACGAACATGTCGACTGAATCTTACCGCATCTCTCTCGGCGTAGGGCCTCTGTGGTGGTCCTGATGTCCCTGTCCACCACAGAACAGATCACGATAGGGCATCGCTCTTAACGGGTAAATAACCGAACCATCAAATTGCAATTTCCTTTTTATACACTGCCTATGGTTTTTGTTTTGTTTTTTCATCGATTTGACAGGCTACAGCCGCAAGTCTTCGGTCGATTCGGCTGGCGGCAGCTTGTTCGAGGCCAGCTCTCGGGCTTCGTCATCCTCATCTTCGTCGTCGGAATGCTCTGACTCGGAGTCGCATGACATTCATTCGTTGTGCTCAGAGGATGACTGCCAGGAGGTGTTGCGCCAGATCCTGCTGCATGACCAACCAGTGCATATTTCTATCAAATTGCACGTCACTGAAGACCTGTCAACCAATTGGATGTCGATTTTGAACCCGACCAACAACATTCTATATGTCGCCTTTCCCACTGACTTACCCCCAGCCGGCTCCAAGGAGACCTTCATCTCGCTTTTGGAATTTGCCGAGGATAAGTTAGAGGTGGACGGCATCGTCATGGTAATGAGTAAGGATCAGCCGGAGTGTGCTCGTTTAATTGAGGCATTCCTTTTCATGGGCTTCGAGCCGTTATCAAGAAAGTCGCCGAAGGCACCACCAGCAGCCGTCAACGATAACGAGAACTACTATTTCCTCTACACCATCGAGGAGTAGAAATTGGGACAACGTGTTGGCAACAGTTTTGCATCAGACGATGTTTAGTTACACATAACCGAAACAATTTACTTATTCAAACTTATCTACAATAATCAATAATAACTAAAGTGTTTGCGAACATAAATATTACCCATCTGAGTAGTACACCACCACAATATCTACACAAGCTGACATATTGACCCCGATGTGTTCAATGAAAATTCAAATCTAAGCAACTCGTTTCAAACTTTGTCAACGCGATCATTTTCTTTTGTGGTTATTCTATCAATATCCGATTGAATTAACAACATTAATTCGCCACGTTAAGAGCAAGCTTCAACTTGTCGTATATTATTACACAAAATATAATCAAAAAAAAAAAAAAAAAAAAAAATACGTAAAAAAAAAAATACTAAAACTACGAAAAAAAAAATGTATTAGTTTTAAGTTTATTTGTGAATTGCATTACAATTTATTTATGTCTTCTATATTTTTTTCTATTGTCATCATTTTTGTTTTCAAAAACCAATATTCTTGTTTATTCAATAATTTCATTAATTCAATATTTTCATAAATCCCACACGTATTTTATATAAAAAAAAATGTTTTCTATATATATATATATATTCAATTTTTGTATACTTATTTTCGATGAAAATGAAGGAATGAAGCATTCGAAAGTGGAACATACATATTTATATATATTTAATAAACTACCACGTTTATCAAGCAAACACATACATATATAAACGTATACATATATATTCAAACTAATAAATAAATCTTGAAATCAATAGATTAAAAGAACACATCAGCAAAAAATCGATATTTAATATTTTATTTTCATTATTTTGTAATATTTTGAACTATATGCAATAAAATTAATGATTCAATAATATTATTGACGTATTCCTCACTTTGACTGGTGATTTCCTTCTGTAAATAACCGGCTACGTACTATCAGAGATAAGTTTGCTAATTATTGACGTTGATCATATATGAGTTTAAAAATAATTGGACACCTGAGTGAAAAGCAAAATGGAATTAATTTAAAATTTGAACTTTCTGCTTGAGAACTATGCGCAAATTGTGGAAATTATCTGGCAATATTATCTGAGATACTCCAATCAACGTCACATAATTTGTAGGTTTCTCAGTTATGAGATGGCTGGTGCTACCAGGAACAATTCAACTCGATCGTCATATGGACACTTGATCTGTGCCTTTTTTAATCGTACACATCTGTTGTGAATGACTAGTAGAAAATACATAAAGCGTGTGCTTTGTTTTCCACTCTTTATGGGCGATAAAAAAACCGAACACCGACGCGTATATACATACAACGTAAGCATGTGTGTGTATATCTGTATGTATTATATAGGGGCTGGAGTTGCTGGTCATATAAAATATAACGCTATAAACAGCAACGGAAGAGTTTCCGAAAGCAGTCGACTTTTGGACGTACGCGTTTACACAACGAACTTTTTTTGTAAGGCACAACCGAATACAGAGAGAGGAATATATCATGTTGAAGGCGGTAAGTGTGTGAGGAATGGGCACGATATTGTTGTTATCTTATCCGCTTAGATAACGACCAGTGTTGCATCAATCCAACTATTAGAATTTCCAAATATATGTATTGCTTTGATCTATTTTTTCAGTTGTTTATCATTGCAACCATCCTGATTGCCGTTGTGCTGGCAACGCAGCATATTGAGGACAGTCAACGTCAACATTCGCACCACAAGCGCCAGCATTCCCAGCATGTGGGTCAGCATCAGCATAGTGGCCATCTGACGGACAAGTCCAGGCATCACCAATTGCCGGAAAACAACAAGGAGCAGGTGAAGCATGGACGCGTCAAAGTTCCAGTCGTGCCACACCACTCCAAATCGCATAGAAACGACAGGCGCCACAAGACGCCACTGAGTCCAAAGTCTGCGAAGAAAGAGCATCTTCCGCAGCAGAAAGCATCCCATCACAAGAGGCAAGCGCACAAGGCTCACGGACATGGTCGCAAGCACCATTAGAGAGGCGTCTCTATAGCAATACTTTTCAGCATTTCACCTTTTAAGCAATGGCTGTAATCAAACGCAACTTAATTTTTTTAGTGCGAAAGACAAATTTCGTTGCCACATTAAAGTAAAAACAAAGAGAAACCTTTGCACTTTTTTTTTATGAAATCAACCAGCTTGTAATCTTTTTATTTTTGACGAAAACATACTCTTTTTTTAATGTCCAACAATGTTTGAACTTATGATCTTCACATAATTGTCTCAACTTGTGTGTGTCGTAAATCTTGGGGGGCTTCGGGTTCAGGCCTGAATTACTTATTCGCTATTGCCAAATACTTTCAGCTAATGCTCTTTTTTGGCCACATTTCCCTTTGTTAAGTTTACGTTGCCGGCGTCAAGCTACAAATATTATTATTTCAACTTCTTCGGAAGCGCTTAAGTGTCTGACGATCCGGTTTTACAAACAAACCGAGTACAGCTCAAACAGAGCAGCAATTTATAAATAATAAAGATTATCTTTTGTGAGTGGTGTTAAATATTGCGGGGTCAAAAGCATATGACGTCAGTATGTCTAAAAAGCTGACTGAACTTGTTTTGAGAGATGGCCCAGTAGCCGGGTGAAAGGAGAAGCATGTGGGTACAATATACTATAGTCAAATGTGCGCCTTGCAAATGTGCTAAATACATTTTTAATTGAAAAGAAAAATACACATAGAGAAGCAATAAAACGCAATACGTATTTTACAATTTATTAATCATTTCATATTTAGAGCGCAAGCCAATCCACAAATAAATAAAGTAATATACATATATATATATATATATATATATATATATATATATATATATATATATACATATATATATTTGTATCTTGCTTGATATAATATATTTAAATATTTGGTTGTTAGTACTCATGTATAAGGGAAACGTACTAGACTTGTACATATATGTACGTTTATAAGATACTGTAAACGGTTATATTGCTTGGTTTTCCACATTTGATCAACCCCAGACAGGATAAATGTGGCGACGATAGGAGCGTCCGTAACCTCGGTAGCCACCATAGCGATATCCATATCCACCATATCCGCCATATCCATATCCGCCATAGCCTCCGCCTCCATAATATGGACTGTAATACGATGGAGAGTAGTACCCAATCCCAATAGTATCTGCTGTGGACAGGTCATCTTCCGAAGCTTTGGTCACCAAGGTCTTTAAGACAAGTAAAAGTGAATTCAATTTGTGAAAAAGTACATATATTCAATTAATTACCTCTCCAGGAGCCGCCTTAGTTGGGGACAGCAAAAAAATCAGCGCAGTCAGACAAAGACAGACTATCAAGAACTGGAAGTAGAACACAGTAAATTTAGATGATTAATTGAACAATCTTAGCTGACTATATTTGTTGATGTTGACTTCTTACTTTTGGCATGGTTAATATTGTATGTAAAATCTCGCAATATGTATATTTCTAACGAATTAACGCCTTTCGCCTATTTTGAGTCTGCTTGAAAGCTCTGTTGTTGATGAACTGTGATTCTGAGCAACCTGGCCAAGATCTTTTATAGTGCGCAAAATAAGCCGCAGATTGATTTTGCATATGATCATTGATTTGCCAAACATTAGCCTGGATAAGTCGTTAGCCGCGAGAGAATTGTATATGCACGAACAAGGGCGTACGCAGTGGAAAGGGTATCCCTGATTTAAATTGGAATACTGTCACACACATCCCTCCACATTATTAAAAATAAAACCAAAAACAAATACGAAAATAGAAAATACATATTAAATAAATATATATTTATTTAGCACTCCCCACTTTCACATAAGCTGGGTACGCCCTTGTGTACTTAGATTATATGTATATTCATGCATAAGAATCGGATCTTACACACAGAAAGCATTATTTCAGAATCTAAAATCCATATATAATCAATCAGTAATGTAGTGCAACATCAAAACATGTATTCCATGCAAAATTTGAAATTCCACAAATTCATCAGTGAGTAAATATGCTGACGCACTATTTGACAAATGTTACTAAAGAGTACGGCAAACAAATACACAAATGTGCTGTGCAATTGCTGACCAGCTTATTGATTTCATTATTACAATAAGAACGGGCTGGGGTTTTTTTTTTCTTAATTTTTGTTTATGATATTTGAAAATTATTCAAAGTGAAATTTGTTTAACGCTTACATCGATATTTATATCGATATGTTTTTAAAATTACCGAATTGGCCTATCGCATATAGCTAGTCGATGTTATGTTGGAAAATTATCGGTCATCTCAAAAAAATGTCTGCCGCATCTTAAACGTTTTGCAAGAAAAGCCGGAAAATTGTTAAAAATTGCAAAAAGTTATTTAAATTTGTCGAATAGGTATGTATATAACTCAAATATGCCTTCACTTCAACGTAAAGCGTGAAATGTTCGCATAGAATTTGTTCTTTGCGTAAAAATAGATGTGGTGAAAATTGCAAAATGCGGCGACAAAACCGACGTCTGTCTCTGCTTCTTTCTCCTCGCCGTTAATGAAACGTGTGTGTGCTTTGTTTTTATACGTATTCGTATTTATCGATTAGCAGTGTCCCATGTGATTGAGCGATGTCTATACCGCCGTATATGATTCCGCCCAACGCCTGGGCCGCCCAACTGATAGCCCAGCAGCAGGCGTACGCGGCGGCCCATGCACAGCATGCTCAGCTGCATGCCCAGCAGCAGATGGCTAACCAGATACAGCAAATCCCTCCGCCGGGCGCACCTTTGCCGTCTGCGGGCCACGCCAATGGCATTCCGGTGCCGGCAGTGGGCGTGCCGCAGCCACAGCTGGGTCAAATACCCACACCCAAACCCGACATTCTCACCGAGGACAAGCTGCAGGAGAAGGCGATGAAGTGGCAGCAACTGCAGTCGAAGCGATTCGCAGAGAAACGCAAATTTGGCTTTATTGACACACAGAAGGAGGACATGCCGCCGGAGCATATACGTAAAATTATTCGGGATCATGGTGATATGACCTCTCGCAAGTATCGTCACGATAAGCGAGTTTACCTGGGTGCACTCAAATACATGCCGCATGCTGTGCTGAAGCTGCTCGAGAATATGCCCATGCCGTGGGAACAGATCAGGGATGTGCAGGTCCTGTATCATATTACGGGTGCCATTACCTTTGTCAATGAGATACCCTGGGTCATTGAGCCAGTTTACATTGCTCAGTGGGGGTAAGTTTAATTTCGTTTCCATATATATAAATATAATTTAAGCAAAATATGGGTCAACATTTTGCAGCACCATGTGGATTATGATGCGTCGTGAGAAGCGCGATCGTCGTCACTTTAAACGAATGCGTTTCCCGCCCTTTGACGATGAGGAGCCGCCGTTGGACTATGCGGACAACGTTTTAGATGTCGAACCGCTGGAGGCCATACAAATTGAGCTAGATAACGATGAAGATAATGCCGTCTACAAATGGTTCTATGATCATAGACCCTTAGTCGACACGCCGTAAGTAATTATGATATACCAATATATATATCTAACTCCCAACTGATATAATCTTCCATAGGTTTGTGAACGGCTCCACGTACCGCAAGTGGAATCTATCTCTGCCACAGCTGGCAACCCTTTATCGCCTGGCCAACCAGCTGCTGACTGACCTGGTCGACAATAACTTCTTTTATTTGTTTGATCCAAAGAGTTTCTTTACCGCTAAGGCGCTTAACATGGCCATACCAGGTGGCCCAAAGTTTGAGCCGCTGATCAAGGATCACAATGTTGGGTAAACTAATGCAATATATAATTAAAGCGACTATTTTGATAATTGCTTGCTTTTCAGTGACGAGGACTGGAACGAGTTCAATGATATAAACAAGGTTATTATAAGACAGCCCATTCGCACCGAGTATCGTATTGCGTTTCCATATCTGTACAACAATATGCCACATTTTGTGCATCTAAGCTGGTAAGAAATTAATTTTTATATATATCAATATGTATATAGACATGTACATGGCAGTAGAGTTTCCAGTTGAAGTTGCCTGCTGGCAAACACTTTATGCCCTGTTAGAGCACACCAAACGCCCAACTTACTACCAATTTAGCGATTGTTTCCTTTTGGGAAGTGCAATGTGAATGTTCGTTACGATTTTCTAGACTAAATCGCGACTGCTGATAGTTGCATACAAGCATAGTTCTTATGATCAACAGGGAGTGACTATTAAATGTACCTTTCACTTGTATTTATTCTCTGTCTTTCTCTCTCTTTAGGTACCATACGCCCAATGTGGTCTACATCAAAACCGAAGATCCGGACTTACCGGCCTTCTACTTTGATCCACTTATCAATCCCATTTCACATCGCAATGCCAATTCTAAAATCCAAGAGCCATTGCCCGATGATGATGAGGACTTTTCGCTGCCCGATGATGTGCAGCCCTTCTTGCAGGACACACCGCTCTATACGGATAATACAGCCAATGGCATTGCGCTGTTGTGGGCACCGCGTCCGTTTAATATGCGCTCGGGACGTTCACGTCGCGCTATCGATGTGCCGCTGGTTAAATGCTGGTACAAGGAGCATTGTCCACCTGGTCATCCGGTCAAGGTGCGCGTCAGCTATCAGAAGCTGCTCAAATACTATGTGCTCAATGCCCTGAAGCATCGCAAGCCGAAGCCACAAAAGAAGCGGTAGGTTAACTAATTACACCATGACTTCTTAATTTCTATTATTGATATGTTTTTTTGTTCTCTTTTCTAGATATTTGTTCCGCTCCTTTAAGGCGACTAAATTCTTTCAAACAACCACCTTGGATTGGGTTGAGGCTGGACTACAAGTGTGTCGCCAGGGCTATAACATGCTCAATTTGCTTATACATCGTAAGAATCTAAACTATCTGCATTTGGACTACAATTTCAACTTGAAGCCGGTAAAGACGCTGACTACCAAGGAGCGTAAAAAGTCACGTTTTGGCAATGGTAATTGACTTTTTAATCATTAATTTAATCCCATTCTTAATGTCTGCTTCCTTTGGCAGCTTTTCATTTGTGCCGTGAGATTCTGCGCCTGACCAAACTAATCATCGATTCGCATGTACAGTATCGTCTCAACAATGTGGACGCCTTTCAGCTGGCTGATGGCCTGCAGTATATCTTTGCACACGTTGGCCAGCTAACAGGCATGTATCGCTACAAGTACAAGCTAATGCGACAGATACGCATGTGCAAGGATCTGAAGCATCTGATCTACTATCGCTTTAATACGGGACCAGTGGGTAAGGGTCCTGGTTGTGGCTTCTGGGCACCGGGTTGGCGTGTTTGGTTATTCTTTATGCGTGGCATAACACCGCTGCTGGAGCGTTGGCTCGGCAATCTGTTGTCGCGTCAATTCGAGGGTCGTCATTCGAAGGGAGTCGCGAAGACGGTGACAAAGCAACGTGTCGAATCACATTTCGATTTGGAGTTGCGTGCCTCAGTTATGCACGATATTGTCGACATGATGCCCGAGGGCATCAAGCAGAACAAGGCGCGCACCATACTCCAGCATCTGTCTGAGGCTTGGCGCTGCTGGAAGGCCAATATACCGTGGAAGGTGCCCGGTCTGCCCATACCCATTGAGAACATGATTCTGCGCTATGTCAAAATGAAGGCCGATTGGTGGACAAATACGGCTCACTACAATCGTGAGAGAATACGCCGTGGCGCCACCGTCGACAAGACTGTGTGCAAGAAGAATTTGGGCCGTTTGACACGTCTGTATTTGAAGGCAGAGCAGGAACGGCAACATAACTACCTCAAGGATGGCCCGTATATATCGCCCGAGGAGGCGGTCGCCATATATACCACAACGGTGCATTGGCTGGAGTCCCGCCGCTTTGCACCAGTCCCCTTTCCACCCCTCTCCTACAAGCACGATACCAAGCTGTTGATTTTGGCTCTGGAGCGCCTCAAGGAGGCATACAGTGTCAAGTCACGTTTGAATCAAAGCCAGCGCGAGGAGCTCGGCCTGATTGAGCAGGCTTATGATAATCCCCATGAGGCACTCTCCCGCATCAAGCGTCACCTGCTAACACAGCGCGCTTTCAAGGAGGTAAGATCAGTTTAAAATTAATGCTGAAGCTTAATTTTTGAGTTTTTTTTTTGTTTTTGTTTTTGTTTTATTTTTCTTCCAGGTGGGCATTGAGTTCATGGACTTGTATAGTCATTTGATACCTGTGTACGAGGTCGAGCCACTGGAGAAGATTACGGATGCTTACTTAGATCAGTATCTGTGGTATGAGGCAGACAAGCGCCGCCTCTTTCCGCCATGGATTAAGCCCAGCGATACGGAACCACCGCCATTGCTGGCCTACAAGTGGTGTCAAGGTAACAAAGCGTTTGTTTCTTCTTTTAAAGCATATTAAATTCCGAGTGTGGTATTTCTGTGCATTTTGGGCGTGTGATTTGTGGCAAAGTGATGAGCTTGATTCCATCCCCTTGTTGCAAACCTCACGCCGAAGGTGGCGCATCTAAGCAACAATATTAATATACAAGTTTCCACTATTATTAATTATAAAAATCGCCATGTGAAAATGCCAGCTAAATGTTCTATGCTTTTGCAGGCATCAACAATCTGCAGGATGTCTGGGATGTGGGTGAGGGTGAATGCAATGTGTTGCTCGAGTCGCGCTTTGAGAAGCTGTACGAGAAGATTGATTTGACCTTGCTAAATCGTCTGCTGCGTTTGATTGTCGATCACAACATTGCTGATTATATGACAGCCAAGAATAACGTGGTCATCAACTACAAGGACATGAATCATACCAACAGCTATGGCATCATACGCGGTCTACAGTTCTCTTCCTTTATAACGCAGTACTACGGACTTGTTTTGGATCTGTTGGTCCTGGGCCTGCATCGCTCCAGCGAAATGGCTGGCCCACCGCAGATACCAAACGATTTCCTAACATTCCAGGACGCCGGCACAGAAACAGCGCATCCCATACGTCTTTACTGTCGCTATGTGGATCGTATACATTTGTTCTTCAGGTTCTCAGCTGAAGAGGCGCGAGACCTGATCCAGCGTTATCTCACCGAGCACCCGGATCCTAACAATGAGAACATTGTGGGCTATAATAACAAAAAGTGTTGGCCACGCGATGCGCGCATGCGTCTGATGAAGCATGACGTTAATCTGTACGTTTATCAATATAATCATTGGTATGTCTTCTTTTGTTTATATTTTCTTCTGCTTGCAGTGGTCGTGCTGTCTTCTGGGATATCAAGAATCGTTTGCCCCGCTCGGTGACCACCATTGGCTGGGAAAGCACATTCGTTTCGGTCTATTCCAAGGATAATCCAAATCTTCTCTTTAATATGAGCGGCTTCGAGTGTCGCATACTGCCAAAGGTTCCTTTAAATTCAAATTGCTCACCAAGTTCAGTTAGTATTTTGTGTATTTTTCATATATTTGCAGTGTCGCACCCAAAACGAGGAGTTCACGCATCGTGATGGCGTCTGGAATTTGCAGAATGAAATAACCAAGGAGCGCACAGCTCAGTGCTTCCTGCGTGTGGATGATGAGTCACTGGGACGTTTCCATAATCGTGTGCGACAGATTTTGATGGCCTCCGGTTCCACGACATTCACAAAGGTATAGAGAGATTTAATTACTTCAATGTACAAATGATTTTATATTCGATTCGCTTATAGATTGTCAACAAATGGAATACAGCGCTTATTGGCCTCATGACCTATTTCCGTGAGGCTGTGGTCAACACACAGGAGCTGCTGGATCTGCTGGTCAAGTGCGAAAACAAAATACAGACTCGTATCAAGATTGGCTTGAACTCCAAAATGCCTTCACGTTTTCCGCCCGTTGTGTTCTACACGCCCAAAGAGTTGGGCGGCCTGGGCATGTTGAGTATGGGTCATGTGCTGATTCCACAATCCGATCTGCGCTGGTCCAAGCAAACCGATGTTGGCATTACGCATTTCCGCTCCGGTTAGTGTTCCTATAATATTCTATATATTTCTATATTATCTAACAAGTAACTTTCCTCTACTTTTCAGGTATGTCGCATGACGAGGATCAGCTTATACCAAATCTGTATCGCTACATACAGCCGTGGGAGAGTGAGTTTATTGACTCGCAGCGCGTTTGGGCCGAGTATGCGCTGAAGCGTCAGGAGGCAAATGCACAGAATCGTCGGCTTACCCTGGAGGATTTGGAAGACAGCTGGGATCGTGGTATACCGCGCATAAATACGCTCTTCCAGAAGGATCGGCATACGCTGGCCTACGACAAGGGCTGGCGCATACGTACAGAGTTCAAGCAGTATCAGGTGCTCAAGCAAAATCCCTTCTGGTGGACGCATCAGCGGCACGATGGCAAACTGTGGAATCTGAATAACTATCGCACAGATATGATACAGGCGCTGGGTGGCGTGGAGGGTATTCTGGAGCACACACTCTTCAAGGGCACATACTTCCCCACCTGGGAGGGTTTGTTCTGGGAAAAGGCATCCGGCTTTGAGGAGTCCATGAAGTACAAGAAGCTGACAAACGCTCAGCGTTCCGGTCTTAACCAGATACCCAATCGTCGCTTTACACTCTGGTGGTCACCGACCATTAATCGCGCGAACGTCTATGTGGGTTTCCAGGTGCAGTTAGATTTAACGGGTATTTTCATGCACGGCAAAATTCCCACGCTGAAAATTTCGTTGATTCAAATCTTTCGTGCTCACTTGTGGCAAAAGATACACGAATCCATTGTGATGGATTTATGTCAGGTGTTTGATCAGGAACTGGACGCCCTCGAGATCGAGACAGTGCAAAAGGAGACAATACATCCCCGCAAGTCATACAAAATGAACTCATCCTGTGCGGACATCCTGCTCTTCCCAGCCTACAAGTGGAACGTATCGCGTCCGTCGCTACTGGCGGACACCAAGGATACCATGGACAATACAACCACACAGAAGTATTGGTTGGATATACAACTGCGTTGGGGCGATTATGATTCGCACGATGTGGAGCGTTATGCGAGAGCCAAGTTCTTGGATTACACCACGGATAACATGTCCATTTATCCATCGCCGACGGGCGTGCTAATTGCCATAGATTTGGCCTACAATCTGCACTCGGCCTATGGCAATTGGTTCCCCGGCTGTAAAACGCTCATACAACAGGCCATGGCCAAGATTATGAAGGCCAATCCGGCGCTTTATGTGTTGCGTGAGCGCATCCGTAAAGCACTGCAGCTATACTCCTCGGAGCCAACGGAGCCGTACCTGAGCTCTCAGAATTATGGTGAATTGTTCTCGAATCAGATCATTTGGTTTGTGGACGATACGAATGTGTATCGCGTGACCATTCACAAGACCTTTGAGGGCAATTTGACAACGAAGCCGATCAATGGTGCCATCTTCATATTCAATCCACGCACCGGACAGCTCTTCCTCAAGATTATTCACACGTCGGTGTGGGCGGGCCAGAAGCGTTTGGGCCAGTTGGCCAAATGGAAGACGGCTGAGGAGGTAGCAGCTCTCATCCGCTCGCTGCCCGTTGAGGAGCAGCCCAAGCAGATTATTGTCACGCGCAAGGGCATGTTGGATCCACTCGAAGTGCATTTACTTGATTTCCCCAATATTGTCATCAAGGGTTCGGAGTTGCAGTTGCCCTTCCAGGCATGTCTCAAAGTCGAGAAATTTGGTGATCTTATTCTAAAGGCCACCGAGCCACAAATGGTATTGTTCAATCTCTACGATGACTGGTTGAAGACAATATCCTCGTATACAGCGTTCAGTCGTCTCATTCTGATACTGCGTGCCCTGCATGTCAACACTGAGCGCACCAAGATCATCTTGAAGCCCGACAAGACGACCATAACGGAAGCACATCACATTTGGCCCACGTTAACGGACGAGGAATGGATCAAGGTGGAGGTGCAGCTGAAGGATCTCATTCTCGCCGATTATGGCAAGAAGAACAATGTGAATGTTGCCTCGCTGACACAGTCCGAGATCCGTGACATTATACTCGGCATGGAGATTAGTGCACCATCCGCCCAGCGTCAACAAATCGCTGAAATCGAGAAGCAGACCAAGGAACAGAATCAACTGACGGCAACAACGACGCGCACAACAAACAAACATGGTGACGAGATTATCACCTCGACAACATCCAACTACGAGACTCAAACATTCAGTTCCAAGACGGAGTGGCGCGTCCGTGCAATTTCCGCCACTAATTTGCATCTACGCACGAATCACATTTATGTGAGCTCCGATGACATCAAGGAGACGGGCTACACATACATTCTGCCCAAAAATATATTGAAGAAGTTCGTCACCATATCTGATCTGCGCGCCCAGATCGCTGGGTATTTGTATGGTGTCAGTCCGCCGGATAATCCGCAGGTGAAGGAGATCCGTTGCATTGTGATGCCGCCACAATGGGGCACCCATCAGACGATCAATTTGCCCAATGCTTTACCCACGCATCAGTATCTCAAGGATATGGAGCCACTGGGCTGGATACACACGCAACCGAACGAATTGCCGCAATTGTCGCCGCAGGACATAACGACGCACGCGAAGATTATGCAAGAGAACTCCAACTGGGATGGCGAAAAGACAATTGTCATCACATGCTCGTTTACGCCCGGCTCGTGTTCCCTGACTGCCTACAAGCTGACACCATCTGGCTTCGAGTGGGGCTCCAAGAACACCGACAAGGGCAACAATCCTAAAGGCTATCTGCCGTCGCATTATGAGCGCGTCCAGATGCTGTTATCCAATAAGTTCCTCGGCTTCTTTATGGTGCCGGCGCAGAGCAGTTGGAATTATAACTTTATGGGTGTGCGGCACGATCCGAACATGAAATACGAACTGCAATTGGCCAATCCTAAGGAATTTTATCACGAACTGCATCGCACATCGCATTTCCTGCTCTTCTCAAATCTCGAGGATGGCGGCGATGGCGCCGGCGCTGATCGTGAGGATGTTTATGCATAATTTACAACAACTGCGGGAGGACGGATTAGTCACCAACAGAAAATCGGATATGTAACCTGAGGACACTTTTAATTCTTCTTCCTTCTAAGTGCAAACCATTTTTTATAACCCTGGATATCCTGATTCATTACAATAAAACAAAAATCAAATTTAAGCTCTCAATTACCAACATTTTTTTTAGGACTAAACAGCAGTTACCATGGCAAATGATACAACTCCTGGCCTTATTTGCATTGCAGCGGTTTTACTATTGCTTATTCTTTTGTCCTTCACATGGGGCAACTTAACACATAACATTAACTTAATGCTACATATAGTGGATAAGTTATACACAAATTTCTTATATTCTTGTTTGGTTTGGTTTCTAGGTACGTCTGTTGGTGATTTGGTTATTTGCTGGCGTTTAGGAGCATTTCCACAGCACAATGGCCAAGTTGCCACCAAAGAATAGATAGAGTATATTCTCAGTCTCATAGGACACCTCAAAGCCGAATCCCTCACCGACAACTACATGCCAATAGATGCCAAATTTTTTGTCCATGCTCTCCTTTATCATTTTTGCAACTAACTGCAAAAAAAAAGATTAAATATAATGTAAAATATGTGAAATAAAATTGTATAAAGGTCGTCTGAAAATGAGAACTATCAGAAATGAAAATAGTTCTCAAATCATGAATCGACTTATTCAATATTTTATTTAAATCGTTTATCTTCCGAAAGTCTTTTTCAGTCGGTTTCGAAACTTTTTGTAAATGTTATTGCATTTTTTATATATAAGGAAAGATTACTTGAAGCGTACTCTTTTCAAGAGGCCACCACATAAAAATCTATTTTGAGATATATGACTTACCTCATAATTTGAAGAAAATTTCTCGCACATACTAACGCTCAACTCGACAACCTCATGACGCATTTCTTCCTTCATATCAGAGTGCTGTTTTTCAAAAGAATAGAGTATTTCGGGCTTACTTCAAAAATAAACCGTTGTTTCTTTAACCAACCTTGACTAGCGGATAGATGTGTACGATTTTCTTGTCACCCTCCTTGACGTTCTCCTCATCACCCATGTCTGGTGCGGAGCTGAGCTCAGCTGAGCCGAAGCCTTACCAAGTTACCAAGCTATCACTGAGGAACACCGAACGTGTTCAGTTCCGGTACCAATTTCCGACTCTAAAAACACGCGATAACCGTTGAGATTGCAAACAGCGACGGACGAAACTAATGTAATAAAAATTGAGTTAAATTTCGATTTACATGTGACACACAATTCAAGGTAGTAACCGTAGTATAGTATTAGTCTGGCATATAGTATACGAATTGACTGACTGGCATGTGAATGAATGTAAATATGAATGTGAATGTGAATGTGAATATGAGAATGTTTATGAATTTGTGTTGTGTCACGCCAGGTTCTGGCTGCTATGGTAATTTGTGTTGCCTGTCGGCTGCACGATTCACTTGCAACTGACTGACGCCGACTCCATTAACTTTGCCTTTGGCTCAGGCGACCACAAAACCGGAGCACACACATACACACACACAGTCTAGGCATTAATGGCTGTGCTGCGTTTGCGCCAAGTTTGCAGCTACTCAACTAAACGGATTGCCACCCCCTTTGGCTAAAACAACAATGGCAATTTCCGTGCGGGAGCCAGCTAGACGGATGCCGTCGTCTCGTCATCTTGCCGGCCACCCCAATAATTCGCAAGGATTTGCCAGCATTGGGCTTTTGGGTGGATGAAGACGATGATGATGCGTTTGCGGAAAATTGAATAGCTTCCCGCCCTCTCCCCACCTCCTGGAAAAAACAACCACCAAGTCACAGAGAAACTGAAGATAAACAGTTGCACTTGTTAGATTTATGTTCTGTTTGCGGCAATTAATACATGTGTGAAATTTCTTGTATTATTTATGTATCCCAGTTTTCTTCCTCAGTCTCGCAGACGGGCTTAATTGAATTGTCCTCTTCCTCAGCAAATATATTGGATTCGCTGTTGTTGGAATCGTTCTCCTCTTCCTCGATCAGAACGAAATCGTTTTCAATCTGTTTCTTATGCTCCGCCAAGAGTTGATCCAAAATGTTCCTTGTGGCGCCCATATGCTCGAGTCGTTTCAATAGCAGAGCTATGGACATTTTGTAGGCACACTTCTCGTCGTCATAGTTAGCCTCGTTCAGTGTGCAGCTATGTAGTTCGGATTGAACCTCTACCCAAATCTTCTCCTCCAGCGAACGCGTGTCCTTATAGAATGGAAAATCAACAGCATGCAGAATTTTGTAAGGCGATTCACCGACTGGGAGAGGTTTAAGTGTAAGTGGTTCCATCAATGGCATGCCCAGCATGTCTTTCCTCACAAACAGCGCAATTTGCGAGACGTGACCCACAGATTCGAGGCCTGCGGGCGGTTCACCTACTCCCAGTACGGAGAACATATAATTGGGATACTTTTCAGTAATGCCCAAGCACCAGTTTTTAAATTCTTCTCTTGTCCATTCGAACTTGTGATCATGGTGTCGAAATCCATTTGACAGCAACGACTTGAGGCGAGTGAATATAATATTGAAATCCGAATTTGGTGTACTAAAAATCACAATTTTTGGCTGCATAAAGCCAAATATATTTATTGGTATTTTAGACAGCACATCATCGTATACATGCTCAATACTGAAAAAATGTACAAGATTACTGACTATATATAAATATAATTTTTTAAATTAAAATACTCACAGTTCCAAGGCTATGACTGCATCTGTATTTCTCAATTCCACAGCCGAATCCGCTACGCTGCCTTGCAGAACCTCGACGTGCAATGGACTCTGACGTTGTCTAAGATAATCAGAGCATAATGGATTGATGCGACTTAAATATGTTCTTAAAAGTTCATGGTCAATGTCCACCTGCAAAAAACAATTAAATACGTTTAAAAATGAAATACAAATTTGAGTTAACCGCCTGTTCCATGGAAACTCGTTTCACAGCACATGTTCTGGGTACAACAGTCTGGCAACGTCACACACATAAGATGAAACGAAACAAAATGGCGAAACAGTACGGCAACGGAACATTGGCTTGAGTGCGTGAGTGTGTGAGTGTTCCGAGCAGTAGTGCACGAATTATATGTAATTTGTTGTGAAAATAAATTGAGTGTTCAAATAAACATATTTGCAATTCCAAAATCTTGTGAATATGTGTGTCTAAATACACAAATTAACCTATAAGCAATCAATGCACGCCCAAACGCAAGCAAAGCGAACATTTTTCTTGCGTTGCACAGAGTGAAAAGCAACGTGAAAACAAGAAGAAGAAATCTTGTAATACGTGAAAGAAATACATACTGAAAAGTGGCAAATTGAAATTACCCAGACGAGAAAAGCAAATGGAATCGAAAATGTGTTTCTAAACAATAAGTCGAGCTGCGCACAGCTCTACGAATTCAATAAAATTGTGCAAAGGAGTTGACGCCGGCGCTCGACCTAAGTAAATCAATATTCTCCAATTCTGCAGGCGACTCTGTCTCTGCCCCTTCTTCGGTCTACCCAACGTCCGTCCGTCCGTTCGTTCGTCCGTCCAGACAGTCGGACACAGGGCTTCTACTTTTATCGGAATGATGACTGAGTCCGCAAATTGTTGCATATGTATTTTTGCAATATTAGTTGGAGTGATTAATTGTCGGGAATTATCAGAAATTTGCTAAATTATTTGTTTTGTTGTGTGTGCATAGTTGTGACCAATACAAATGCAATTGCTGTTGTGTGCATGTCTGTATGTTGTATGTGTGTGGCCCGTCTCCATCATTTTGCCATTCCGTTTTAGCCGACAGCGTCCCATTCCCGCTATTCCGCAGCAACAGTGAAATTCAAAACAAAAGAGTGAGAAAACCTGAATTAGTGGTGACAAACAAAAAATAAAACAACCAAACAAAATTAATCACCATAAAATACAATGGGAATTACTTGTGCGTGCTTGCGTGTTTATTTTTATGTATTGCCTGTTTGACGACAGCACAGTTTAAAATCATATACGAAAGAAAACAAAAACTCATCAACACAAGTCTTCTTCTTCTTGGCACAGCCAGCACGAATGTCATCAAAAGGGAAAGCGTGATAAAAAAGCAGCGGAGAATAACACAAAAACAAAACAAATTTCAAACTCAACGTTCCTTTATGCGCTTTGCGTTAGCGTTCAACTTGAGACTGACATCTGTCAATTGATCACTTGGGTTGATTAAGCGGCACAAAAGGTTCGATTCTGCAACAAGTGCCGCCTAGTAAAGATGGGCAAACGCATTGCATCGGAACGCCAGCATGTAACGACGCATCAAACGAACAGTAAAGCACCATCATCAGATCGCAGTGCACGGAAACGCAAGCGTGCCGCAAATAAAGGCTCTCGGGTGGAGAAGCGCCAGCGCATGAGCGATGTCGCAAATGACAACAGCTGTGAGTGGCACGAAAATGATGATGAGGACTCCTCCTCATCCGGTTCGGATAACATGGCCCTCTTACAAACACCGCAGCCACCGGCACGTGCTCAGTGTCCAGTCAATTCCCGTGCATCGCTGCTATCCCTGGCCACATTCGCCAGCGGCGGCTACAGCGATCACAATAATTCCAATACAACCGAATCGCCACGTCCCGTTTATACACTGCGCCCCTCTGTAGTCAATGGCACCATATTAAGGGATGTACTCTCAAAGGCCTGGCGACTCGGACGACCCATTGGTGAGGAATCAACTAAATCTTATTTTAATATTAACTCTTAAATTGCCAAAATTTCCCCAATAGGCAAGGGTAACTTTGGTGAGATATTTCTTGCCTCGGATGACACTGTCTGCCCGGTTTCCTTGGAGAGCGCCAAATATGTGGTCAAAATAGAACCACACTCCAATGGACCGCTCTTTGTGGAAATCCATTGCCTTATCAATACTAATCAGACACCAGGTAAGTAACCACAAATTTTCCTTCGAGTTAAGAGTATAATTGTTATATCTAATTACAGAAATTACAAGTGGCAACGAGCCGCGCAGCCAGAAGATTGAGAAATTGCTACCACGAATCAATAATGGACCACCATCGGGCATCCCGAGCTACATTGCCTCGGGCACACACTACTTTGGCGATGGACGCTATCGGTTTTTGGTGCTGCCGCGCTTTGATCGGGATCTGCATTCGCTGATTAAGAATACGCGTGTGGCACAGAAATCGTTGTTGCTCCTGGCCATACACATTATTAATGTGCTAGAGCATTTGCACGACAAGGGTTATTGTCACAATGATATTAAGGCGCAGAATCTGATGATGTCCAAGTGCAAGTATCTCAAGCGACAGGCTATGCAGGGAGGCGGCAGCAGCAATAGGAGCTTCGCTTCCGAGCACTATGACGAGAAACAGCAAACGACAGACAGTGGCAACAGTTCCGAACAGGAGGCCAATGACGAAGACTATTTCGTAAAGAGCGAGAAGCTTGCGCTGAAACGCCTTGTGGGTGTCAAAGAGGACAATGATGCGGAGGATGAGGATGAGGATTTTGATGATGGCGCCACAACGAACAGCAATAATAGCAACAGCCTTGACATGTACCAAACGCCAGTGAACAAACGGAAGGGACGCGCGCGCACCAATGCAATTGAATTTAGTGGCTCGAATCCAATGCGCTCGTGTCGCCGAAATGATACCCGCAATTCTAGCTCTATGTATGAGGAGATGGTCAAGTCACATTATCTGCGTCCGGCGAAGCGCGTCAGTTATTCGGAGCTGCTCGTCAATGAGGATGGCTATCCGGTGAAACCAGATGCTGACAACGAACAGTCTCCGGTCAGCTCGGATAATGAGTCTGAAGAGTTTTTGCCGCCATCGGCACGCCGTGGAGGGGGGTCTGTGGCCTCCAAGCGCAGCTCACGCAGCGCCGCCTGCAAATCAAAAACCACGCGTGCCATGCGCCGACAGGATCAAAAGGAGGAGCTCAAAGCCGAATTGAATGACCCTGGACGTAACGGTGGGGTGAGAAATAAGCGCACGGCGATGCAGTACCAGTTAATGCCAGTGGAAGAGGAGCATATATTTCTGATTGACTTTGGTCTAGCCTCGAAATATCAGGACCGCGGCGTGCATCGACCATTTATTATGGATCAGCGACGCGCCCATGATGGCACCTTGGAGTTCACGTCACGCGATGCGCACTTGGGAGCGCATTCTCGTCGCAGCGATTTGGAGTGCTTAGGCTACAATTTGCTATACTGGTCGGAGGGTTATCTGCCATGGAAGGATGTGGCGCACCAACAGCAGCAAGAAAAGGTGCATCGCGCCAAGGAGTTGTTCATGACTGATGTGTGCGAAATGCTTCGACAGTTCTATGGCAAACAGGTTCCTAAATATTTGGGTGAATTCCTCAAGGAAATCGGACAGCTGGCGTACCAGGAGCGACCCAACTATGAGCGCTATCGCAACATCTTCCAGCGGGAATATCGCCGACTTGGCTATGATTGCAGCCAAATGCAGCTAAGCAGCGATGAAATCTTACGCACTCGCGTCTCCGTCAAGGATGTTGTGGATGGCAGCGCCAAATGCGACATATTTGAGCTAAACAATAAAATTGCTTGCAATGTTATGCGCAATGCGACGCTCAGCACACCGTTCCAGGAGCATGCGCTTACGAATCGTGTATCGCCGAAAAATCTGCGTTCCAAGTCCAACCGGAAGAATGTCAAAAAGAAGATATTCTCATGGGCGGAGGTGCTTTCCCAAGATCCCGATCAAATAGCACGCGAACGTGCTGTGAAGGAGTTTGAGCGTGAGGAAGTCATATGCCCGCTACAGTCACGTCTACCCAGACGCTACGAGGGCTATCCTACCTATGCTATATTGGCGGTGGAGCAGTCCAGGCGGGACAAAGGGTTGATCGTGCAAGAACACAAAACCGAAGAGGCGATGGATGAAGGAAATACACATAAGGCTTCCGAATCAGATGAGGAGTACGAAGACGACGAGCAGGAGCAGGAGGAGGAAGAGGAGGAGCAGGAAGAGGAGGAGGAGGTAGAAGAGGAGCAGGAGGAGGAGGGGGAAGAACGGGAAGCTGATGCAGCGAGTGATGAGGAGGTGAGTAGAATAGTGCAATACAGTTTGCATCTAATGAAATGAGTTTATTTATGTTTTTGCCGTAGAGTGATGAGAGCGAGTGCACAACGCAGTCGGAAGCAGTGCGCAGGGGCCGGGGACGCCCGCGCAACTGCAGCAAACAAAGGCAATTACAACAACAACAAACGTTGGCCAAAAGTACTGAAATGCGTAAAAAGACTTTAAGGCCAAGCGGCAAATCGCGTAACAGTAATGGCCACAGCCAACAAATTGCCACACCGTTGACAGCAGTCGGAGGCAATAAACGTGGCTGCGCCACTCGTAAGGAGAATGCCACAATGGCATCCGCCACCGGTGAGGTGGAGCAACACAGCAAGCTAAAGTCCCGTCAGCCAGTGGTGGATCAACCCAAACAGCGGCGCACTCGCCGTTGTCTATATAAGACTGAATCACACATACGTGGCGAGAAGCAGCAGGATGTGGAGAACAACTATGCCACGAATATGCAAAATGTGTACAGCGTGTGGCAATATGACGATGAGAACAGATACGGCAAGGGGCGGAATGTCAACTCGTCCAGGCATTGTCGCAAGTGATACGATAATTAGAGATACCACATACAATAGCTACAATTCATTGTAGAGAGAGGCAAGCAACCAAGCAATGTTGCTCATTGGCGGCAACAGAGAAGCAGCCAACTATTCAAACAAGTGCATACAAACGATAGAAGATCAGTTGTGCTGCGCTTTCAAGTATTTTATAGAAATAAATAAATAACACTAAGTTAGTTCGATGAGAGGAAAGTTATAAAAAAAAAAAAATGGCACATTCATCTGGATTGGCGTGCATCCATTGGAGTGTTTGTTCTTTGCCTGGATCAGCAACACTTATACGTTTTTAAGGACATTTATTTTTACTTTGATCAAGTATGAAACTACAACGTTAAGCAGTAATTGTTACAATGCAGATATATGTTGGAAGAGATTCTGTAGGATGTGTTGGCACAGAAATAGGTGCAGTGTTAGGTTATATATTGGCCTTGATAGCAAATTATTGTTTAATTTCAATTATTTTTTGATGTTTTAAGTTACTCGCTTTAGGGTAATCGATTCGATAATTGTATACCCTCAAAAAACAAAAAAAAAAGTATTTACTATAACTAGATGAAGATTATTATTGCATAAAACATAATTATAAAAGTCTAAGCTAGGATATAAACTGCGGATATAAATAAAATACCTAGAAACTGTATGTCTACCAATTAATCAAGATACAATACATCTTTAAACAAATCGGCATACAAGGTCAAATGGGAAATTGAGACACCTACCTGGAGGACGTGCTCAATATTTTCGATGCGTCGCATTAATTGAAAAAGTCGCATCTCCGCGCATCTGCAATAAACATAATGTCATTGAGAGTAAGTGAACTTTTTGAATAATACACACCCAAATTCAGTAACTTTTTTGATTTCATGAGCCCAGCGCGGATCCTCCAGTATTTGAATGGCCGCACAATATCGCTGCTCGTAAACTGGAGAATCAAATTTGATTGTAGTGTCAGTCATTGTCGTCAGTGTTTTGAAGCCCCCACAAGGCATTGTATACTCAAACATTATATTTGGAGAATTTAAGTAAGTTCAGGAATTCACTTTTTCGGATTCAGTGCAACCGCGAGCACTCAGCAGCAAAATTTCGCAGTTGCAGCCAACTTAATGTGACAAAAATACTGCGTGCAGCCAACTTCAAGTGCAATCAAATTGCGTAAGGCTAAATTACGTTATGGCTCAATTGGAGCTTATGTTGTAATCGTGATTATCGCACTATTGCGATAACATGACTATCGAGCGCCTTATTTCAAAGAGTACAAATTGGCTAACGAACCAGTATGTTCTTACATTTGTGTGCCAAATGTCTTATAATTAAAATTCATGGTATGTATTGTCTGTTAGTGATAAAAATCTTTTTCCTAAGGGTTATCACCCCAAGAAAATCCAAGCAAATAATTGTGCCCTCTCGATGGCCATCTGTTGAAGCATTAAGGCTTAAAAAGGTTAAATGTGCAGTGTTGTGCATAAAATCCATGTCTTATGTTGTGGCCATTTTTTGAGCCCTCCGGGCTGTTGGCTTCCACAGAAGTACGGCAAACAAGCTACCGCAGCTGGCCAAGCAAGACCAAAAGGGTCCTCTTGCTTACCACCCCATCACCCACCCAGTGAAAAATAAAACCAAAGCCCAAACATTGCTTGACCCTCATTACGTTTGATATTTTCTTTACACGTTAAGGACAGCGCTGGGTAGCAGCAGAAGCTAGTTAGTTTTTAACTTTGTTGCTTGCTGGAAAAACTCATTTGCCTTGCACCGTGGACGCAACGAACAACAAACGGACTAAAGGAAAATAAAGTAAAGTAACTTTTAACCGGCCTGTGGGCACAACCAAAATAACAGTATTAACAACAACAACAACGAAAATAAATAAAGAAAACCCAAAAAACGAAACGAGTTTGTGAAAAGATTCGCTTTTCGTTTTCTTTTCACTTAATGGCAATAATACAATTTGGTACCAAACAGTTTCCCGTTTCATTTGTTTTCGTTCTGTTGAGCAAAACATTTAAGGCACTAACTTGGGCTCATTGAATTTTGGGGCCCCGATTCGAATGAAATGTTTTTGTTGTCTTAAGTGCACACAACTTTCGTATAATGAGCAAGATATCAAATACGCCGCTCAAACTCAAATCTTGCAGCGCAACTTCTCGCACTCTCCACTCCTCACTCTCTGTCTCTCTCTCTGTCGCTCGCCCAGTGCGTTATCCGTGGTAAGTTGGCAATGTGACATTATGTGCACGCACACGCATCCAGGTAAACAAATTTGTTGAGACGACAATTTCAAAATGCGGCGCCAACAACAAACAGAGCAGACCTCGGAGCTGGAGCTGGAGCAGGAGCAGGAGCATGAGCAGCAGCTGAAGTAAGTGCTGGCCAGATTGGAGCAGGTAAGCACAAAATGAAAAATACATTGGACTAAGGATAAAAGAAAATTATGCAAAAATAAACACACATACAAAGAGAGAAAGAGAACGCACAAGGTGTAGACAAAAAGGCATGAAGGTAAAGAAATACAGAGATATAGATAGGGAGAGAGAGAGAGAGCGAGATAAAGCAAAATGTGATAAAAACAACGTTTGCTCTTCTTTAAGTCTGCTTCTGCTGTTTTCAAGGTGATTATCCATAAGCCCCAAAACACAGGACAGCGCACATGGCCACGTTGCGGGAGGGTCCTGCCTGCCTTCGTTTGACTAAAGACAAAGTTTTTCAAACGATGCCCCGAAGATGGAAGACATGATGCCAGCCAACTTTCGACTGTCCTGTTACCTCTTCCTTAGAGGGGTATGTTTGAAAACCAAGCGTTAATATTTTTTTGAACCTGCGCACCGAAAATTTTGTAAATTTGTTGCCGACGCTTTTTTTTTGTTTTCTTACGGTGACAATGAAACGCGGATAAAGCATTTTACGTGCTGACGCCGCTGGCAGCTGTTTGTCTGTGGGTTAACTGTGAACTGAGAAGCAGAAGGTGCCGCGTTGTCTTTCTGCTGGTTCTCTGCGCCGCTGATTTCGCATAAATTATGCACGCAGACAACGGGCAGCGCACAAACGAACATCTCAAATCGCGCATCGCTCATCGCCCACAATCCGCTAAAAGCTACGTGCGACATGCAGGCGAAGAAGCAACTTCTTTCTCGCCCATCAAAATACAAATGTGCCGCATTTTATGCCCCGACAAGAACAAGAGCAGTACGATAACATTGGAAAACAACAGCAAGCATTTGTGCTCTCTCTCTCACTCTTTCTCTACCTCTCTGCCTAAAGGTGTGGGGGAGGGGTGGGGGGGGGGGGGAACATGTTGGTGTGTTTGATTAAAGGACTCCCAAAAAGACATTTGCATTTGAACATGTATATAAACCAAATTAGTTTGCTAAACTGGGCAACATAATGAATTTCTTTGTCTGCTCGTTTTTGTTTTGTGCTTTCCTTTTATGTGGCTCTGCTCCCCTCAAGTATTTCGAATTGAATATAGCGTTAAGCGGAAATAAAAAAGTGGGCTAGTGCATTTGACTGGAAGACCACAAAACCAATTCATCAGTTTACCAAGAAATAAAAAAATATGTACGTAAATGAAATAACCTGCATATGCGAAGCACACAATAAAATAGTTGGTAAGGAGGGGATGATGGTGTTGGAAGTGTTCATGATTAAGGCCATAAAGCAATGAAAAACTGCAACAGCAGTTGAACTCGGCAACAAGTTGGCCAGCAACGTTAGTCGTTTTTGTGCTTGCTCTGACACATTCCTGTGGCAATACGCTGTTGCCACACATTTGGACATCCACACCCTAGGGAGCACATGTTTAGATTGCTTTGCGCAATGGCAGAAATGTGTGTGGAATTTGTTGTTGCTGTTGCTGTTGCTGTTGTTCTTGCGTAAACGTCAACATACATACACACATTGTTTGACTATACTGCGTGTGCAGCGACCGCACATAGAATTGAAATGAAAACTGCTTTCGAACTGTTAACTACGCCAGATGGCCAGGGAAGAAAGCTGGTGGACGGAGGAGAAACGCTGGCCAAGGGCAACAGACTGACACGAATAATCCTGACGCACGCCTTCCACGCACCATAAATATGGAATTTTATGTATGTATATAGCTACCTTGAAATGCCAAAAAAAAAGCAGAAAAAAAAAGTTGGCCGTAAAAAAAGTTCATTGCAAGTTGTTTTAATCTACACGCTGAAAAGCAGATACAAAAATCGGGTTTGAATTTGTGTCCGTACATATTAAATGCCGAGTATTATGCGTGTGCGGTCTTTTTGCCGTGTCCATAAAAATTATTGAAAAAAGAAATTGCAAAGTTTTGTTAATATAGGTATTTAATAGATTAAAGCAAGCATATCACGGCTTTAAATGAAGCACAGCTGAATATAGCTTAAATCTTTGTCGAGATTTGAGTATATTGGTTAAATATTAAGTTTGGTTTTATAGACTTGGAAATTTTCGATGCGACGATTAACAGCAGATGAAATTGAAATATTTGAAATAGCAACAAAAGTTGAAATATAACTTGGATTGCTCAATTTCTTTAATTAATTTAATGCTATTGGAACAATTTTTCTCCGCTTCGACATTTGTTGTATAAATGATAAATAAATGGAAGTTAAGATGAAGGTACTAAAATAATAACGCAATAAATATTTATTTACTATTTTCTTTTAGCAATTAATAATTGCTAAGCTTAAGGGTTGGAGATCTGTCTTATGACAATTTTAATCTTTAGATTACAGCTTTTATGTAGACATAAATATACCATTGTTTCAAGAATTTCGCTCAGTCATCTATTACAATGGAGCTATGATTTGCTTGAATAACTTTGTGTTTGGTCCCCTGTTTGGGGGCCCACACAACAACGACAAAAACAACAACAACAACTTGAAACAACTCTCACATTTGTTTGCCTCAGCAGTTTATTGGTAATTTGTTGCGGCCGTGTAATTTTGTTCAACATTTTCGGTATGCTTGTCATAAGGCCGATGCTTAGCTAACTCCCCAAACACCTCTGTGTGGGGGTGTGGGGTTTAAGTATTCATGTCAGAATAGAACGCAGTCAGCTTTTCCAGTATGTGTGTCTGTATGTGTGTTTGTGTAGGTGTATAGTTATGTAAATGATACGCCCAATACAGTTCTGCGACAGCTGCCGAATGTGGGGCGAAATGTTTTGAATGCTTTTAATAACTTTACAGGCACGCAAACTCACTGACAACCACACAAACCCTCACTTACTTACAACAATGGACCGAACCTGTTCTGCCTTTGCACTCATGCCCTGCTCATCTGCTCACATCGTCTTGTCCATAAGCACCCACACAGGAACACACACATTAATACATTTTGTGGCACTTAAAATGCAAACGCAGCTAAAATGAAATAAGGAAATCGAAGGCTGCTTTCGCAGATCCTGCTGCTGCCTGTTTCACCTGCCTGCTAAGCTTAGGCGAGGTGAACTCTAAGCTGCTGAGGATTAGGCCAGAAAGATGCAGCCAACTGAAGCTCTGAAGTCTATACGGCACTCAGAAAAAAACTAGCCGTTTTCAAAAAATAACTAAAACAACTCACATTTTTTACAAACTTTTGCATATTCTGTATTTTAAAAATATTCTTATTATGAAAAATAAATAGCAATTTGAAAATAATTTTCTGCTTCCTTTTTTTCTGTGTAACACTAATTTTAATTTTGTTGCTGTTGATTTGCATTGCAAAGTTTAGAAATTAAATCAAGAGATAATTAAATCATTTTACATTTGGGAGCTAGCGTGAACTTATTAAGCAAGCTCAAAAGCCGGGTGGGAGGACATTTGGGGGCGCAGAGCACCTGCTGGTTGTTGTTGCTGTGCACAGCAGATTCAATTTCTAAAGAATACACACACACTCGCACATTCGCAATGAATAAAATTTCACTCACATCAGGCAGCAGTTAATTAAAGCAGCTGCTGCTGATTTTGTTATTGCTGTTTTTGTTTTTGTTGTTGCTGTTTTTGTTGTTGCTGTTTTTGTTGTTGCTGTTTTTGTTTTTGCTGTTTTTGTTGTTGTTGTTGTAACGGGTGTCCTCGTTGCTGGCCAGGCAGGTGGCTGTCAGCGCAAAACCAATTACAAGAGCTGCCAAAAACCGTAGACAGCGATAGCAGGCACCTATGCAAAACACGTATACGTCACGTGGACCAAGCGACAGGGCATAAGTCACCCAATTAGACGTGTTTTGTGTGCGGTAAAACCAGAAGCTGTAGCAGAATTTTTAGGAGCAGCAGCAGCAGCAACAGGAGCAACCACAAATGCAGCTGTCGCTCGTGTTAGACAAACAATAACAAAAGAGGCAGAGACAGAGAGAGAGAGAGAGAGAGAGAGAGAGAGAGAGAGAGAGAGAGAGAGAGAGAGAGAGAGAGAGAGCGAGCGAGATGGTATGGGAGAGGGATAGAGTTAACAAGGGAGATATGCAAGCTGGCAACAAAAACAGAATTAAAGTGCAGTGTTGTCGAACCAGTAAACTATTGGAAAAACTCAACACCTCTTCAAGCAAAAAAGTCAACCTTTTTTAGACAAAGACAGAGTAAGAGCTAGATAAATAAAGAGATAGAGAGCCATAATGTAGTTGTGCATAGTTTTGTGGTTGTCAGATTTAAAGCTTAGTTTGAGGCGATTAGTTTTTGTACTCAAAACTGCAATGGTTGCTGCGCTAACCAGTCTTTAATGAAGCAATAAACGTTTTTTGTAGCCTCATAAATGTGGCAAATCAATGCGAAGCCCCCGTTGTAACGCCTCTATTATTATGAAGTTAATTGCATAAACTGGCTGCCAGGCGAGGCGCATTGAGGCGAATGCGTGAAAACGGTATTCCTGCTTTAACGGCTTGCCTTAGTTTGCTGGTAGGTCTAGGCCCAGACTGTGATGGGGGAGGGAAGGTGGGAAAGTATGGGATACACAAAGCAAAGCCAAACGCTTTGAGGCTAGTAATCAGCGGAGCAGACGATAGGCACATGGCTGAATGAGTTTCGGTGCTAAGTGGATGCGGGGACCAACACTCCGGGCAGGTTGGCCAAAAGGACCTGCGAATCTGACTCAAATTCAAATTCAGATTCAGGCCAAGTATAAGTCTTTTGGCTATGACTGTAATAATTCATTTGTTGCTCGCTCTAATTGGAAAACTTTGTGCGGTTTGTGTGTATGTATAAAAATTATAGTGTGTGTGACAGAATCTGGCTATTTATTGCAGTTTTATTGAACATTTGCGCAATTTCCGTTATTACTGTGAGAGTCTGTGTGGATGTATGTGCGTGTATGTGGGTGGCACACAAATATGTGAAGCTATGAAAATAATGCGTATTTGCGCATAATATTCACATGCCAATGGCCTTATACAGACTAGATTATTCATTTCATGTGCAGGAAATAAGCAGAGAGATATTTTAATGGGATTTCCATTAAAGTCATGAATAACAACTGTTTAAAAATGATGATAACAATAAAAGCGTATTATTGGTTAGATTTTAATTAGCTGCCTGTTGGCGGAAATGTATTATGTGAGCTTATAAAACACATAATGGCTTGAATATTTTGTTGAACAATTTTGTTGTATATTATCAAGATTATTGAGAATGTATATTAGTTGATTAAAATATACAATTATTTCATTTATAAGAGTACACTAAAGTGCATTTAATTATTTTAGCTATGTGCATGAGAATATTGAAAAAATCAGAAGTATGGCAAAAGAAATTCAATCAATCGATTTTTTTGCATATGCAGATCATGTTTTTTTCCTATCAACGGCAATTATGCAAATGTTTCTATTGCTGTTGTTGTTGTTGTTGTTGCTGGTTCTGACAATTTTCAAATTGCATGGCACTCAATCAGCATGCATTGAATATGATGCAAAGTGCTCTTAGATGTATATTTGTGTGTGTGTGAGTGTGCGAGCGCTGGTCGACAGCACATGGCGTGACATATAAGGATGTCAGCTAGCTAGTTGGCTGACTAACAGACAGACAGAATGGCTATAAAAGTGGCCTCATTTGAATTCAGCACAATGCGAAAACTTTTGCGCTTATCAGCCAGCTGCCAGTTGACAGCGAGTCCGGTGTCCTGCTCGTCCTGCTCGTCCGCTCGTCCCGTTCTCTCTGACTGCATAATCAGCTAAGCATTGTCCTGTCAGTCCATCTCTTTGTCTGTCAAGCTATCTGCTGCTCTCAAGTGATTAGCCATCCGCCTGTTGCACTAAGTGGCATAAATTGACATTAAGCGACAAGCTTATTGACCTCGCCTTGTACAGAGAAAACCTGCATTTTAAAAGCTCAACTAAAATCGGAAAAATAAGGCGTCCTGAATTTTAAAACACCGCCTAATGTTGAATATAAAATATAATCATCCCGAAAACAAAAAAGTATTTAATTAATTTGCAAACTTATGAGATATATATTCTCGAAATATGTGTTTCTGCTGAGTAACTTTAATAGCAAACGGGAATGAATGATTAGCTGTACCAGAGTAGATGTAGCAGTCCACCAGACGATATCTAAATTTTAGTTATGAGTTCGAAATATTTAGTGGAGTGCTCCAATTTACGCAAAAAGTTTCCGTCCTTAACAAAAATCTTCCGTTTCCATTTTGGGGGCTCTAATTGAACCATCTAATTGACGCATTTTATTAGCGATGTGAGTTTCAATTCAATTATGTGGTTATGCCTATCTTAAGCCCACTACTTTAAATAGGAAGCTATTATTCCTATAGTGGGTAAGTGATGCTGATCAATAATGTATATCCCCTATGGTGTCGGATATAATAGCCGCACTCTACAAAGGTGTAAAAAGAGACTAATATTGTAAGGAATTTAAATAATAATAATAATTAATAATTGTTTTTTTTTCTATAAATAGAAATTAGTTCTTTAAACAAGAGCCACTTTCTGGATATCTTCTAGATTTTTATTCTGAGTGTAAAAATTCAAATCAGTTACGTTTGTGTTTTCTGTTTGAACACCTCATTGGGGTATCAATCTCACTATGTCTAATGGTCCAAAATTCAAAGCCAAAAAGTACCACCCTGTGACCACATGAGCTGCTTGCTAGCTACTGTAATATCCAATTTGCCTGCCATCAGGACAAGAGCCAAATAAAGTTTTAAGTTGCCTCACCTTCCCCACACGCCGTTCCTGGCTATCTCTTGATCAGGCCAAAATAATTGGTATGTTGCGGCTGCCTGTCACAATTCGAGATAACGAAGCGAATCCAATCGAATTGGAATTGTGAGCTCAAAACTTGTTATGCTATTGAAATTTCAATTCCTATTTATCATTATGCACATGGATAGGATATAGGAGATGGAGCTCATTAAATGCACAAATTTGATATGGAAATGATTTGAGCTATTTTTGTATTCAAATAGCTCTAGTTTTTGTCGGAATTCGGTTTAATACACAGACACACACGCATTCCAATTGAAATATTATAGGGCGAACTTAATTTCTATGTTAAACAAACCACAACCACAGGGCAAACAATGATAAACCCAACAAACATGCAACAATAACAACAGCAATCTACTTTGAAACAGCAGATGGCCAACGACATTTCAACTTTAAACGAAGCGGAAATGCGAGACCACAACGGCATCATTAATCATGAGTAGCTACAGCAACCAGCTCCTAAAGGCCTTCCTCTCTCTCTGCCTCTCTCTCTTTATTCATTCACTTTTCTTTCCCTTCATCTTCTTTGCCACTCAGTTTCAGTTACAGTGTTGACTTTGCTTAACTCTCAGGCAATGTTGCTTTTCTGTCAGCTCTTATTTTTGCTTTTTTTCTGTTTTTTCGGTATACTTTATGTTTTACATTTAAATATTAAAGATAAGCCCAGCAGAACATGCACTAAGCCTTTTATATTCACACAAACATAAATAAAATTATGGGCCCCTAAATTTTGCATAAATGTGTAGTTTTTTCTATAGCATACTTTTGTGCGTCAACCAAAATGAATTGATTATAATTATAAAACAAATTTGAAGCATGTAAAATAGAAAATGCTCAGTAAATATTTATTTCAAATACTTTTCTAAGCTAGTTGACAATTGTGAGTGTATCACAATATTGTATTGCATAAGAATTTTTTAGATATTGCGTTATAACAAAATTTGTAGGGCAACAATATCTTCATGCAGCCTCAAGTTTAGCTTTTTTCTCTTTCTTTTCCTTATTTTTTTTTGAGAGTATTAAATTTTAATCCGGTACAAAGGGCGAGGTCAGCCATGCGACGCTACCTAGCATGAGAGTTAATAGCATTTGGTGTTTGCTGCCAAACAACGGAACAGAAAGTTGACCAAAAACTTTGCTTCGCTTTAGGATGCTGGCTAACATCATTGAAACTTTTACGCCAAAGTGTTTGCGGATTTTACTGTGCGGGTCTGTGTGTGTATGTATGTGAGTATGTTTCAAGTTGATTTAACGGTAGATAACAACAAAAGCATAGAATGACAGCGAAAATGTTGCTGTTGCACTCACTGACACTTAAACATGCAATAAACCAATACGTCCAATATAGGTGTGTACGTGTCAGTCTGTGTGTAGTTGCAATTGTTGCTGTCATTTTGCGTTCATTGCACAATAAATATGAACTGAAGTGTGCCATGCTCTTAGAGTTATTGTTGTTGCTGTTTTCGCTTCTGTTCTTTGTTGGGAGAGTTGACCAAAACAATAAAACTGCAACAAAACTGAGTCTTCGGAATGGTGGCTACAGTTTGAGAGCAACTGTCACGAAATGTAGTGCATACTTTCAGACTGCACCTAAAATGTCGCTGCATGTCACGACTGCTTTTTGACTGTGGGTTGTGGCTGGCTACTAAATGAACCAGATTAGCTGGAAGTTTCAAAAACTGGAAAATCCAACAATTTTTTCTGACTGACAGTGTAGCAGCAGAAGTGATACATTATTTAGTTCTTTACCTTTTATATTGATATAGCAAGTCTTGCAAATGCTCATCACTTAATCAGTCATAAATCAATCAAACTATCTCGTGTCGGGCCTTAATTGTTGTTTAGTTGCAGGATTATCACCACAGCTTGACTCGTGCTGTTTGCTGTTGACAAGAGAATTCAGGTGCCTGGAGGGCCTTAACAACTATAAATGCGATCGCTTACAGCTCGTAATCAGTGACTAACAAGCAGGGCAGCAATAACAAAAACAAACAACTAAAAGCCTGCTAAAAAGTTGGATTTCTTTGTCTCTGAAGCAGCAAGTCCATCAAGTCCATAAAAAGTTTTTCCGCCAACAACTGGGCAAAATCTGTTTTCTGTCTCCCATCATATTTCGTTTTGCACTAAAGTTATTCGCGTTATTGCCACACCCCCATTTTCACCCTCATCTTTGATGCGTATGAAGCTCAAGTGGGGCCATTGTAGATCAAATAAATTGTATTATGACCAAATTGATTGATGTCTTGGCCACTCAGTCCATGTTTTTCTTATTGCTCGACCAGCACACTTTTGGCCAACTTAATTAGTATCTGAAGGCCCTCTTCATTGTTAGCCTTGTAGTAGGGCAGCGCCTGCAATCTGGCCAACCATTGTGACAGCTTGGGATACTTCTCCGCATCGATGGGCGCAAAGGCAGCCGCCGTTGACACCGACGACACGCTGCATAGATCCGCAATGGTTAGGTTCGCACCAGCGAGATATGGAGCTGTGGCCAGGCAGTGCTCCAGTCCATCGTAAGCCTTCTGCATGTATGTGATGCGATCTTCGGGTATTGCTGTGGCGCCAAAGTAAAACAGCGGCTCCACAATGAAACGCACACGTGGAAACAGATGGCCGCAATCGAAGTAGAGACGTGCATCGACCTCGCGTCGTTGTGCTGGATCCTTGGGATACAGTGCGTCACCGTCCTTGGCATACTTGTCAACCAGATAGCAACAGATCACATGCGAATCGCTGACCACAGTGCCATTGTCATCCAGCACTGGGATTGTATGCAGTGGATTTAGTTTGAGAAATTGTGGCGTCATATTCTCACCAGCCTTAACGGTCAGCGAGCTAAAAAGAGATATAGAGAGGGAGAGAGTATAAAGAGATGGGAAAGAATGGAATAAAACGCAAATAAAACTAGTTTTTGGTGGTTTATAGCAGAATCATTGAGTTATTGAGTTCGTAGAGTTTAACTAAATTCCACTGTTTGTCATGTGACATTTCAAGTAATTAATATTAACATCCATGTAACATGCTTTTAACATTTATCAAGTGGCTTTTCGACTGAATGTCCACTTAAATTCCTACTCAAAAATTTAACTATACAGTTTAGTTTATACACTTCGATAAGCTTTTATCGCTCTGCGGCACTTACCGGAGATCCAGGTCGAGTCCCAGAGCAGCGGCTGTGAGAAGCACCCCACGGCATGGCGGACTGCGTGAATTATAATAGAGAACTGGTTTGCTGGCCATTCTGTCTGTGTAGCGTGGAAGAGAGAGAGAGAGAGAGTGAGAGTGCGGTGGCGTTAGTTTGCGCCACAGATAAATAATAGTTAATGTTGATTACTGCCTTGCATGCACACACGCATCGCAAACAAAGGTATTAAATGGAATTGACTTTACCTATGTATTATTATTTTTATTAATTGCAAGCCGAAACAAACAAACGCAACCTGTTCAGTTAAAGTGCAAAAAGCTACTGAAATGAGAAATTTGCTGCGTGGCGTTGGCGATCGAAATGACACAGCTTAAAGCTTTAAGTAAATCGATTATATTTCTTTATTTGGATAGCCCGAAGGTATGCTTTAAATAATTGATGAGCAGCTCATGAAACCGATGACAGGGCAGAAAGCAAAGCGAAGAAAAAAAATAGGGAAATTCATAGCAGCTAGAAGGGTACTGTCTAAAAGTGGCAAACTTTTCGGTTTACTCACAAATTAGAAACTTTTGATGTAATAAATGAGTAAATTGAGTTATTCAGGGTAAATAAATGATTTGTTGTGTCAGTGACTGAGTTGCTATTTTCCATTTAAAATTTAAAAAACAGTCGTTGATGAATTAATTTGCTTATGTGTTAAACCAATTACTGTCAATTTTTCCTGCTGCTACTTTAAATGATGCCTGGATAAAGAAACAAACAGCAGCAGCATATCGAAAATGGTCAAATGATTTTCCACGCTTTTCACAGCACAAAGTGGCTAAGCGGCTTAGCGCTAAGACAGACCCTTTTACCAGGTGCAAGTACTAAAATTTTTTAATCGGATTTTAGCATTAGTTAATGGCTCAGTCGTGAAAAACACCCTCACGCTTTAAAGTGAAATTTAATTGGATTTGAAGCAGAATGTTTTATTTTTATATTATTATTTATATATTTGGTATTTTTTGTGTTTTTATTTTGCTTTTGGTATGCAGGTCGATAGCACTATAAAACTGATGTCGAATTTGGTGCCTGTGAAGTCCTTGCGCACGGCGAAAGAGTGTCCTTAAATATTTGGTCACGCGCCGCAACGAATTGAAAATACCGAAGCTCCCAGCTCCAGTCTGGCGACAAGTGGTGCGTTGGCATCCAGGTGAGTCGAGGATACAGAACGTGGCAGTGTGGCTGAATTGAGAGTGGGACAGACTATTGTGCTTGTGCTTGTGCTGTCAAAATTTTGTGAAAGCAATTTACGGTTATTAAAGCTTTTAGTGCGATCAAAATCAAGCAGCCGGCTTCCCTTGTCCTTGCCCTTGGGCAAGCGCATTAAATTTAATATCATAATTGAGTACTTTCCAGGGTAGGTACCCCTAGGTGTCTGGCAGAGGACTGGGGAGAGTCGGTTTGTTTTTTGACCTGCTGAAAAGCATTGACTAATTGATTGCCATTTGACGAGTGACATTTATCTTCATAACTTAGTTTTGTGCGTTTAATTGAAAACACAGACAGCAAAAAGCGTGTGAGATTGATTAAAGTAGAAGCCTGGCACAAGGACATTTCGGACATGCGGACATGAATACACATGAACATGGACATTGGACACGGATACGCACTTCAAACTCGACTGAGTGGTGCCGCTAGCATTGTGCTGCTGCTGCTATGTCTCGAGTGGAGTGAAAATCCAGTTTTATTAATGGTTCTTGACACAGGACAACAGACAGACAGCCAGGCAGTCAGTCAGCCAGTCAGCCACTCAGACAGCAGAGGCAAGAAAGAGTGCGTGGGATTTGATGTCCTTAGCTCTGAGTCAATTGCTTTGAATTTCCGCCTGACTAACGCGTTGTGCCAAACATAAATATTACTTAATTTCTAGCTATAATTCGCTCCATCTCTCTCTATCTATCTCTCTCTCTATCCCTCTCTCTCTCTCTCTTTCCCTTACACTATCTACATCTCTTTCTCTCTGTAATTTCTGTCGATTAATAACAATTAAATGCCAGTTGGTTTTCCTAGCTAATTGTTGACATTGAGAGTTGTGGATTTAAAGCATGGACCCAGGATCCAATACAGTGCTCCTTGGCAAAGTACAAATCTGCCCTTTTGGACTTACTTAAAATGTTAATAACTATTTTTAGAATATATAAATGTAGAATATGAAAAAGAATTGGTAAATCTTACAGGTAGCTAAAAGTTAATTATCATGCAAATTATTCAAAAAAGATTTTTATTAAGTATTTGATTCTAATTTGAAATGATATGTAAGAAGTCTGAAGTCCTTTCAATATTACACATATTAAACTGACGTTTATGTTTTGTCGCCTTCAGTTTTAGTCGGTTAACCCCTTGCAATGTTCAATTAGTTCGCAAAAATAAGTCAATAGAAAATTCAATGCTATAAGTGAGGGAATTCAGTTTTATTTGCTTCTACCTTGCTATATTTTGCTTATTAACAAATAAGGTACTTGTAAGACTCAATTTAAAAACTTTAATACAAATTTTCGCATATTCTAAAGTATTTCTCAAGATTTAGCAAAAAAAATATTCACATTATTTAAAAATACCAATTTAAGTCATAAGAATTCATTGAATATAAAATTGTAATATCAAGCGAAATTTAATTTCATAATGCTTCACTGTGGAATAGAATTGTAGCATAAGACAAGTGTGCTTAAGAACGCTAGATAGGCACAATGAAGATGTCGCTGTATAATGCGATATGCCCCCAGCTCCAATAAAAAATTCAACCTCGAAGCCGCAAGCGTCAAACCCGGAGAATAGCTGCAAGGCAGCTTTTGTTTTTTATTGAAAATGAACTGGCGTCGGGCGCCACAAGGGAGAAGCAACTGCCTCAGGGGTGGACGTGGGTAAATATATGTTGGGGGGTTGTATAATGTATAAATCGAAGGCTAAATTAAAAGTGACATGCCATTACTTAGATATAGATATGAAGAGACGCAACTGAGTGGCCAAATAGCCAAGTCAAATGAAGGGCAGACCCAAAATGCTAACGGCCAATCAATGCCAACTCTGACATGCAAATGAAATGGACCCCAATACCAACAACAACAACAGTAACAATAACAACAATAGCAACCAAAACAATTTGAAGCATTCTTTGAATGCTTCTGCAGTGACTCGGTCAACTAAATACACTCAGCACAATGAGTGCGTGAGTTGACTTGATTTTCCATTCATAATTTCAAAATTGAATTCATTTACTTATCGCTCGAACTCAACTTGAAGCTAAAGTTGAAGGTCTTTGTTATTTAAGCAGAAGCTGCACTACCAGAGTTTGTTCATTTCTAATTTGCTTGTTTTTTGTGGATTTGACGGAGCTTCAACAAATTTATTGCCATTCTCAATGGCATAAAATGTTACGCTATTTATTATGTTGAAGAACTTTGTTGACTGAAATTCATTCGGCTCGCTGACACAGAATCTTAAGTTGATAGTACTGAATGGACAACTTTAATAACAGGACTTAAAGTACAAGAGAAATACAAAGAATCTTTAAAGAATAAGAAATTGTGCTTCCATATTTATATTTATGTATATATTTATATTATATTTATATTATGTGCTAAACTGAATCGAATATTATCTTCGGCCTCAATCAAACTGCAAGTCATATATACTTTTGGGGCTAAGGCAATTCCATGCGGATCAAAATGTGGCAATCTGAAAGTCCCCACAGATTTTGGGACACCGGGTTTCACAGTGCACATATGTGTTAGAGGTTGGCCTGTCGCGTTCTATCAATGCCAACTGTGCGTCCTGCTGACCCCCTGACCTCGGTCATCGAATTCTTTTCGTTCCAGCTCTCCCGGCATCTTTCCTAAGCGGCTGATGAATGTTCACAAGTGAAAGTAAAAAGTGAAGGTACATGTGAAATGCCTGCCAGAGGAGCAGACTTTAATGTACTTGACGTTTCCTGTTACCGTTATCGAAGACCGTCAAGTCGTGCGAGCATTTTCCACTTTGATGTCATTTTATTGAACTCTATTTCGGAAAAAAATTCTAAAACACAATTTGTTTTTGTTGTCTCTTATGCTCTAATGCCGAAGGGCATTGTAAATTGTATGTGCATATATTTTAAATTTATTCCTATATTTTTGGCTTGAGTAAAGTGTTAAAAGTGTCACAACTTAAATCGATAAAATCTTTTTATTTTATACGGCTATGGAAGTAGAGTTGCGGGCTACTCTTCAAAATACTTGTAACAAAATCCAGTTTCAACTCTGCATTCACAAATCACTGAAACTGTTATCTGTCATTTAGCTCTAGAGCTCGACTATCGAAAGTGGACATTATAAGATGTTTTTCTTTCATTTATCGTCAACTAAAAACAGAGTATTTGCTAGACGTGAAGTGCAAATGAAATGTTGTGAATGCTAACAAGGATTCGTCAAATGGTCCCGGATCCGATTGCAGGTGATGCGAATGCATAGCAGACATGTATGTGCCAGTATGTATGTATTTATGTACATATGTACATATGTAGGTTTGTGTATGTGTGTGTAAGTGGAGCGGAACATATTTCGTATATACGTTTTACATTCGCTTTTATGGCCATACAATCCGGGCCATGAATATGGATTTTTTTTTGCTGTATTGAGGGGTTGTTAGGCTTTGCCAATATGTATTTTATTGGAGGAGTTGGAGGCGAATTGTGTGCGCTTGTCGGTTGGCTGTTTGTTGTTGCGGTTCTGCCTCTGCTGGCTCCGCTCAGCATTTTATTGGTATTGTTTTGCGATGGCTGCTGTCGGCACTTGCCCTGACTGCTGTTGATGGATTAGCCGAACGTTAGTCAAACTCACATCTTCCACTCCATCTTCAAACTCAAGGCCTGTTCAATGCATCATCAAATGGATGGGAAAGCTGGACAGGCACAAGGCTCACGGCAAACTCGACAAACTCGGCAAACTCGACAGCTCAGCAGCCAACATGGCAGCTGACAACGCCGGTATATGCTGTAGCTCAGCCTCCCACTCCCGGAGGGCATTAGATTACATTGTTGTGTGTATAATTTTACACAGGCATGCCATTAGGCAGTCGTCCAATTGGGAAAGCCTTTTCCCTTTTTTTTTCTCTTTGTCTGTTCAACAAGTTACAATTTGCCTGCAGAGCGAAAACTCTTTAAAGCTGTAAATGAGAGTTGCTGTTTCCACGATGAAGCTTAACGCGATGATTAACATTTTTAAATTTTCGAGAAAATAAATATTTATTAGATTGAGTTGTGTACTTGAGTTGATTTTCGGAAGTATTTGCATGGAAAACATTCACAAGCATACATTATTAAGAATATCATCCTTTTTTGTTGAAAATATGTATATTATTTGTCAAGGTACTTGTTTTCTACATTTTATACAAACTCACGAGTTTTTTTTTTGTTTTTGCTTTTTTTTTTTACTGCAAACAAGATAAATTTGCCTAACCCGATGTAAATTTAAGTGTTAAGGGTTTAAACTCGAATATACTTCGCAGACTTGAATAGTAAACAAGAGATATTGACTAAGAAAATGATACAAAATAAATTAAAAAATACTACCTGATGCACCTTAAATGTCTTAATCCTTAATTGGCTTAACCAAATCCTTTACTTTATCCATTCACTTTAAGTGCTATCCTTGAATTCCCTTCATTTAAAAACTGCAAACTACAACTGAGCACAGATACTCGACCTCCACATTAATTACAGTGATAGTTAATTTCGGTTTAGTTGCAGCCTGCACTCATGCAACCACATATTGTGGCTATTGTCTTGCCTTGTCTTTTTCAACTGTAATTTTGATAAGTCCGTGCACATAGGGGCCCAGGCAGTCGATGATCCGCATTCAAGGACTGCTGCTATTGCTTGCTGGAATTAACTGGCCAAGTCGATTAAGTTTCAGTTTTTCAACGCTGCTAAAATTTTGGCAACGTTGGGCGTGGGGAGAGGAAAGGGAGCTGCCTGTTCACCCGCATTTTAGCAAAAAGATTCAATTAAATTCGATATTGAAAGTTGACACATAAACAGAAACTGAGCAGCGACAATGCATACAAATTGAATTCCTATGAGACGGCTTAAACAACCTGATCCTATCAGCCGATATCGTTATATGTGTATATATATATATATATCTATAGATGTTTTTCTCGTTTGATTTTATAGCGCAATTTATGTGTTGAAATTGTTAGGATTTATGTGTATCTAAATATTTTGTTTTGTGGCCCATTAAACAGTGACCCTTTTGGCCATAAAAACTCTTGAAGAAGCTGTAGATTTGTTGTGGTCGTAAATTACGCATACGCACTGTGTGTATGGGCTGGGCTGGTTTTGAGCATGGGCGTAAATGCTAATTGCCTGCAGGCCTGCCAACTCGAACATATTTTGTAGTTGGTAGCACACACACACACATGGAACACGCACTTGCTAAATCAATTAATTAATGCAGCAAACACACAAACATACACATAAATAGAAAAAGAGAGCATTCCGTTGGGCATACGTAACAGGAGATTCAATTACAAGCGGCGTTGGCTGCATAAAACAAAGAAACGAGCTGCAGCAGCGGGGCACTCACCAGCTTATAATTGAAATGGAAATTATGAACGGAGGCGGGGACCATGTATCGATGCCAGGCACTGTTCAAAAGAGAGATAGAGTGTGTGAGCGAAAGAGTGAGAGCTATATGATATGCTAATATGCTTAAGCAGAGCCCCATTTCTTAAAGCTCTTGTTTCTGTTGCTTGTCGTGCTGAATTTGCTGAAGACGAACAAAGACACCTGCGTTTGAGACGGGGATGAAGCTTTTTTAGGTAGTTAGTTGGGAGTTGGGCATCGCCAGATGGAAAAAGTTCGTTTGCATTTTGTGGATAGAAAGGGGTGCGGTGGAATGTGGATGAATTGAACGGAGTAACTTTAGCTATTTGCGCTGTCATAATGAAGGCTTTTATTTAAATGTTAATGAAAACTTTGTTTACGGTTCGATGCTTCGAATTACGTTCACAACTACAATTAAGTTTTAAAGCCACACTTAAATGGTAGAATTTCGTGTGTAGCTGTTACAGTTACAGTTCATAAATCTTCATACCTAATTTGCGACAATGGCACAAAAGAGCATTAAATCCTTGTTTGCAAGACTTACATGTGTTTGTCTGCCTGTGTGCGGGTGTGTCTGCGCGAATGTGTGTGTGATGGGACTAAACAAATGTTTGCTGACTAAAAAGGGTTGTTTTCGGGTCGTGTAAATGTCACACCAGAACAACAGCTAAAAAACATAAGACAGACCTCAAAAATTCTTACCTTTCATTAAACATACATATATGCAGTATATACGTATATCATTGTATAACTGTTTGCCTCTTTACCGCGAATGCAGTTTCAAAATACTTTACAGCTCTGATTTGCACGTAACCATTGTTGTTGTTGGTAATAAATAATCAAGTTAATTAGAAGGAAATGCTTAATTTAATGCACGTCAAATTATTAAAGTGGCCCGTGCTATGCATTTTAAATGCGCGCCAAACGCAAAACGCTACAAAATGGAATTGAAACGAACCGCAAATGCACAGCAAACTGCGGCGGCCAGCCACCAGTAACAGTGTGAAAGCTCTCTCTCTCTCTCTCTCTCTCTCTCGCTCTCGCTCTATCTCTCTCTCTATCGCTCTCTCTCTCTCGGTCATCCTGGCCGCTATGCACTCATTGGCGCCCTTGCTTCGGCGCCGGGCGACTCTGTCGATGGTAGCCTGCCTGCCTGCCCGGGATTGACACACATCCCAAGGCAAACAGCTGCAACAACAACAACAAATACAGTATTCGCTTGCAAATGTCAACGTTTTAATGCCAGCAATTCAATGCTTAGGCCTAATTCAAATACAATCGTTAAAATATAAGAAAAATAAATTTGATCTAAAATAAAAAAATAAAATAAAAATTACCTTAGATCGAGCAATCACTGTATATTAGTTTGTAAAGCTGCATGGTTTTGGACGCATTTTGTTTATCTTATCAGCGAGCAGATGGCCACATGAAAGTGTTTACAAGGCTTACCAACCACCGCACGGAACCCAGCCACTCCATTAAATTGGCAGCCACACAATTAACGGGTTGCATATGCTTTTAAATATTAATTATCTCAAGTGCTGCTTGCATGAGAAAAACTAAAAAAAAAGAAAAAAGAAAACAAAAAGAAAAATGAAAACTGCGTTTATTTACACATAGGAAATAGTCAAAATTCGTTTTTTTTGGGGGCTCGTGCAACAATTTTAATAGGTTCTGCCACATTTACTTGAATCAGCAACATGGTGCGACGTGAGCTACAAGTGTCCCTGGAGCAACATGAAGCCCCAAAATGGCCACACCTCTCTCTTCTTCCTTACACACACACAAACACACACATACACACTCACACAGAGAGACGTGCTCACTCTCTTTTGCAGGCTCTGTTTCGTTTCCATTTTGTAGCGCTCGCTGGAGCTTTTTTGTGGGTCTGCCGAGCTGCTTTCATTTCGGTGCCATTTTAGTTCCTCGTTGTAGTTCAAAGCGGTCGAAGCGTGACGCGGCACACTCACAAAAACACTGGTAATAAGTTAGAAAAAACAAAAATACAGTTGATTGAGCTGAATGCGAAACGTGCGCGAAGCGAGCAGTACACAGCAGCAGAAAGCAGCCATTGGCCAACTGAGTGAAGTGTAAATAAGTGAAGCTGCCCCTCCCCTTTACACACTTATCTATTCTAAATCACATGAATGTGTAGGTGTGTGTGTATAGGTGTGTGTTTGCGTGTGTGCGTTTCATCTTCATTTGTTTATGTTTGGTTTTGTATTTGTGTTCTCGCTTCGATAGCGCTGTTAACCTCTGCCTAACCCCTTATGCCCCTACCCCACTATCCTCTAGCAACCATAGTGAACCAGGTGTTATCTATTCGCCTCCTTAATGTGCTTAACGTAACTTTTCTGTTCGTTTTGATTACTTTTATCATAATTAGTTTCAGATTTAATTTTCTTTTAAAAATGGCAGCCAAATTCGCACGTCAGTGATTTCTGTTCGCATCAGAAACACTTGCCAAATTGATGGAGATTTACATTAAAATGTCAAGAGCGCGTGACAATATGCCATCCTTATACATAACAAAATCTACACATATATACACACATAAGAGTGTGTGTGTCTGTTTATTGAGTGTATGCCAAGTGATATCAGTACCAAAAACCAATTAGCTGTTGGCATAGCAAGCACTCATCGACCTTCCCCCATATCCATCCACCACGCGAACCACATCCAATTGGTCGGACAAAAAAGTTTTCGTGCCTGAGACCCCTTGATAAAAAGAAGAGGAATAATAAAATAATGCTGCACACTGCACAGTGCACAGTGCACTATTTTAATTGGAAAACTTCTCCAATTGAACTTTAATATGCAACAGAAGAAACGTCAAGAAGAGAACAACAACAAATAGAATATTAAATAAGTTAATTGGGCAGGAAACAGTCCAAGGACGAGCTTCTACAGGCTTCGCTCTAATTTTCAATTAAAAATGTAGCCCAACCAAAAACCCAAGCAACAAGAACAGCAGCAGCAATAAGAACAAAGGTTGCCAAGTGCATTGACCACAGCTTACTGAAAAAAGGAGAGCCGAAGTCGACTTCAGGACTTACAAAGATCCCTGTTGGCAGGTTGTCGAGCTGGAGGCTGCTCTCATTCAATCTATTGTGTTCTGTCTGCTTCCTGTACTTATTTTTCCTTTTGGGCTTCTTCTTTTTCTCGACGATTTCTGCCTGTTTCAGACAGTGAAAAGCTGCCTTGAATTTTCAGCCTGCGAGCAATTAAAATATGCACAAAATGTAAATGAGAGCGGACCACTTGGCCAAACATTTTATAAAAAAACCCCACTCCCCATATCTCCCCTATTCAGCTAACTTTCATTTTCACGTAAAAAAAAACAATTTTGGGCAAACTCATGTAATTAAAGTACTGAAAAAAAAACAACTATAATAATACAAAGGGACTAGTGAATTAATTTAATTTTATTATGAGATAATCGTGCAACAAATAAAGAAACGAGACCAAGCCAAATAAATTAACAATCTCAAAAGGCAGAAAATACGGTAAGTGCAGCAAAGGGAGAGGGAGAGAAAGGAACAGGTGTTGGGGCTGGCAGTTACTCAGTTTGCTATATATGTTTACACAACTCAAATGTCCTTGCGCAAATATCCTGACCACCATCGCATTTATAAGATCAATAAACGCATTCATGCGGAAAACTTGTTTATTTTTAATCTAACACTCGCACGAATGATTTGCAATTAGACTTTTTTCGCTTGCCCGCATGGAAATGAGGCAATAATATGCCACGCCCACATGCTGCGAACGCCACACGCCATATTAGCCTAACTGAGTGGCCATCAGCAGAAAGAGAATAAGCCAAGAACAATGCTCATGTAAATTACACATTTTTAGCCATTGTCAGTCTGTCCGTCCAAATGTCGCATCCTTTCGTTTTTTTTTCTATTTTCGCTTTTTTTGTTGCCCAGCAAAAAAAAAAGAAAAAATAAATGAGCCATTAAAAATGTTTACGACACACGCAGCTGGCCAGCTGGAAAGGTGGCCATTTGCCATATGATTAACTGGAAAAACTGAATTTCATTTATTTGTTATTTCCCCCCACTGATTGTCTCAGCTAAGGCAGAGATTAGCACGAAAAAAAACTTTTTTACCAACTTGCTTTCTTGTTCTGCTTTTAGTTTTTGTTTTTGTTGCTGACTCTTCAGTTAATTACAAGTTGCTGCGGCAACTTTAACTTCAGCAACGTGCCACAAACAATGGCTCTGAATTTTAGCACAAAACGCAAAAAATACTATGTATATATGCACATACTTATCGTATAGGTCTATATGTATATGCTATATGGCATATAAATGTCTTAATACTTGCGTATTTTAGCATTCATTTGGCATGAAATAAGTTTGCGGCCCCATTAATATACGAGCCACAATGATACTCTGTGTATGAACAGCGCGACAGCGGGTATATATATACATATGTACATATATATATACATAAATATAATATGTATATATAATTGTGTGTATGCTGTGTGTGTGTATAGGCGACGCATCTAATTAGAGCTCTGGAAAGCAGTTGATGAGGGTAAATTGGCAGATAATTAATCGCCGTTTAATTAAGGACTTACATGAGCCAACGCCAAAATAAGGCTTCGCCTTCTTTTTCTCTCACCCCTTTTTTAACTACTAAACCTACTAAACATTACACATCCTTTGGTAACAGGCTTTACACTAACTTTGCTTATTTTCCGATTAAACAAATTATTTGTGAATATACTAAAATAAAATACTTGATCATTACATAATTCGATTATGGAAAAATAATCAGCAATGAAAAATGTAATTGGATTTAAATATAAATAAGTATATTGATTGATATGAAATACTATATAGCTACGCTAATAGTCTTTAATATGTAGAATAGTCTATATTTATTTATAAAATATAAAGCTTTGAAAATTATTTAAAAGCTAAGGAAGTTTGGTTTTTAATTATTCAGTTTGGTAAATTATACGGATATATATGCTGAGTAGCAATTATCCGAGTCAGTAGAAAGCATCGATATCTATTGGGGTCGAAAGCGAGTTGGTTGCAGTCAGTGGTAAAAGACAGACGCATGAAATGCGATTGTACAAACTGAAATATGATTTGGCACAGACATATTAATGTAAATACATCATGCCGTATAAGCACTTTAAAGATCTCTGCCAAAAAATTTTATTTTTAGCAAGTAACAAATAATAAAGTTCGCTTAACGACTTTTTCGCCTTTTTTTCTTTTTTACCCAAGCCCATTCAATTCGTTATAGCAATGAATTTCAAGTTTCACGTAATAAAATTTAAACGTTCACATTCCAGAATCCATTTGAAATACAATTTTTTTCATTATTCATAAGCGAATATGCTTGAAAAAATTTAAATGCCTTTTGCAAAGGCGTGAATGTCAATTAAATAATAATATTTTAAGCCGATTTAATTGCTTTTCTCGCTCCAATTGTTGTCTATAGGGTATCTTAATAACTATCGTTTGTGTGCAGCTCATTTCATTGGCCGCCCTTGCGTATGCGTTATTGTTATGTATATATGAATGTTTGCGGCTACTGCCTGTGAGTTCTGTAAACATTGAATACTTGTTTATATTTACATGCGCAATTTTCAATGTTGCTCAGAAACATCTTTAAAAACAGCCAGTGGTAAATAGAGCAGCAAATGCAAAACGCGAGCGTTTTCTTGTTATTGTTTATTTGTTTTTTATTTTTTTACTGTCAATATTTAAATCACATAGTCATTTACTTTGAGCATTCTTGTGCAACGTGGTTTTAGCCACTTACATTTTATAATCATTGAAACTATAACATTTTTATGAGCAATCACTGCATTTGAGCTGAGTCATCGCACAGCTCATCTCCATGTCTGTTGCCTAGGCAAATCGGCAAAAGTTTTCTTATGGCATGCCCCATTTCATTTTCGCCGTAATATTTAAACTCAAAACTGGCCTTGATTTTGTCTACAAGTCAATTTAGAATGTTTCTTCTACTTGTTCGCAAAGCCATAATAATTTTAACGCATCCGCAGTGTAAACAGTCGGCGGAAATGAATATTCAGCAATACTCGAAGAAGAAGTGGAAACAGCTTTGTTTGAAGAGTTTAGATAATGATTTCCTTCAAATATTGATTTATATAGGCGCTAAGCGCAAAGACTTTGATCACTTCGTTGATTTATAAAGATACACTGTACAACTCAATTTATAGCTGCAAAAGTGAATGAGCAAAGCCAAATGTATGATTAGGTTTTATGTAATTATATTAGTACAACTGCCGCAATTTATTTGCTTTAAAAATTTAAAACGACCAAATGAAAAAATAAATACAATATATGCTGTATTGTATTTGGAAACTGAAATGATTACACTTTTGAATTATTTACGCAATGACGGGCTAAAAATGACAAAGAAATCAGCACTTGTACTCTAATGATAATCTAACAAACTGAACAAATACAAAGTGTCAAGCATGAGGAAGGAGGTCTTCCAAAATATAGCTATGGTGGTGAAAATTACTTGCCCAACATTTCGTACACTGATATAATTACACATTCTGTACATTTCGCTCTTCAATTGTGAAGCGCCGCTGTCGTTAACGTGTGAGTGCAAAAATTATCGCTTGAATTAAATTAAATAGCTAAGCTGGTTGCGAATTTAGTAATAAAACCAATAAATTCAAATATTAGAAAAACTGATTAATAAGAGTCCAATTTAAAAATGGTTTCATTTCGATTTTGCTTTCAGAACTATAAAGAATAATAAATTATACAAAAAAATTAAATTATATTATACGAAATTCAATGAGTCACTATTCGTGAATTCTTGGCGAATTTCTAAATCTATTTGTAAATGTAGTGATCATTACTGCTTAGCATAACTTATTTTCCTGTTAATTTTGTTAGCCCCAGCACCACAGCTCCAGTCTCAGTATCTTTGCTGCCCCTCGCTGAGTAATCAAATTGCTTTGGGTTGTTCCAATTAATTTTAAGTATACCTCGACTAGTCGTCTGACACTCTTCGACACTCCCTCTCACTTTTCTCTCTCTCTCTCTCTCTCTCTCTCTCTCTTTCTCTCCCGCTCTCTGTGGATCTAAAGCTCTTTCTATTATATATATATATTTGTGTTTGCAGCTCACATGGCGTATGAGTAATGTACTTTAAAGCACTTATCTGCGCACACTCTTACACTTTAAATGCAAAATGGGCGCATAAAGTTTAAATGGAAGGTGGAAAACCACACATACGCACACACATAGCCAGAGAGTGTCCTTGAGTGGGTGGCCTGCGGGCATAGCCCGTTTTTGGCCGGGAAAGCAGAGAGTGAGCTGCAAAGTGCCATAAATCAACACTCGAACCACTTAATAAAAGGCAATGCCATTAGACAACGGCTACATCAGAGGCGGCAACAGCACAAGCAGCGTCGATGTTGCACGTAACCCTGCTGCCACAACTCATAACAATGTGTCACGCACACACATATATACATTCACAAATACGCATACATACTGACTCACAATTTAGCTGCGGCAGATGTAAACTGCAAAATATTTTACGTTTTTCCAAATGAATAATGTCAGACAACAACAAAAGCAGCATCAACAACCGAAAAACAGAATCCTAAAACAGTAAAAATAAAATCTGTGTACGAGCATCGTGGTATGAATGGGTCTGTTGGTGTGGGTGGTGTGGTTTTGCATTAAGCCAGCGGCAGGGTGTGAGTGGGTTGGCCAATGGGTTTTGGTTAGCTTAATGGAATAAAAATTATTAACAAATGCTGACAGCTTGTGTAAAGAGTGCCGCATGAAATGGCTGCACAAAATTGCTGTGCGCGAAAGTTTGAAGGCGTGATAAGAGTGCTTGCTAAATGGGCGTTGGGAATGTATGAGGAGGGGAGGGGGTGTGTCACTGGGAAGTCTTTTCGTCACGCACTTTAATTGGCATGGCTGTCTGCACAGCAGCAACCGCAGCCACGTGCTGGGCGTGGCAGTTGCTTACAGCTTCCGTAACTCTCGCATCTCCACTCCCCTTTCGAATAATCTCCTCTGCATCTGCTTAACGCAAGGCAATCGCAAATTAGCCAGCAATTAAGCCAGTATTTTTATTTACTTCCCGCACTGCTCTTATCGGTCGCAGCAAAAACTCTGGCATTTGTATGTATTTTAAATATTTGCACAGTGTTTCATTATTATTTCCATTTGCCAGGGCGCGATGACATTGTACTCGCTTCCACATACACATACACACATACCCCTGCCTCTCTATGCACCACTCACCAGGCAGTCGCTTAATAAAGACCATTGAAAATAAACACACATCCACAGAATGGGTTTATGCACATAGTATTATTCTACATGTCTTGGAAATTATACTTCGTGTGTGCGCCACAATTTTAATTAAATATCGCACAGCAACCACAACAATAACTACAATAAACAATAACAACAGCAACAACAATACTCCACAGGGTATCCACCGCAAATCTGTATCTGGGGCACTTGTG